TGACCTAGACAGCTGTGGCATCTGCCTTGGTGACTTCAAAAAGCCTAAGATATTACCTTGCTTTCACACATTCTGCTTGAATTGTCTGAAGACCTACGTGGACAAAACTGGCCGGAATGAAAAATTCACGTGCCCTCTTTGCCTCATCGAGACAGATCTACCTCCAGGAGGAGTGGAACGTTTCCAGACCAACTTTTATGTCAAAGCGGAACAGGCCAAAGCTCTGTCTTTGCTGAACGCGCGATGTGACGTCTGCGACATCGACATTCCAAGCAAGGCTGAAAATCGATGCTTAGAATGTGACCAGAATCTATGCCAAAACTGCAGCAGGACCCACTTAAAAATGACATCTTCAAAAGAGCATCATCTCATGACCGTCAACTTTCCAGAAAAGCCACTCACACCAGCTGTCATGACCAAAGTTTTCTGCGACAAACACAAGACAGAGGAACTCTCCTTTTACTGTCAAGTTTGCGATGGTCCAATTTGCTTGCGGTGTAAAGTCACTTCCCATGAAAACCATTCCACAAAGGATCTCTCCGACGTTGCTGCAGAAACTAGACAATTTCTAGGCGTTAAATTGTCCGAGGCCAAAAGTTTCCTTCCAACTGTTCATGAGCAGCTGAACGAAATTAACCGCTATGAAGACCACTTGACACAGTCAAAGCAACAAATCGTGAAAAAAATCAACGAGAGGGCTACTGATCTACATTCCAGAATTGACAAAATTTCCAATTCCATGTTGAACGATATTGAAGCAGAATTCCGCGTGGAGATGTCGAGGGTTGACTCTCAAAGACGAGCACTTGGAAAGGCTGGGAAAGCACTATCCTCTCAGTTTCACGCAGCTAATCAGGTTGTGTATTTTGGCTCTGATGCAGAGATTGCCAGAAATAAGCAGGTACTCTCCAAACGTCTCGAGAAACTTACTAAGAAGTCAGATGGCCGCGTTATTACTAAATTGGATCTAGCCTTTTTCCCAAGCAGCAGTTTAGAGGGAAAGATCGAAGACATATTTGGAAGTTTATCTACCGCCAGACCTCCTGTAGATGACACCAAGGTAAGAAATCAATATGTTCATCAAAGTACACATTTTGACCGTGATTTTGTTTCGAAACAGTTTATGTACAAAAATATTGACACAAATGTGTTTATGATATATGTAGAAAGTTTTTTCTTGGTAGGTGACAGAAGTATCTGTTTTTCAAGTGGACGACACTTTCAAGGTAGTGAGTTCTATTTGTCCAAGAGAAGATGGCGAAGCATGGATAACTTCTGGCTGGAAGCCCGAAATTCATCTCTTCAGTGTCCAAGGAACCAGACTTAAAACAGAGAATGCTGGGCGAAACATCGACACAATTGTTATGAGTCATGATGGATCTATCGTCGTTTCCTGTAGCGATAAGCGCCAAATCCTCAAAGGCAGGAATGGCCTGGATTTCTCTGTAATAGCCACAGTTTCCACGTATCCACGAGGGATCGCGATCAACAACAAAGATGAAGTCTTCGTCTGTACTGGACAATCTTTGGCCTTCCAGGACTACAAGGACGGTCATAGGAACAAGGTTCTTCGTTACTCGTTGGATGGGAGTCTTCTTGGGGAATTCGGCGATCCCTCCAGTGAATTCCTCTACCCTCTCCGAGTTGTTTGCAACATTACCGGTGATGTAGTCGTTTCTGATTGCCAAAAGCGCCGAATCACCATTCATCGTCAAGATGGTTACATCAAGTTTTCCTACACCGGAACAGAAACGGAAAACTTGCGGAGCCCATTTGAACCGAGGGGTGTCACGTGTGATTCCCGCGGTTTCATTTACGTCACTGACAATGCCAATGACGCTGTACATCTACTGGATCACACCGGGAAATTTGTTCGTCTTCTTTTGACAACAAAGGATGAAATTTACGGCCCATATTCCGTTGCCATCGACTCCAAAAATAACTTGTGGGTAGGATGCCGAGATGCAACTGTCAAGATTTTTCATTGTGCTCATTTTTGATGTTTGAGCTAGAATGCCTGGAACAATTTGACATATTTAAGGGAATCGTGCATGCAGGTTTTATTTAAGGGAATCGGGAGAGTGTTCATGAAACTCAATATAAATGTAGTTTAATTATTTGCTTCTGGTTGTTTTGTAGTACTGCAAATAATATTTATTTGTGCTGTGATCTTGTATTTATTATACTAGTTATTTAACAATAAAACCCACATTTAAGATATTTGCATACTTTACTTATCGATATTATAGCTTAAGAAATACAGTCATTCACTTTGCATTTTAAAAAATCATTTAATGAAAATTTTAGAGCGATTCCACCGCCAGATAAAATAGACGAAATTGAAATTTGGTAAATAGCCAATATTGAACAAAGACCGTCTTTTTTTTCCTCTTTTTATTGTTTTAAACCAGGATTGCATGAATATGTCTTATTGAATGAACCTCTAAATTCTTTTTTAAAAAGAAAGAGCAAGTCTTTCTGCATCAATTCACATTTGTGTATTGGCTCGATTACAAAAATTAAAATTTTATCTTCACACAATATAGCGATAATTGACAATGCTTGACCTCTAAATACTTTAAAAGAAATTGCAAATCTTTCTGCAACAATTCACATTTGTGTATTGGTTCGATTACAATTACAAAAGTAAAATTTTATCACCATACAATATAGCGATAATTGACAATGTTTGTAGTTTTTTAAACATTGTCAGCAATGCAATAAAACCTGTTTCAAAGTGAAAGTAATATGGCATGTTCAACTTTCGTAAAAGAAACAATGGAGCTATGTGGAATCTGCAACAAATGTTACACCGAACCAAGAATACTGCCTTGCTTTGATAGTTTCTGCTACAAATGTTTAAAAATTTACATTGAAGAAAATAAATATAATGGAATATTTAAGTGTCCACTTTGCAACGAGCGAATATCCATCCCTTCCAACTGTGAATTTGAGCCAAACATTCACCTGACGGCAAAACAATCAGTATCTGTCTTTCAGCAACCCAACTGCGACATATGTGAAGATGTCCAACCAGCCATCAACCGTTGCATTGAATGTGAACAAAACTTATGTTCAAGGTGCAGCAAAATTCATCTAAAGATAAAATCAACTCACGATCACCATCTGGCAGACATGAGCGACCCTGAAGGTAGAGTGTTTTTGACATCAAAGGCGTTTTGCTTAAAACACCAAAGCGACGAAATGAGCTTCTACTGCAATGAATGTTTACTACCCATCTGTATTCGTTGTCGGTTAACGTTACACAATACCCACAATACATCTGATCTTGCTGATGTTGCATTACAATCAAGAGATGAACTGAAATCCCTTTTTAAACTTGCTGAAGCTGGATTAGTCGAGTTAAAGGAGCAAAGGAACGAATTCTCCGAGTATAAGTCAGAAGTTGAGAAGATTAGATTTGACATCACTGAAAGAATATCGAATCAAACACAAAAGGTTCACAATCTTGTTGATGAAGTATCAAAACAACTGACAGCATTTGTAGAAGACGAAATTTCTGCGGAAGATTCATACATTGACAAGAAGCTAGTAATGTTGGATAAAGCCATCACATCTAACAAGTCGCGCCTTAAGGTTGCCAATCAGATCATAGAGTGCGGATCTGACACGGAAATTGTAAAAGCAAAGGAAAACCTGATGACACGTCTGAAGAATATTCAATTACAGCACAACACAAAGTTTCGCCCAAACAAGTTGAACATTGAATATATTCCGAGTGTGCTGGCTGATGAAGATTTAGAAGGTTGTTTTGGGATGTTGGCAAGTCGCGTTGGAACCCCAGGGTACATATCTTTATTTGAGGTCAACTCTTTTAGGGTGGATGATGCAGATGATGTCATAAATTCCATATGCCCAATTCAAAACGGTGAGGCTTTGGTAACGTATGGTTGGACCTCAGACTTGTACATTGTGAACAGAGCGGGAGAGAAAGTGAAAACATTCTCTCTAGGGAGTGATATTGATTTCATTACTACAGATAAGCATGGAAATATCTATATAAGCTGCAGAAATGAGAAATGCATAAGAAAGTTAAATCCAGAAATGAACATTATTGAAACTGTCTTATTAGACACTTATCCTCGGGGGATTGCAGTAACGCCGCAGGGCCAACTTGTCGTGTGTTGTTCCCAGTCGAAAACCTACTTTGAATATGCCAATTCTCATGTCAACACCGTTGCCGTTTTATCTTACGATGGTGATAAGGTAACAGTTTTCGGAGAAGGGGGAGATATGTTTCTTTATCCAATACGAGTAGCCATCGGTGAGAGTGGGAATTTTATTGTCTCTGACAATCTGAACCATAGTGTCATTATATTCAACAACACGGGAAAAATAAATGCCATATACTATGGTCAGCAAGAACCTTCTGGACACTCCGCTGTACGACCAATCAGCGCGTCAACAGGACATTCAGCTTCCTCGGTGGTCGCTGACTCCAGGTCAAGGGGTCCCTTGTCAGCTTTCCGCCGATCTGCCACCAGAACAGCAACTGCTCATAGCAGAGAATCAGGGCTAGGATCATCATCCGAGATGCGCCCCTTCGATCCACGTGGTATTACGTATGACAGCTTTGGTCACGTGATTGTTACTGACTATTCCAGTAATTCTGTTCATTTATTAGATCACTCTGGTCGCTTTCTACGATTATTGCTTTCTGAAAAGGACGGAATATTTGCTCCAACCTCGGTTGCCGTGGATGAAAATGGATATTTGTGGATTGGCGGTGGGAATGCTACTATTAAAGTGTATAGTTATATCAAAAAGTAAAATTAATTAGTAATTTTTATGCCCCTGTAATCGAAGTTTCAGTAGGACATGTCTATAATTTTTGCCCTGTCTGTCCGTCTGTCTTTCGCTTTAATCTTGCTCATAACTTGACCTTAATTGGGGTTTGACCCAGTTTTACCAAAAAGAATAACACTTTTACCTTGCTCATACCTTTTGAACAGCTGGTACTAGGACTTTTAATTTCATATTCCAAGTGTATTCATCGTGGCCAGGCTTTTATTTAAATCATTTGACCTTAACCTTAGAGTTTGACCCAGTTAAAAAAACAACAACTAACTTTGACCATAACTTTAGAACAGTTGCTGTCAGGGCTTTTATATTTCGCAGGTATATTCCTTGTGACAAGACCGTTTTTGGGGTATCAACAATTTTGATATTTTGACCTTGACCCTTGGATTTTGACATTTGAGAAAATTCAACCCTTGTCATATGGGGGCATCAATGTTTTACAAACACGTCTTGCTTTTCCTTTATCCATCTTTTAAAAAAAGTCCTGTAGCATATCTTTTCCTTTTTGTATATGGTATTCATACAAAACCAAATTTGGTTGAAATTTCTGGGTTTCAGAGCAGAAGCTGAAAATGTTCAAATGTAAACACACGACAGACGACAGACGAAAACGGATAGCTAGGTCATAATCCCTCAAAACAAAAAAACCCACAATTTCTCTCATAAAATGTTGCTTTGATGCTAATGATTTTCAAAACAAAATGGACTTTATCAGTTAAATGCAAAAGAAGTTGGCATAATATAGTGGGAAATAATTGATCAAAAAGAGATTTTATTTTGATAAATTTATTTAGGAATAATAGAGAATAAATTTATCACACTAAGAGTTATCTCTCTTATCATAGTATCAATAAACCTTAAGTTCCTTTATCTTCAAGTCAAACTGCAAAGTGCAGATGGTTATAAAAGTAAAAAAAAATTGTATAATTAATCCTCATGTATTTTAGAATCACAATCATTTACAACCAGACTTACAGGTACATCTGAACAATACAAAATTCACAGAGCACAATAGTGAATAGTCATAAATCAATATACTAAATATGAAAAATATGCATCACACAGCCGTTTTATACTTGTGTACATCCTTTAAAAATTTTTACATACAATATATATATGAGGCAGATCATTCCAGTGATTGAGAATTCAATTAATAAAGAAATAAAAAATTTACAACTCAAAATAAAATCTTACACAGAGAGATTTACTTACTTTTCTTCATTTGCTTAAAATCTAAGTAAAATATGAAGAGATTCTGTAGTTCAGAATAAAAATGTTGACAGACAAATGAACAAAACAAAAAAGGTCCTACATCAAAATAAAGTATCAATTTGAAATAAAATAATTATATGTCTATGGTTTAGTTTGTAATTGCTGAATGTCTATTTCTTATTTTATGAAAATTTGGCACGGTAAAAACAAATATATATATGTATTTCTAAAACAAGTCTATATTCTGTATCACAGACATTAAAAGAGGAAAAATTAGAGTGCATGTATATAATAAAGCAAGCTACACATCTCTGAGTCAATAATGGAATGAATGTATTCACATCACAGATACAACAAGAATGAACTCACCGGTACTAAAAATTATCAAAGAATTGACAAAAATATTTTAAGCAAACATATATGCAACTTGTTTCCTTTTTAATCTTTTTAAAAAAGTTTTCTGGTTAATTTAAAAATGAACAAAATTAAAGACAATACTAAAAACAAAAAGAATGATTTAATATAGATGAGATATACAAAGAAATTGACTAATGGTACAAGAAAGGTAGTTCTATAATGGCACAAAAATTTGTAGAGGAATTACAAATCAATCATAAAAGCTACCGATTGATAGTTCCACAGGATGTAAACTTTTATTCTTGTGTGGGAAATATCCACAAATTTCACGACCAACTTTTACTCTTGAATAATAATCACTGCAAGCCATTTATTTTGAATTGTATTTATAGAAAAATCTCTTCAGTGATAAAAACTAATTGCCAGTAATCAATTTCACAGAATGTTGAATATAACCTGAAAAAAAATCAGGTGAATATGATGATGATGTATAATTGGTGGATAAATAGAGGTTTGTACAGTTTTAAGGAATGTGCCATTTTCATTCCTTGTGTTTTGAATCAGATGTTGCCTTTTTCTCCTCCTGCGGTGAATCTCGATTAAATATAATTTTTTCCAGACCAAGCATTGGGGCCTCGAACGCCAGAGACAGGATAAAGGCGGCCATGTAGGTAAATACCAAAACAGCCACAAACAGGACAGCCTAGGGAAATTTTAAAACACATTGTACAACTATTAAATCATGTTTAAACATATGTCATTTAAGCTATATATTACTTTTTAGGACCTATGCAGGGGGAAAGTAGTGCTAATTAATTTAAATACAATTTGCATGATCTTATTATTATACATGTAGGTGAGATTGCCTCCTGATTGGTTAATTCATCTCTAAATATAAGTTTAAGTTACATGTACTTACCAGGGTAGCATCATCCATATAAAATGTAGACCTTAGACTGAAGTAATATCCAATTATAAGGATCGGATGTACCAGATATGCAAAGTAGGTCAGGCGAGCCAAAGGTGAGAAGAAACTCCAGGACAGCAATGTGTTGATAAATCCTGAAAAAGGTTATGGTTTAAAAGAAGAGAGCACAATGCTCTATGCAATCAGTAATTTTCATCAGGGTTTATTATTATTTTTTTTGGGGGGGGGGGGGTTGTATGAAGATGCCTGTGATACCCCGTCTTCTGTGAGATTTAATTTTTCCAATAACACTTCAACAACCAGAAAATCAAATTCCAATAAACCAATAAACTTTTTACTCCTTAAACCATCTACAGAAAGTTACAATTTGAATGGTTTTATTGAACTAATTTGAGTAAGATTACTCTTTTTTTATCTTCACATTTCATGTAAGCCTTTAAATGACAGATCAATAAATTTATTAATAAGCAGAAACATTACAACACCAAACCTTACCTCCATTTCCGGTAGCACAAGAGAAGATAACCCATCCTACACAGGCCCCCCACACAGTGCGGTGTGTTGTGTTGTAGAGATCTTTTACACCCTGTGACATTTGTATGTAACCATTCAGCTCATCATACAATCCATACACTACAAGACAGGCTAGAGTAGCAGCTACCATCCATATAAACAAATTCAGCACCTACAACAACATGTAAATATTGAACAAAATTAAAGATCAACGATATACCACCTGTGACTTAAAAAACGAGCATTCCAAGACATGTTGAAGCACTTTTATGGTTTTCAGTTTCTTAACAGTGAATGCTTTTCAAACAAAAAAATTGTGTCTGTGAGAAAAAAAACCCATTCTCAATTCATATATATGTATTACATTGGTGATATTTGCTGTGCTTGGAATTAGTGAGACAATGGACATTCCAGACCAACACTAGTGTTCATTTATGAAAGGTTCTTTGGATATTATAGATCAGCTTTACAAAATTAGTTATGTGAAAATACCTTGTTTATCTTCAGTTTGCAGTCTGTTTTGTACAATAAATAACCAAACAATATCCCTACAATGTAGGGACCTATTCTGCAGTATGGTTTGACATAATAAATATTGAAGTAGTCACTCTGCCTAGAACAGGAAAATAAATTAATGTTGCATGTTTTGATGAAGAAATACATGTAATGTTTACTGAACTTCTCTACTGTACATGTATATCTAGGATACCATATAAGTAGAATTTTTAGCGAGGATTTTATTTTGGCATTATTAGCGAGGGTGCCGAGATCGCTAAAATTGAATATCGCTAAAAATTAATAGCGTATTATTTGTAATACCTTCTTTAGTGTCCATTTAAAAATCGCTAAAATAACATTTCCCTAAAAATAAATGACCAGTTCTTAAGGACAAATTGCTGAATTTGTGTCTCGCTAAAATTTCCAGTTATACGGTATTTTGATATTTTCATTGTAAATGCACTGAAAATTAGAGCAAATTTTAGGCATCCTGAATTTGAATGTATTACTGCAACAGTAAGGAGTTGTTAACTTAAATTTCTGCAGGATGGTTTTTTTTTGTAAATTACTTGATAATTTTATTGTGATTAAACCAAAAATTACAGGGAAAAATAATTAATAAAAATTAACTAAAGAATTCAGATGATACATACATTGATTGTGGATGTGTTAGCTGCTCTAGCATGGAAGCTGGTAGTTGGTAGTAGTTAGAAATAATTCCTGTGGCAACCCAGCTACCAAACAGGAGAGATGTTCCTATCATTCCCCCAATCCACTTAGAACTGTAGATAAACAATGTAATCACCATCACTGTATAAAAAAATGTCTGAGATTTTCTTCCTTTTTATGTTTTCTTATACTCACATGTATAATGTACAATTTATTATAGTGACTAACATGAATCAAATTTTCAAATTTTTAGTACTAGTCTACTTATAATAGATAAATACATATACACTGTACAAGTCAATGATATAATAAATGTAACAATCACATAACAACGAATGCAATACTGAGTAAACTGAAGCATGCTAATGATAAGATTACAAGTTAATTACTATAAATGTAACAGAATATTTATTGACACAAGATCAAATCATAGGCAACCCAAGATGCATGTAACTTTGACTTGATAAACTAACATAGCTAAGGATACTGGTACTAGATAAGATGGGGGAGGGCCAAACATAATACCCCCCCCCCCCTTCCAATGTAGGAAATTCAGGCCATACACAAAACTATGAAGTTCTAAAATTGCATCCTTATGAAAAAAAATGTTAAACTTTTTAAACTTTTAATGCTTTTTACAAATGACCCAGGGCTTATCCAAATAAACTGGGGTCAAGGTCTTTGGATTCTAAGTAATCTTTGTGTGAACTATGAACTTGCAATGTTTCTCCAAAGATAGATTTGAGCAGATAAAATTGATATACTTTACTGCCAATGACCTTGAACTCACCCAAAAGACCTTTGAATCTAGGGCATACACATCTTCAGATCATAATGAATTTTTGTGTCTGTCTATAATTATCTTATCTTTTACAAGGTTATGGACTTGATACAAATTTATATATTTTCCACAAGTAAATTTGAACTTATGATCATGACTTTTCATCAAGGTCAAAGCACATCTTTAGATCAATAGCAAACTTATAATAAATTTTTTCAATTACATGTACAAGCTATTCCCATGATAGAAATTATGGATTTCCCTGCCTTTCGCTTAAAAATTAATGTATACAAAAATTATAAAAATGACTTTGCTGAAGTCAGATCTTGATACACACTCATGTCATACAAAAATGAACCAGAAGTCTCTGTCGAGACTGTAGCTCTACTGGTTTGTACTTATAACAAAGGATGAGAAAAGCGTTTTAAAGGAATTTCACAGACATTTCTATTTTTATTAACAATGGCAACACTTTTCATCGAAATAAAAAACCAATGCACTAATTTATGTATCTTAGTGTAGTCTATACTTGTATGCCAAGTTATATTGATATAAGACCAAAATTGTAGGAGGAGTAGCGTTTTAAAGGAATTTCACAGAAAATTCTATTTTTAGTAACCATGGCAACACCATTCATTGAAATCAAAATCCAATGCACTAATTTATGTATCTTCGTGTAGTCTACTTGTGTGCCAAGTTATATTGAAATCAGACCAAAACTGTAGGAGGCATTTTAAAGGAATTTCACAGAAAATTATATTTTTAGCAACCATGGCAACATTGTTCATAAAAATCAAAAACCGATGCACTATTTTATGTATCTTAGTGTAGTCTACTTGTGTGCCAAGTAATATTGAAATCAGATCAAAACTGTAGGAGGAGTAGCATTTTAAAGGTATTTCACAGAAAATTCTATTTTTAGTAACCATGGCAACACCATTCATTGAAATCAAAAACCGATGCACTATTTTATGTATCTTAGTGTAGTCTACTTGTGTGCCAAGTAATATTGAAATCAGTCCAAAACTGTAGGAGGAGTAGCATTTTAAAGAAATTTCACAGAAAATTCTATTTTTAGTAACCATGGCAACACCGTTCATCGAAATCAAAAACCGATGCATTCTTTTATGTATCTTAATGTAGTCTACTTGTGTGCCAAGTTATAATAAAATTAGACCAAAGCTGTAGGAGGAGTAGCATTTTGAAAAATTGTTTACAGACAGACGGACGGACGACGGACACCTTACTATCGCATAAGCTCTTCTGGTCTCTGACCAGTAGAGCTAAAAATCAGGAGGGGACATAAAAATTTTCCCAAGGATTAATGATATTGAAAGTGAAAATGTGTTTTTTCCTTGTATCTACAAATAAAGATTAACAGTTGAAAGTTTATAATGAATTTGTAGAAGAAATAAATGACAAAATATATTTATAGGAAGTAAATAAACTAAAATACATGTATATGATATGATTAATACCCCCAACTCACTTCAACATAACTTAGGTGTTTAAGGAGGAACAGGACCTTGAGCTGAAAAAAATCTAGTCAATGAATTATTTTCATATTTTGTATATTTTTTATCTATTATGTCCTACATATTTCAAAGCAATTCTTTCACCAGATTTCTATATTTATTTAAGAGATATCTCCATGCAAATATTGCTCCACACAGTCTGACTCTTCGTGTTTACGGGTCGGACATTACTGAATCTATTATGGACAATTTTAAGCACAAACAACAATATGTATGAGGACAAGTATCTCTTCAAATATGTGTAATGACAAGTATCTCTTCAAATATTCAAAATTTTTGAAGATCAAAAATTCAAAAAAGAGAATTTGACAGTTTCGACAACAAAAAACTTGTTAGGCAAAAAATTCTGTCAATAAATTTTTGAAAATTTATGATTGAACTGAGAGTCATCTTCGAAGTAATCAACTGTAGCAAAATCATATGGTGAAGCCAACCTCATTATCACAGAGGACATAGTTCAGTAAAAACGCTTCACATTTACGTTTTCTGAGTACAAGAAAATCTACAAAGTGAAATCAAATATGAAGAACAAGGCTCACTTTTGCCTTATTTGGCCCTGTGAATTTCTGAAAAGCTGAAACTACATAGTTTCAGTTAACAATGCACTGAATATCACTTAGATCCTTGGTGCCTACGTATCTATCAACCAGAAGTCTCTGTCGAGACTGTAGCTCTACTGGTTTGTACTTATAACAAAGGATGAGAAAAGAAGCCATTGCCATCAGACCAAAACTGTAGAATGAGTAGCCTTTTAAAGGAATTTCACAGAAAATTCTATTTTTAGTACTGTAGATCACTAAATTTTCGCGACACCTTATTTTTCGCGAGATAGTCATTGACTCTTGATTAGCGAGACAAAATTTTCACAAATTATGGCTATTACTCTATATAATCTTTAGGAATACTATTATACGAGAGAATTAAATTTTTGCAAGCACACTGTCTCGCGAAAATAAAGTTCTCGCGAATAAAAAGTGATTTACAGTAACCATGGCAACACCGTTCATCAAAATCAAAATCCGATGCACTACTTTATGTATCTTAGTGTAGTCTACTTGTGTGCCAAGTAATATTGAAATCAGACCAAAACTGTAGAAGGAGTAGTGTTTTAAAGGAATTTCACCAAAAAATCTATTTTTAGTAACCAAGGCAACACCGTTTATCGAAATAAAAAACCGATGCACTATTTTATGTATCTTAGTGTAGTCTACAAAGTAATATTGGCTGTGTAGAAGGAGTAGTGTTTTAAAGAACACAGAGAATTCTTGCCTTGTTTATTGAAATCAAAAACCGTTGCACTATTTTTTGTATCTTAGTGTAGTCTACTTGTGTGCCAAGTTATATTGATATCAGACCAAAACTGTAGGAAGAGAGCGTTTTAAAGGAATTTCACAGAGAATTCTATTTTTAGTAACAATGGCAACAACATTCATCGAAATAAAAAACCGATGCACTGTTTTATGTATCTTAGTGTAGTTTACTTGTGTGCCAACTTATATTGAAATCAGACCAAAACTGTAGGAGGAATAGCGTTTTAAAGGAATTTCACAGAAAATTCTATTTTTAGTAACCATGGCAACACCGTTTATCGAAATCAAAAACCGATGCACTATTTTATGTATCTTAGTGTAGTCTACTTGTGTGCCAAGTTATATTAAAATCAGACCAAAACTGTAGGAGAAGTAGCGTTTTGAAAAATTGTTTACAGACAGACGGACAGACAGACAGACAGACAGACAGACCGACGGACGACGGACACCTTACTATCGCATAAGCTCTTCTGGTCTCTGACCAGTAGAGCTAAAAATGACGTAATTTTATGGCTAGTCAATGTGTAATGACGTCACAAAATGCATAAATTTTATATTTTCTGAAAAAGTCTACAAAACTGGCCAATTGTTGAAGCTATTTTTCTATATTTAATATAGAGCGCAACCTCTGATCTAAAATATGCAAGTAGTAAATGATAGAACTGTTCCTGGGGATTAAAAGACATGTTTTATTTTTTAGATCAGAGAGTGCGCTAATATTATTTTTCTTATCTGAAACTAGTGAAAGTACTCAAATATACCCATTTTCCTTAAATTTCAAGACCGTTGCAATTTTATAGAGCCAGTTCTCCAAGACCTGGACTTTTAGGAGAAAATTTTAATAGGACATGAAAGCACTAAATCTCTATTTTATTTTAATGCTTCAAATGGAACATCAAGTGATAATCAATCGATACATGTATATCTACAGGGCCATTTTATGCATAAATCGGACCGAGTTCTTTTAGAATTTCTGCTGCTAAACATGTCAAAAAAAAATAATTATTGTAATTCCTGCTTCAAAAAATTCATCACGATGCCTGATTGTGATCTGTTTCTATGTAATTAAACTTACTAGGTCTTACCAGATAATCAATGTGTACTTGATCTCACTGCACTGAGAGATCATACATTTGACGTTACTGATGTAATAGACAGTAGCGTAAAGAAACAGAGAGGTGGATCGCTCAATTTCACAATTTTAAAATATAAAACTCCTAATTATTTTACATCTGTCAAATGTTTAAGCTTAACAAGTTGAACAAAAATTGCACAAATAATGATGATTTCAACAGTGTTAACCACCTTTATTAACAGTGACACTGACATAGTCAATTCAGTCATGTGACGTGTGTCCTGTCTAACCTAACATTTCACTGTTTAAGGTACCTGAAGTTCAGCTGAATCTACCCCCCACCTGAACAAACATAATCAATAACTGAAGAGAACCTGTCCCAGGTATAAGCTGTATTGTAAAGCCAGTCTCAATAATATCGTTTCCTTTCAAAACTATATGTCTACTAGTAAGTCACTTATTCTCAAACACAGATTAAGAGATATGTCCTCCATTCAATTTATTTGTCTTTTTTTGTACTTGATAAAGTATTTTATTTTTCTATGACATAAAGCTGAAAAAAGAAAATTCTCAAAAAGCTCTTGAAAAAATACTGGTAATGTTTTGTATACTCACTAGTATAGAGGTATGATGATAAATGGACTGAGTATAAAAAACTGCATATCATTGGCTAAATACCAGGTCCACCCCATACATTCCTGTTATATCAATGTAAAACTGAGTAAAGGCAGTCAAAATATATGTGTACTAGAGTATCTTTATAATGTTTTCAAGGATTCACTTTTTTGAAACATATCTAATCAAATACAAGAAGAAAAATGTACCAACATGTAACAAGAATTAAAAATACGCTGTATACAACTTTGTCATACATGTGATTAGATCTAATGTAGCTATAAAATGGTACTTTTAAAATATATTATCTTTTCAATGGGAAAATATTAAAACCCATGAGAATACATCTGAGATGATTTTGCCTATTAATGAGACAAAAATAAGCAAATTTAAAATACCTCATCATAAAAATTATTGATGTAGAGCATGGTATGCCACCATGTCTTGTTGCACTGTCCTGGCTCCACCCCATTCTGAGGCCAAAATGGACCATCTGACACATACTGGAAAAGGGGCACATACACAAACATCAGGAGCATCAAGGGGGGTGTTAATCTGAAACAAATAAGTTTGTTATTAAAAACATAGTTTAAGACTTCTATACAATTCATTCCTGATTACCTTATATTGGATATATGACATACATCTGCAACCCTTGTTACCATTTTATGATGACCTTGGATCAAGGTTAAACATACGCAAAATCAACCTAATCACAGACACTCACCTCCAGTATCGATGGAAATAAAATTTGGCAATGAAGGCAACCCAGTTGATTTTCTTTCCTTCATTTCTTCTAAGTTCTCTCAGAAGTAAATATGAAACTAAAAGTCCACTGCAAATGAAATAAATTAAATAAATTATAACAATCTGGTTGTATCTTTACGGCCTGATTTTCCAAATACTGCAAACCAACTTTTATTAATATGTGCAAGAAACTGTGAGCAAATTTGGAATCCTTTCTTTTACCAACAAGAATTTCTCATTTTGTATTTACTGGGTAATATGAAGATTTTCCTCATGCAGTCACAAAAATTTACAGCCATGGATGGATTTCAAACTGTCTAATCATGAATTAAAGTTGTCGAGAATGATCATGATAATAGCTGGTTATAAAATGCATGTCTTATATTGTTTTTACATTATTATATGCCCCCAATCTCCAAATTGACATAAATTAAATTCACTTTTAAATTGAGTAAGTTTAAATCAAAAACATTTTCAAATTAAAAACATATTGAAACAAAAGAATCTTTTAAATACTAATTTGCTATAAAGTAGACTTATCTTCTCCCATTTCCAAAACACACCTGAGTAGAAAGAATGAATCCACTGACACCAATGCATTTATGATGACATGATATGACCTTCTCTTCAAAAGGATTGGTACAATATATCCAAGATTTGCTAAAATAATAAAAAAGAAGAAACCAAATCAATTCAAGTGGTCTGATAAATTATGATGTACAGTGTACATACAATTACCTCAACAAATGAAGAATCTTTGTGAATAAAATACCTGTCGCGTAGTAGTGAATTAAAATAGATCAGTTTCCATAAATATTTTTATGATATATTGTATGTTTACAAAAGAATTAGCTCAAGAACACTACAGTGTCACTCTGAAACTTACAAACAACTTGTAGACCAAATGCTAAAGTATGGCCGAGTATGACCCAGGACATGCTGAAAAATCGCACTCCATTGACGGCACCTAGGGTACTCGCGGTCTTCTTTGTACTCAGAAGTTTCTTCCCGTTAGAGTACACAGAAAATGCCAAGAAAAATCTCATTAAACATCCTGAAAAATGTTTTGTATTATTAGCATTATGTAAGTCTAACATATACATATTTGTTCAAGCACACCTACATGGATTTTTTTCCATCTCAAATAAAACATTTAATTTACATTACTGTTTGCAAACATCTTTACAAATAAAATATTATCCATAGCTTAAAATAAATAATCATTATTCTTCAGCAATTAATTTTTTTTCCTCCATAAAGTAAATGTACCTGACATTGGATTGACTTTGGCGAGCTCAGTTGTGGGTGATCCAAGAAGTGGAGTCTCCTCTGTGCCAATCCTGTGTGCATAATGAAGCACTTCTCCATTGGCACTGGTTGATTTGGTCTCAAAAATTTTATTGTTGGCCATCCAGGAGGACAAAATGTCCAACAGGGTTGAAATAAAAATCAAAAGAACAAAGAAACCTGCAAATACCCTGTTCAAAGACAAAAAGAAAAAGCTTTGTCATACATGTAATTTTATTTAAAATTATTTAATATTCTTCAGCTATTATGAAAACATTTATACATTTGACTTTAATTTGAAAACAATATATGAACATAGCTGTTCATTAGAATCTAATGGTCTATTGGTTAATAAGAAGTTTATGCAATTGACCCTTGATTTAACTTGGTCCATGCAGTGATAAACAAGCTTTTCAATACATACATTGCTGCCACAGCTTTGAAATCAAACTCTAAATGATTCTTCTGACAGGTCACATAAGGATGGAAAGAAATATTCAAGGGAATTAAATCCATGGCTGCAAAAGAATTGAAAATAAAATTATGTCTAATGTAGGAAACAAGCTAGCCAGTGCTATTTAAGAATATAGGTTAGACAGAGCATTTAAATGAAGTCTGGCTAACAGTATTCCTAAATACATCATTCATGCAAGTTTTAGAAATCATCAGATGGCAATTGTTACCAAGAAATGAGACCTCCCAAGCTGCTCCTATAATTATAACCTGCATCCCAAAAAACCTAAACTTTATAGACATTCTTCTGGAACATACATGCATGTATATTAGCCAAAAATGCAGCATCTGAAACCTGACTAATTGCTATTCGAAAATTAAATTAAAGACACATCATACATTTAAGGTCAGACGATACGTTCCCCAAATTTCTGTTTTGTATATCTTCATAATGTATGAAAAATATACAAAATTTTAATTACAGTTTTAAAAAATTTGAAACACAAAAAATGTGATTTTGGCAAACTTAATTTTTTCCTCAAATGGATTATATAAGAAATGCCATCCTCTGGTATCTTGCACAAATGCCTGGTAAGGTACCTCAGTATTTTGTGAGTAAACATGTTAAAGTAGTATTTGTTCAATGACAAAGTCTTGGAAAAAATTATATATGATTGAGGAACGTCTCGTCTGTCCTTAATGGAGATAATTCTGCTCCAAAATCCTAAACCTGCAACACTAATGCCAAGATGGTAAATTGTAGCTTTCAAATTTGTCATATAAAAATAAATAATTTTTTGATTATGCACAGGGTGTGAAAACAAATTCAATATTTTGATCAAATACTGTGTGACCTTGTGTTAAATGACACAGAAATTATAAGTCATTTTTTTCTCATTTTTAAATTGACATGGTTATTTATGTAAATGAATATAAATGATTAATAATTTGTTGCAGAAAATTTGTGAATAAGCATATAAAAGAATTTACAGTGAAAGGAATTTATACTGATTGAAAGAATATTTGATTTTCATTGATAAAGGGAATTGTTTGCATTTTCTTATGAACTGCAAGTGCGATAAAAGAAAATAATTACCTTACACCTTATTAATGACCTAATGAAGTAAATCATACAAACTAGTTTGTTATTTGATCAAACATTTGACAAATCCTTGTACTGCAGATTTAATTCAGGAGGTGAGGAATTCTGTCTTGCTGTTCCAGTTGCATTATGTTTCTACAAAGATATATACGCCCAAAGTAGTTAAAGTAGTTGAGTGAACACACTTACCTAAATAGATCAGCGCATCAAGATCTCTTTCTGAACATCTCTCTGACACACAAAGCCCAAATGAAAACACCACCTGAAATACGTACATCAACATTATAAGAAAGTGCCTTATTTTTCAATCCACCAACAACCTTAGTAAATTGATGTTTATGTTTAATATAATGCACATAGTTTTCATCATGATATACAAGCATAGTTGTTTAGGCTTACTGGTGCACCACTCAATTTTGTTGGGATATTGAGGGAACAATATTGGCTGATGAATGTAACATTTTGTGGAATCTGCTCTCCAACATTTTTACATTCATCATAAAATCCTGGACTGTGAAAATTTGCCATAAGTATTCCAGGTTGAATCTTGCCAAAGGAATCTAAAACTGTAAAAGGAAATTCAATTTTAATTGTCATTCCATCAGCAAATCGTCAACAAAACTGTTTGAAACATGTACATTACTAGTAATATGGTATTAAATTAAAAAGGTACAGAAAGGTCCAATTTATCTCATTTTTTAGAGGTCCCTCACATCCCCTTTTAAAATCTTTGCTAAAAGCCTGTGTAACAACAGAGTCACAATGTGAGGCTTTGGTCATTTGTAAACAACCTTATGTCGTCACTAGCTGCATTGGATATCATGGAGGATTCCCCATCACCCCCTATTTTGTTGATTACCTGTGTATTGTGTGCATTCAAGCAGAAAGTGATTTCCTGCGATACACTAGTTTATGCATATGCAGTGGCTATATTGAGGTACGTTTCACCTTTGTGTATAGTTAGCAGGTCCAGCACAATGTCTTGATTAAGCTATATAGCTTTTTAAAGCTATATAGCTTTATTAAGCTATTTTAAATAGCTTAATAAAGCTATTTATATGCAGTTTTTAACAAAAACGTTTTTAGTGAGAAATAAACAAAAAGTCACAAGTATTTGACTATTCATATACTTTGGGCTATCAAAAAAACAACCTAAATCATAGAAAGTTCTAACATTGCTGTTGTTTGAATACTTTTAAGCAAAAGATGAATTTCCATTGTTTGGGTAACTGCACTGGTGGAAAGTGTCCTATTGAGTGCGGTGAGGCGTGGATACCGGTGGATAAGTATGATTGCTTCTCATTGTGTTGAACTTTTACCAGTCAATTATGTTGTTGGCTATAACTGACCTCCTTTATAATTTCATTCAAGAAATAACTGTGTGGTCACTCATCAAAAGCCCCACAAACTTTTAAAAATTTGAGTACAAAGTCTCTCAAGGAGACACAATTTGGTGAGTGATTTTCACATGCATTGTATTCAGAAGAGTTCAAAGTTTAATATTTCCACTGCAACAAGGTCCGACTTTTTGCACATGCTGAAAAAATAAAACATTTGAGAAAAAAGTGTGATAAAATAGCTTAATCAAGCTATTCCAAATAGCTTAATAAAGCTATATAGCTAAATCAAGCTATATAGCTTAATCAAGACATTGTGCCGGACCTGGTTAGAACAATCTAATTTAACTGTGTCTCGAAACAAGCCCTCACCACAGTTAGAATACGTCCCATTTACTTGCAATGTAGCAAATCTGAATGGCGGGGGTATGAATTCTTTATATAGATTAATCAAAAGATTGTAATCCAACCTGATAATTTCACTGCTCAGTCTCACCTTGAAGGCCCCATGCCTCTCCCTGCCTGGTAGCATTCAAGACTCTTGTTAAATCATCGATACAAAGTGTGATATTGTTTTTTGCTCCAATGTTTTTTCCAATTTCATTCAATAATACATCGAAAGAGTCGAGAGTATGCAGATTCCCGATCTGGGTGAAAATCTGGGACACCTCACTGCTTTCACTTCGCAACTTCGGTACGTGTGATATTTTCGACTGCACGTCATTCAGAATTTCAAAATATGATGTATCTTCGGCAAATGCAACAGATAAACAAAAAGAAAATACAAGCACTTTGGAATACATGTCTGAAAGAACCTGAGTAACTGACATTGCAAAGCAATGGGTAATGCTCACAATCACCTGATTTTACTCGGAAATTTAAGATTGCTAACTAAATATAAAAACAAAACGAACATATTCCGGAAAGGAGAAAGAACGTAAATCAAAGTACTGAAAATACTGGTAGGAACTTAAATTTTTTTTTTCTGAATGAATATTAAGGTTGTTAGAAAATTGATCTGTTCCTTTTTGGTTAAATAGAATGAATGCAACATAACAAAATTCTGAAAAAAGATTAAAAATTGTCTTACTTGAAATTCAAAATAAAGATGAAAACTTTTTTAAATAAGTATTCATTTTTTAAAAAATACACTATTTTTTTTATTGTTTTTTTTTAATAACAAACTAAATAGAGTCAATTTATTCTCCTTTTAATAGTACTACTTTTTAAAAGTAAAAAAAAAAATGTTTAAATTTTATAAGGATATGCTATATGATTATATAATATTTATAATTTCCCTCCTAAAGCTCAGCAAGATATAAGATGCACTGCATAATATTTTTAATTTATGACCAAATTAGTGTCACCCTGGAGACTGACTCTTTAAATAAGAGAAATAATTTTTTATAACTTTTATAGAGGGATTTTCCTCCACCATTAGACCATCTTAAAAATGTGTGGTTGCTCTCTCTTGACCTGAGCTAGTTCAAAATGACTGGACTCAAAACTTTGCTTGACCGTCAATCCAGGATTTTATTTTTCTTTTTATTCCTGAATTTTCCCATTCCATCAACATATATATGTTGAGATTTTCTGAGAAAAAACCCCACCTATATACCTAGCTCTACTGATCGACCCAATGAGTCGGGAGAGGGAAGCAAACATTATTTTAATAAAAGATGGCCTTATGGTATTGCAAATACATGTAGTATTAATACATTTGCCAATGAAGGACCCTTTCATACATGTACCTTGTGGCCAGGAATATTACAATTTTTGTACAGGCTAAATTGTAGTAATTACACAAAAAGTTTGTCAAACACAGCTGAACATTATTTTGTTGATATCTTGAATATCAGGGATATGTTGAACTGATTTAGTAATCCCAACATCTAATTCAGACAATTGTCCTTCAATACTTACCATCTGACATTATGTATCTCTACAGTTAATCTGAATCACATTGAGTTAGAGGTGATGAGTTTTGACTGTATAGGTCCTTGAAAAAAAATTCCAAAGCTATCATTAGCCATAAGCATACAAACATGGATTTGTCCATGCACTCTGCTCTCCATTTAGGGAGCAGAGTGAACCAAAAATTGTGCATGGCACCTTTTCTATCAAAGATGAGTGAATGATATGAAATGATTGTAGTCAGATGAATATAACCATGCATTCTGCCCACTAGATACATGTCTTCTAAAAGAAAAGATTTTTAATTTCAAAGACGTATTTTCAATTTAATGACCAATTGAATTACAGCCTCACCCTGGAACCAAGTCAATTGCAATTTTTGTGTAAAACTGCATGGTCAAATATTTATTACCTTTATAAAAATACATGTAGTCTATCTAATAAATGTCTAAGATTTATAGAGATTTTCAAAAATGAAATGCTTTTTCCAATACATGACCATCATAGGGCCTGATCCAGGTATACAATTTTGGTAAAGGCCCTAATTTGCTTATTAATTCATTGCAATCATGCTACATGTAACAGTACCCATAATGGCTGTCTCATATCCAGAAGAACAGATTTTTGAAGACTGCAATAAGTTTCTTTTGACCACACATTTCAAGCCCCCGAGGAGGCAGAATCCCATTAAGTTAATTCACGTTTTCATTTTACCAATAGATGCTTTGTACCAAATTGGTTTACAATTAATTTAGCCCAGTAGAAGATCCAGTGGTCATGGGGGAATGAGACAGCCCCAATCTAAATCTTTTAGTTACTACTGTATATTAATGTAATAAAGTAATCAAATATGCCTTAATCCATTCTCTCATACTTAGGGGAAAAACTCTATCTCCTTTTATAAGTTGATTAGAAGAGTCATACATCTATATGCTATGAAGGTCCTTTGTTTTGAGAGCCACTTTCATCATTAATAAAAGAATAAATAAAAGAAATGCAAAGACTTGGTATTTATTTTTTAAGTGTTTAACAAATCAAATAATACCATCCTAAAACTGAAGCTTTCATATCAGAAAAACTTAAGTCTATATATTAGAGTGTATGGCCCCAACAGTTAACAAAGTTACCTGTAGACCTTACACTTATTGATGAAAAGTATAATAGATGAGATACAGGAATGCAGTCATTATGACAAAAATGATCAAGAATCAAATAGTGTACATATACAGTGATATTTGAATATTCACTTTCTTAACGAATAATTACTAAAATGATTAAACACAGATTTTATGTCTTTCTACATTAATTGTACAATAACTTTGTAATAATTAAAGCTCTTAGTGGACTAGATGACTTACAAATTTTTTTTAGATTGCAATGCATATGCTGATTAGTAAAAAACATGGCACTGTTAGTAGTCATAGAAATGCTACCCTGCTCTATTAAAATCCAGTTAAAATGTTAATTTATATACCAAACCCATATAGTGGGTTTAAATACATGAAATTTTTTATTCTGATCTCATTTCACATTTATCAGGAAAAACCTTAAACAGCTAGAATTCTCAATGAAAATTTAAAATTCATTGAAACAATTACATGTACATTTATCTGTATAAATGCATAGCATGCAGGTACATAGGCCTATTTATTTTGTTCAGTGTACAAAGTAATGAAAATATCTAGATACTGGTCATGTAAATTACATAATAGTAAAAAAATATAATGTAATATCCTGGTATAATAATAATAAAAACAATATAGTAAACATGTAACATACATTATGTAAAGTCAATCCAGGACTGATTCATATGTAAGGTAGATTTATATATGGAAGAAACACAGTGTACAAAAATACAAAACATGTACAATATCAATCAGACCAACTCCTATTCATAAAAAATAAGCTCATAATGCATAAACCAGCATTTATAATAAAAAAAAATAACTCTCAGATTCATCCCTATTGTTATAAGAATATATTTTTAAAAACATATCTTGCTAACTTAAAAAATGCACATAGATGAATGAGAAATGATCTATAACTATTGAAAAAATAACGCAACAGCTAACGACTTTAGTAAAAGAATGAAAGTCTCATCAATGCATTTGTTAGTGATCAATTAATGCTGATGGAATGCAAATTAAGCTAAAATCAAATTCCTAATGCTCCAATCTGTTGAACTTCCTGTTTATTTGAAATTGGATATACTTCCTGTTTATTTAACATGTGACATGGTTCCTGATGCTGCTGTCACCTGCAAAAGGAATTTTCCTTCATTAACAGTTCAAAAGTGCAAAACTATTTTCCAATACAAATACTTGTACATCAATAATGTATTTACATGTACATAATGTATTTACATGTACAAAGTGCTGGACTCTGCTTTTGTGAATTCACGCACCGAAATACTTAAGGTACATGTAACTCTACTCACATTTCAAATGCAATAGCATGGTGCCCCATGCTACAGGAGTGTTCTAATATTTACCTTTTTTCTGCATATTGGTACATGTATTACAAATTTGGCAAAAATATTCCAAAAATTTTTTCTGCATATTGGTACATGTATTTATTTTGACCCAGTTATCCATTAGAATTGTCCGGATCAATAGAGATTTTTTTTTTAAGAAAATCAAGCTACAAATGAATATTGTATACAAGTTGAATAAAATGACAAGATAGAAATCACAGTAAAAAAAATTTGACAGATCTCACCTTATCCATAATGATTTTCTCTGAAATGTCAGATAATTCTGTGGCAAATATATTGACATGGAATGGAGTGAATGCTTCCTCCATGATTCCTTTGTTGGTGGAGATTTTGGCTCTCATCATCGGCTTCACATTGCAACCAACCCTGAAATTCAGCAAGACATTCATTAGACATAAAATAATAAAAGAAATTATTCTAAAATATATTGTTTAATATAATCAAATATTAAGGTACAAAGTGTACAACATATGTATGTACAGTTGGTGATTCAAAGTATACTGTAAACCAAATATTTTTCCTGATAACTGGTGTAAATTTTCAGTTTTAAATTATCAGTTTCAAATCAATCCTGACTTTATATGATGAAGGAAAGACAACATGTAAATGAATCATGATAAATGGATCCAGGAATTTTTTCAAAGGGGTCCAGTCCAGTTTAAAAAAAAATTCCAACCCAGAAATTTCTTAACAAGCAAGGTGGGGGTGGTGGTTCAAGATCACTTACAGTTGTTATAGTATATACATTTAATAACTGCAAATTTCAAGGGGTCCAGACACCAAGGGTCAAGCAAAAATTTGGTAAGCTATTAATTATCTACAGATCTATACTGTATTTACTCAGACAAATTTTGCAACAATTTTGGTTGTTTCTGAGAGCTTCAATCATGAGTTCAACAACATGTAATAGTTAGTATCCTCACATAAATCCTTCTTATTTACATTTTGATCATAATTATCAATCAACTTATATATAGCTTTATTGTACATTGATCTCTCCACCAGAACAAGAGGCCCATGGGCCACATCCCTCACCTGAGAAGCTTTGACCATTCTGTTCTTTACCAGATTTCCCCCTTTAAATACATACCGCGACCTCACCCTACCCCACTGATCATAATTTAGACATTTTGAAATCTACACTACCCCAGGATGCTTCCATGTGCACATAAATTTTAGCTTTTCTGGCCCAGTGGTTCTTGAGAAGAAGATTTTCAAAGATTTTTCCTATATATTTCTATGTAAAACTTGGATTTCCTCATTGTGGCCCCGCCCTACCCCCAGGGGTCATGAATTGAACAATTTAGAATTTACACTACCCCAGGATGCTTCCACATAAGTTTCAGCTCTAAGGGCCCAGTGGTTCTTGAGAAGAAGATTTTCAAAGATTTTTCCTATATATTTCTATGTAAAACTTGGATTTCCCATTGTGGCCCCGCCCTACCCCCAGGGGTGATGAATTGAACAATTTAGAATCTACACTACCCCAGGATGCTTCCACATAAGTTTCAGCTCTAAGGGCCCAGTGGTTCTTGAGAAGAAGATTTTTCAAAGATTTCTATGTAAAATTTGGATTCCCCACTGTGGCCCTGCCCTACCCCCGGGGGTCATGATTTCTAACAATTTAGAATCTACACTAACCCAGGATGCTTCCACATAAGTTTCAGCTTTTCTGGCCCAGTGGTTCTTGAGAAGATGATTTTCAAAGATTTTTCCTATATATTTCTATGTAAAACTTGGATTCCCCATTGTGGCCCTGCCCTACCCCCGGGGGTCATGATTTGAACAATTTAGAATCTACACTAACCCAGGATGCTTCCACATAAGTTTCAGCTTTTCTGGCCCAGTGGTTGTTGAGAAGAAGATTTTTTAATGACCCCACCCTATTTTTGTCTTTTCTTGATTATCTCCCCTTGTGAGGGGGCTTGGCCCTTCATTTTAACAATTTAAATTCCCCTTTACCCAAGGATGCTTTGTACCAAGTTTGGTCAAAATTGGCCCTGTGGTTCTTGAGAAGAAGTCGAAAATGTGAAAAGTTTACAGACGGACAGACAGACAGACGGACAGACAGACAGACAGACAGACGGACGGACGACGGACAAAATGTGATGAGAAAAGCTCACTTGAGCCTTCGGCTCAGGTGAGCTAAAAACCAGAACGTTCAACCTTGATCTAGCTATTCTGCTAAGATATGAAATCCATCATAAAAAAGAAAAATGAAATCAGTAAACATGTTAAAATGCATCCTTTAATCTATTTCCTTACCATTGAATGTGTACAAATTTAACTGTGGTGATATCATCTACAGTGTCTGTGACCCGGTATAAACCATACATCACTTTAGCATCATCAAGCATCTCTTTAAGTTCTGAGATGTCCCCTGACCCTTTGCCTGTGCATGTGACTGGCCCTTTTGCAGTTTCATATTCTGCCAGCATCCATCTTGTATCATTATCATCCTTTCGCACCTCTCCTATTGCACACATGACATCTGAGGTAATATCTATCCTTCCTCCTATTTTTGACACCTCTGGGGCGGCCACAGAGGGCTGGGGAGCTCTCTTTTGAGGGAGTTGACTGTTTGTGAATCCTCTCTCTTGCATTCCTGGTGTTTTTGTTTCTAAAACTTTTGATTTCTTTCCTGTATTTTCTTCTAACTAAAAGAATTTTACAATAATCATTAACATTTCACTTGTTTAAATATTTACTTAAATAACATGTATCTATCAAATTGGTAATAAACTATTACCTCCCCCTTCATTTTTTTTAAAAAGAGATTATGAATTCACTTCCTATTTAATATATAAATGTAGTTTCTAAACTAAAAAAATGTAAAACGCTTTATTTAGATGTAAACACAAGCAGATATACCAATTACTTAGATGCCATTTTTTTCACGAAAAGATTTCAATGTTTATAGATCTACTCCCTTTTATCTCTACTTTAAAATACACTGTGTCAATATTTTATACCGGTTTAATAGCTTGGCAGAGGAAACTTGTGTTTAATCAGACATTTTAATCAAAGTTTGCCTCAGTTTCCTTGTAAAGCTTTGTTATCTCTTGGAAAAAATAAGTTGAGAAAAAACTAATACCTGTTGTAAAATCTTGTCTGTATCAAAATCATCTCGTGAGCTTGTTTCTACCATTAAGTGAAAAGGGTGGAACTTCTCTTCTATGCTTCCATGGACAACCCCATAGCGGCCCTTCTTCCCAAATGGTATTTTGTCTCCCATCCTACACAGTTTACAATAAAAACATGTTTAAATACAAACAAGGGCATAATATTATTACCAAATTGCTTATATGCAGGTCTATAAACATGATAAAAGATCTTTACTTAGCTGTAGTTAATTAAAGGATGAGGTGATTTGCGGCCCCTCGTATACTGACAAAAAATTAAATGTCTAAATTTTACTCAATTTTTGTATGTAACTAATCACTGATATGTGTACCTATATAGAATACTATTTTTAACAAAAATAGAAACGTGATTTGAAATATATAGATCTTGTGTTGTGGTAGGGGTATCATGTTTACATTCAATTCCCATAGCATTTTAACCCCGCCCCCGTCTTTGAAGGCCTTAAAATATACGAGCGCAGGTCGGTACAATTTTCTACTTTGGCTGGTCACTGTATTTTATTCAAATCTACCTATATGTGAAAGGAGAAAATTGTACCTAATTGCGCTCACATGCTATTTTTTAAAAAGTTGTAAAATGTAGTTTGCCTTTCCCATTATAAACAGATCGACGGAACTAGATTTTCTGACGTAAGAATGAATTCATATGCTAATCGAGGCACAGGCGATACTTTCTAACTGACCAATCAGCTAAATGAAATTCGTTACGAGTGAGTATACAAAAATACTATGGAAACAAGCTTGGAATTTTACTGCTTTCCGATATTTTTATGCATTTGAGTCACAGACTAGACTCGGATCTACACATGTACCATTTCCGAGACCACAGTAAAATTTATATACAGTTACAAACAATTGATAGAATATACATGATATACATTAGTTTAAAGTTTTGTAGCGTGTTTGGTGAGCAATTCGCTAGGTCTACACGTATTCCCGAGTATCGGTGAATACAAGTTTCATGTGCATTTCTTGTCCTAAAAACCGTAAATGCTGAAAATCCATGCGTATTATTAAGTATAAACAGCGTTGGCTGACCATTATAAAAGTTTGAAATGTAGAAAAGGACAACAGGTAAATTGACCAAAACCACGTGCCTGTGATAAAATGTAAACGTAGTAAACCAGCATGTTTTGTTGTTCTGTCATCGGATTGGACAATGACTAAGTGCGAAATAATAACAATAGCCATATAAGGTCTTCTCTGGCACGCATATCCCTCTATTGAACTAAGACCCGCCCATTCCCTTGCCATAAAAGAAAATACTCGCACAAACCTAGCCGAATTTAGCTGTGATAGGGTCTAAGAAATCACAGATAATGCAGTATTCCTTATAATTAAAATGTGTCTGAACTATTGAAACTATTCAAAAGGCGTCGTATTTATTCACTCATGTTTGAAAACTACCAGCATCGTTGTAGATTAAATATAATTCGTTGTGGAAAAAGGGGCCCAGATAGCAGTTATGTCACATCATCCTTTTATTCAAATATATCAGTTTATTATGGTTTCCTACACATTAAACCAGACGGTACTACAATAAGTTAATTTAAATCACGCCTGTCCGTCAGTCTAGCTGTTTGTTTGTTCCAACTAGTTTTCTGCAGGTTTTTTTTTTCTAAATGCTTGCAAATATTGAGCTTATTTTGGTACAAGGGTGTATCTGGATGAGTTATAGATCAAGATTAAATTTTTCTTCCATTTCAATAATTTTTTGATGGGATTACTGCATTTTCAATTTTAAATGGGAACCAAATATTGGCAAATAACACTTGTTAGAACTAGAGGATAAGTATTGCTAATGCTATACTCTCAGAATGTTTGTTTTCTTTTGTAATAGGGTGATCACATATTCTGAAAGTATTCAATACATGTACATAAAACATAGGTAATCAAAGATTACAAAGCTCACCTCGACAAATGTTATCAATTTAGGTAATGCAAATCTCAAATCATATTTCCTTAACAGTTAGCATTTATTCTGACAACAGTATTCAAGCAAGTTCTGTTTAAATAGGTCTTAAATTTCATTGGGGATTGACCAGTTCCAAAAAATTTAACATCATCAATTGTTTGGAAAATACGGGTCAGATCCAACATCCAAAGCAACTTTCCATTGTCCATCCTTAAATGCATCATCCATGCAAGTATGGCCCGAGTAGGGCTTTTAATTACTTGGGAATAACCTAGTCACTAATCTGGAAAATGTAGGTCACATCCAGCATCCGAAGCAAGTCTGGTAGTGTCCATCCCAAAATGCAGCATTTATGCAAGTTTGGTCCAGGTAGGGCTTATATTTACTTGGGAATGGACCTGCTCCAAAAACTTTATCTGGTCACTCATCTGGAAAATGTAGGTCACATCCAGCACCCGAAGCAAGTCTGGTAGTGTCCATCCCAAGATGCAGCATTTATGCAAGTTTGGTCCAGGTAGGGCTTATATTTACTTGGGAATGGACCTGCTCAGAAAACTTTGACCTGGTCACTCATCTGGAAAATGTAGGTCACATCCAGCATCCGAAGCAAGTCTGGTAGTGTCCATCCCTAGATGCATCATCCATGCAAGTTTGGTACGGGTAGGGCTTATAGTTAATTGGGAATGGACCTGCTCAGAAAACTTTAACCTGGTCACTCAACTAGAAAATGTAGGTCGCATCCAGCATCCGAAGCAAGTCTGGTAGTGTCCATCCCTAGATGCATCATCCATGCAAGTTTGGTCCAGTTAGAGCTTATATTTACTTGGGTCCTAACACTTTAACTGGGACGATGACACCGACGCCGACGCCGGGGGTATAGCATAAGCTCATATCGACTTCGTCGAGGTGAGCTAAAAAGGCATATGAAAAAACATCAAATGAATTCAAGAACACATACCATCTAAAGTAGACAAATTTGATGGTGTTGGACATATCAAACGTGGACTCGTATCTGGCTAGTGCATACATAGCCTGGCAATCATCTAAATATTCCACTAACTCTGCTGGGTCTTGACCTGTCCGCAGAATGGTCAGTTTATTGGGGTTTTCCTCCACATGTTGGACCAAGACATACTTATCATCTGTGTTGTCATCTCGCACAGAATGAATGGCTTCTACAAAGTTGGCACCATCTATGAATTCTGCTGTGGTACTCATAATGAATTAAAGAACTGAAATGATAAAAAATAAATCATGAAAAGATTGAAAACTAATTTTAAACTTAACACTTTTAAAATTAACACTGTTATGAATATCAAACAATTAATTTATGAATGTTAAAGATACATATTGCTTTTAGTAATTAGGCGCATACAATTACATGATACATAAACTTGTTTTTGGCAACAATATTACAATCTGTCCAGTATATTATAATATTATACTTTCATGTCAATTAGTTGAATCTGATTGGTCGAGAAACATTTGTTAAAAAACACTACTACACTAATAATGAAGCCACGCCCTCTAGCGTAGCAACAGTCAACATTGCATAACGACGGGTGGTATTCCAAAAAATAGTGACTGCGCAGAATTTATGCATGCACGGTTCACTGTTTTATGTATTTGTATAAAACATTCAGTATAATATAATAAATATATAGCATGTAGTTGAGTGTAACATTGAAAATCTTAAATGGAGAGAACTAATATAGGCCCTTGGCCTGCTGTTCAATCCATATTCATATTGTACTCTTTGTATATTATGAATAAAATACTTCTTAAACTATAACATTGAAAATTTTCACCCCTCGGAAACCATTGTCAACCTCGGCTGCGCCTCGGTTGACAATGGTTTTCTTGGGGTGAAAATGTTTAATGTTACTTTCAACTACATGCAATATTTATATAATAATAAATGACTCCATTAAAAAGGTTATGCAACAAATTTAATAGTACATGTACTCCATACATTTGTAGCCTATAAGTATGGCTCGCCAAATTCACAAAATTGAGCTAATCATAGTTTCACAGTCGATAAACTAGGTTTATCGGTTGTAAACTATAGTTTATGGACTGTTAACTATAGTTAACAACGTTTATCTATATTTTACATTTGTAAACCATAGTTAACGTGATAATCTATGTTTCACAACCATAAATTATACTTAACACCAAAAACAATCATTTGCAATCACAAAACATAGATTATCTGATAAATACAGTTTCATGATTTGTAAACTATGGTTTACAACTCTTAACCATAGTTAGCGATCGTAAATTATAGTTTAAAGACGTGAATCTATGTTTATCAACAAAATCTATTGTTAACGTTTTATTACAGCATTTGTAAACTATAGTTAACAACCATTAAATATAGTTTTACAGATGAAAACTGTACTTAACGAATCGTTAACTATAGTTTACGGTTTGTAAACTATAGTTTACAGTCGATAAACCTAGTTTATCAATTGTGAAACTAGGTTTAGCTCATTTTTGTGAATTTGGCGTGCCATATATAAGGATGCATGATAATACATAATAAATAATTTGATCTTACATACACTACCAGAATTAGTGTTATAACCATTATACATGTATAATTAAAGTACTTACATTAATTAGTTTTAAAACATCCAAACAATCAGCAACAGTCAATTTAACAAAGGGGTAAGTTTGATTTCCTGATCTCAAGTTTTACAAAATGCCTATCTTGTTCTAAAAATAGGTGTATGTATAAATTTACTGACAAATCTATTATGAACTCAGGAAGTGTCGTATTAAACTGTTCTAGTATTAAGTACACACTCAGAGGGATCTTGAATGCAATGTTAAAAAAATATTCACACAATAGATTTCCAGGAGATGCACAGTATTCTGAATCATATTTAATAATATTTTTTAAAATTTTGTGTGTAATCTATAAAAACTATATTAAAAAAAAACTGTTCATAACTTATGTCTTATAATTTCAAACATGATTAAAAATCTTGAAGTAAGAAATATTCTCTCCTCATTCAACCTGATCAATATTGATCACCAGAATGGGAGAGGATCATAATATTTAGGTCGTGGTTTGCAATGATGTGGGAACCTATGTATAGGACACTAAATACAGTAAATTAATAATTACATGTAACACCTTGAGTAAAATAATTTTGTTTTACAACATTATTAACATAAATCAAGAAAAGTTTTGTTAATTTCAATGCCCCCCTCTCCCAAATAACCATATTAATTTAAATAAACATATATCGTGATACTCTATATCGAATCGTAATCTCTTCGAGATGGGTGGATCGAGACTAAAATTTTGGTAGTAGACGTCAGACCAAAATTTTAGTCTCTATCCATCTCGATGAGATTAATCGAATCGTGGCTCAAATACCGGTACCACGATACGTATCGATATAAAAAAGTTATATCGCCCTAATACAAATGGTCTTATGTTGTATTTCAGAATTAGTTTTTGAATTTATAAACGTACGTAATATGAACCCACAGGTACTTGGGTCTTGGTTTATAAATATGTTTGTACCTTATTGATACTTTTTTTTTTTTTTTTTTTACAAATAACAATAACATGAATAAGGTACATACATATTTATAAACCAAGACCCAAGTATACCTGTGTATGAACCTTAATTTATACAGAAAATATATGCAATACTTACAATTGAAGTAAACTATTATATCGTATTCCTCTGTTTTAGTCTAATTATAACGCTGATTACGTCCAGCTGTATCAAAGTGCAACTACATGTGTAATTCTTTAAACACCCGGCTCACATTCCTGCGGTTCCAAAACATGCAAGGTATTTAAAAAATGTCATGTCCATATGACTGTATACATGCATCACATACCTGAGTGACAAAGCCAAGGATATATTTGTTGTGTTGTCACAGACCAGACTATTGTGCTCCTAAAATGCAAAAAGCCGTCACCCACGAGTCACCACGCCCAGTTTAGTCCATCATTTCCTTCATGCAAAATATTAGAGTGATCGCCCGTAAAAAAGGGTAAATCTCAAAATATGTTTAAACAAGCCAATTCAGAGAATCAGTGTTCCACGCTTTAAATAAGGTGCTTAGAAACAGATTGGACACAGATTTGATGTTAATGTTTTCTCAAATCTTATTAATAATTTCATGACTTTTGTTGCCATAGCATTTCATACGAAAATATGATAAAAATTTTCTGGAAGTTATAAAAAAATATTGAAACTTCCAATTTCTAGACGCGTTTGATTGACACATTCTTTACACTCACAAATTTTAACTTTATTCTTAAACAGGCAATTTTGTTGTGTATTAATGAAGAATTTCAAAATATAATCCAAAAAATTTAGAGTAGAAATATGCGAAACCAATTTACCGGGTGTGTTTATTCTCTTTAGAGAAGTGGACAGGCCAGAATTAAGTGGACAGCCTAATCGAATGTAGGCAAAAGCCTATCCACTTCTCTGAAGAGAATACGGGTGTATTCAATTGTTAAGCTTTGCGCACACCACTGAGCACGGACTGATAAAACTAAATTTTGGGTATTGCTTTCGCACGTGGATAATTATTTTATACAATTAATTAAAACTGATTAAGACATACGATCGCCCATTGGCAACAATTAATAAATTAGCATTGATCATAGTTGTTTGTTTTTTTTATTATTTAGAAATTTAGTTCGAATAAATCATAATATATATAAACATTTATCATAAAACAACGAAATATAATTATTGTTTTACTTTTAGGAAATAGTAGATTAAAATCGGCGCGAAACGTTTGAGCGCGAAATGTCTTTAGGGGCGAATGGTATCGGCGCGAACCGTCCAATAGAGGCGAAACGTCCCTTAAATCGGCGTCTGCAGTGGCCGCAGATGATGGGATGCTTTAAAAGGGGGTGGTGCCAGGGGGATTTGGTATATAAAAAAACTTATCGCAAAGCTCAAAAACTTCTTGAGATATCGCTCGGAAATTAATAATTTGTGACCTTTGAACTTTTGACCTCAAAATCAACAGGGGTCTTCCTTGGCCAATTGAGAGATGTATAAAATTTGTTTGACAAATGCTTTTCCGAGATATTGCGGGAAACAGACAGAATTTATGATCTTGACATTTGACTTCTGATCTCAAAACATGAGGTCGACGTCATACTTAGGCTACGATTTTTGATTTTTTTTTGAATATGAGCAAATGATGAGGGTATTCATATCATATCATGCTGACACACTTAGAAAAAAAAAAAACACATAGAAGTTTAGGTCCCATTAAGGCGCTTGGCGTATTTAACATTTCTTTTCATAAATAAAAAAAATCCACATATTGTAATAATTATAATAGTTTTTTTTTAATTTATAAAAAGAAATGTTAAAAACGTCAAGCGCCTGTAGTTAGTCATCGTCGCAAGCCACGGGTTTTGTGTCCATTCTGTTTGTGGAAAAAGAATGGACAATAAACCTGGCTGTGGCTGGCGACGATTGTAGTTAGTATGATTCACATATACTGTTTTAACGTGCCTGTTGAAACTGTGTGTGGGTGTAAGGGGGGGGGGGCTACAAAGGCGTCGGAACCGGGGGGGGCCCTTTTTTTTTTTGTTGCAAAGATAGACTTAGTATACTGTATAGGCATTGTACATTTCGGCGTAGGTTTAGCCCCCCTTTCTCCAGACACAACGCAGCATAGGTTAAAAATGGGCAAAGTGGTGGTGTTTTGAGAAAAAAATTGGTAGTAAACCCCCCCCCCACACACACACACGATATAGTCCTTTCGTGTTTGAACAATGGCCATATTTTCCGTTCTTGTCAGGTATTTTTGTATGTTTAAAAAATTTTCTTTTACACATAGCCCCCCCCCCTTTTTTTTAATTTGCTTCCGACGCCAATGGGATAATCCGATATACCTGCGCTCCAATGTCTACCTTTGCAAAAAAAAAAAAAAAAAAAAAACGGCACCTTGTGAAAACGGGGTGGGCACTTAGGAAATGTGCAAAACGGCACTTGAGAGGAGTCAAAACGGCACTTTTTTTATTTTGAGAATTTGATATTGTTTATACAGAAAATGGATCTTTACATTACATTTATAGTAATAAATGTGTATATTATTTTTGATAATAAATGGTTTAAAAATATTGTAGGAAACCAGGGACCTATGTTAGTATATAGGTCCAGGGCTGAAGAAACTAAGTGCCACCCCCCCTCCCCCGGCTCCGACACCTAACAGTTATGCATCGATTAACAAAGATTAATTATTTATCGTATTAAAAGTATTTTTTCCATTTTTCTTTTTTCCCAATGTCTTTGACATTTCACGTCCCACAACAGGCGAAAATTTTTGATCCACTCCTGTAATCTTATGGAGAGCATTTTTTCAAATTTTTATACGGTCCCTTCGCATAATGATTTCTTTTTTATCCAATCAAATAGCTCGCATCATTCAATGCTCGTCTGCCACGAGGAAAGAGGGAATGGATGAAAAAAAGTAAACGACAGAGATTGAAATAGGCACGATGGCCACAGAAGGAATGGTGGACATTTCAAAAGAAGAGGAGAAGAAACTGAGGGAATTATTTGACAATCTGGATGTAAACAAGGACGGGAGAATCGACATCAATGACCTGACTCAGGCTCTGTCCACCTTGCAAGTTCCACAAACACCGGGTCATGCAAAGGTTATATTTAAAAGCAAATTTTTTATTGTTTACTTATAGTTTTTAAAGTGTAATGCCAGTAGTTAAAGAACTTCCTTGAAATTTAATATCAAATCATATTTTAATTCACACATGTCATATCTGAAGTAAAAACATTGTAGATATTGATTAGTTTTTACCAGTTTTAAATAAAAAGTCTGAGGACAACCTTTGTACTTGTAGGTTGATAGGGAATGTGTCATTTAGCTATAATGTGACAGAAAAAAGTCCACTTTTGCATGATTTAAAAAATTGATAAAAAATGAATTGGGGTGTAGTGACTGTGAACAAATGAAATGCATGTATACATTTACACATATTACATATTCTTCCACTATCACCCCTGGATAATAGTGACATGCCCCCTCCCCCCCCCTGAGGAGTAGCCCCCGAAAGGGGCAATAGAATTAGGCCTAGATAAATTCACTGTGTTTCTGGTTCCCCACCCAACCCTAAAATATAGGAGCTGACCCTGAAATTGTTTTCTGCCAATATCTTTTCAGGAGTGAATTCTTCTTCCTTTGAGAAAATGCAAATCATATGCAGATAATTCAGAAATATTTTGACAGTGATATCAAAGAAGAAAAGTGGCAGCATGCTTGCCAATAAAATGTTGATATAAAAAAAAATCCCTATCTTCCTAGTACCTACCCTGTTTTTTTCCTCAGGTTGGAATAGGAAACACAGTCGCTATTTATCTTGGCCTCATAAACAGTCAAAGCATTCTAGTCAAACAATATGTGAACAAAATGAAACAAGACATGAAATTATTTTTATTTAAAAATGTGTTACTTTAATCAGAATGTGTTGAAAATAACCTTAATTTGTATGATATACATATATTGTGATGGAGGAATGTCACCCCTTCTACCAAAATTTTTCTAAAGCAAGTTCATGATTTTCATATCATACATGAATAAACTCGTAGTTATGTCCTCACCTAAGTAATCATGCATGGATGTTTCATCTAGACTATTCTGTGGGATGCAAACTTCAGGGGTATTCATTTCAAATTTAGTGTGAGGTAGTTTATGCTGTACTGACTGAGAATGGCAAAACCAGAATATATTTTGGCCCTCAAAAATTCTCTTTGACCCCCCAAAGTTTACCTCACAGGGTCATAATGACCCTTGGTTTTTAAAGTGAGTGGAAATGCTGAGTCTATGATGAAATTGAGGGAAATATTTTAACTCTGGAATATAAAAAAACAATTAAAATTTGTCATGTCCTGCTTATTTGTTATTTTTACAAAGGATAAAAAAGCTCGGCTAAATCAGGTCAACAGCATCATAAAATTGTGTATACACACTTTTATAAAATTTAAAGGTAAGGAAAACAGTTCAAAAACAGCAAACCAAAATTATTCAACTTTTATTTTCATTAATTCTTCAAGGTATTTAAAATCAGAAGAATTTGTGTCAAATTGTTCCGATCTTTGTGTAGAGGTATTTTACTATATATAGCAACATTGGCTGCATTTCGTATTTTTGTTACTATATATAGCAACATTTCCGACATTTTTTTGTTTTCATTTCCGACATTTTTCAAATACATACGTATTACCTATAGTAACAGATTTGATAACTTTCCTTCAGAAAAATTTAAAGAAATAAATCAATAATAAATCATTGAAATCCAATTTTGTAAATCTATCAGTGACTTGGAATAAGTATGGTGCTGTCACTGGCATTTAATTTAGTGCGTTTTAAATGTGGTGAAAAAGTTTTATGCTCATTGAACTCTTTTACCAAGACTTAGTGCTACATGTATGCATATATGTATAGATGTTTTATTATTATTATTAATATTTTGGTATAAATGCTTTTAAAACTCCATTTTCTTTTACTTAGAAAACATTTATAATTGCCGCACAAGTAAAATTCCGGAAATGGAAAGAAAATTATGTCGGAAATGAAAACAAAAAATGTCGGAAATGAAATAAAAAAATGTCGGAAATGCTATGCATATTTCCGGAAATGAAATGCAGCGAGCAACATTAGGAGGACTTAGAACATCATTGGGCAGAAATATTGACATCATTGACTCCTTTTCTTCATTTGACTTTAATTTTATCCATCTGATTTCATAAATTATTTAAATACATACCATTAATTTATATCTGTAAATATACCTCTAAATGCAAAGACTTAGCTTTTTCTTTTGACATTTATAATTAGGTCCAAAGAAAAATTGTGAATTAGAGATAATTTTTTTTTAATCATTTTAAAGTGGTTGAAAAGGTATGTATTAATGCAAACTGTAGATTTAAAATAATTTAACTGAATTGATATGCATGAACTGTTTGATAAAAGCTTACATCAGATGAGACCATCTTTAAAGTAATGTTTGCTTGCCCTCTCCTGACTCCTTGAAAAAAATGGGTCAGTAGGTAGGTGGAAAAATCTTGGAACAATTTTGTTAAGATGGCCTGATATTGATAATTGTTTTTCCCTCCAGATCATCCAAAAGTTGATCTTTTCCCAATTAAAAATCTCAGAGTCAGACACCTTTTTAAACTTTTTCAAAATTCACATATAATATAAAATTAATCAGGATAAATTAAAATGTAAAATGCATGTACAGTAAAATAGGATTGTAGCAAACATGCTTAATAATGAGTTGACGCTTATGGCAAAAAGATTTTCATTCCTCATGACTTTAAAATACCTACATGTATATTGTAACATAGGATATAACAAATTCTGCTTTATATAATGAAGCAAAATCATCCACCCCTTGCACTTCAGTATAAGCATCATGTATGTAATACATCTTATATCTGACGTGTTGAAATTTTATAATTTCAGAAATTCTTTGACAAGCATGATAAAGATAAAGATGGGCAGATCGACTTTTCAGAATTTGTGAAGTATGTCACAGATCATGAGCGCCAACTACGCCTGTATTTCAAGAAAATTGACACAAATGATGATGGTGCGTACTTTCAATTGGAGTATTAATTTGTGGGTCTTATTATCACTAGCTAGAAAATTAAATCCAAGCTGGAGGCCATCAAGTTTTCTGTTTGTAAAAAAATGTTGTTACTTACTTCTGTTATTGTAGTAAGACTATGAATATTCCCACCTGGTAATAATTTTCCTTCCAGTTTACTCCATCTTAGCTAAAATCTCAGGTGACCCTTTCTGACCATTGATCACCTAACGTCTGACAACTGTCTCAAGCTGTCTGTATGTCTGTCTGTAAACTTTTTACATTTCAATTTCTTATTAAGCCACTGAGTCAATTTTAATCAAAGAAGGCACAAAGCATTCCAAAGGAAATTTTACATTGTTCATATGAAGGCCAAGGGGAGAGAATCAAGAAAAGTCAAAAATGTTCAACATGTTCAACAAAGACTGGACCAGAAAAAGTAAACTTAGTATAAAAAAAGCTCCAAAGGGAAATGTAGATTCCAAATTGTTGGAATCATAAACCCTGGGAGTAAGAATGGGCCACAGTTAAGACTAATTTAAAATTTACATTGAAATTAAAATAGAAAAAGTCATAAAAACCCTCTTCTCAGAAGTTCTCACTAACCATTGGACTGGACTGGATGAAACTTTTGTTAAAAGTCTAGATTCTACAATATTCAAATTAAGACCCCTAGTAGTAAATTCAGGCCTTACTAAGGGACCTACTTTTTATTTTGATTCAGAAGCATAAAATAACCATCCTCAAAAATGTATTAGAAAGAAAGATACCTATATGAAAACTTCCTTAATAGTGTTGGTACTAAGCTTTTACACTCATGGCTCTTAAAGCATGCACATGGGACCACAAAACTTAATAGGGTATCAAGTTTTGCATGGAAGCTCAATAGAACATTAATTTGCAAACACTCCTCCTTTGTTGTATGAATTTCCTTTTTTAAACAATGGACTCAAATAAGAGTTGGCTGAAATCAGGATCAGATTTTAAATATGTATGTATGTATACTGAAAAAGGATTTCCTCCCTTATTGCAAAACCATGTTAGCCATATCATTATTCAATTTGAAGTATCCCCATGGTATATTTTGATTCAAAGACCCCTTAGAATCAGGATGAGACCATAATATTGGGAAAATATTAAAATCTTTTAAAAATTTAAGGAACAGCATTGCTTAAGTAATTCAGGTGAGCATTGTGGAACAAGGGCCGCTTGTCAGAACATTTTTTTGCATTAAAGTAAAATTTAAATTCATTAAGAAAATGTACAATTTCAGATAAACTAAACTTTTTAATCAATGCACATTGAAACTTTTGTCTTTGTTTTGTTTGTTTGCAATGTATTGCATCATCACAGTATTAGCAGGGTTCGACACTAACGGTAGCCCGCTGGCCCGGGACAACTGAATATTGAGGTCGGGCTACTAAACATGCCTTTAAATTTGCCCTGCAGGGCTACTGTAAATTTTACCAAACACTCACTCAGAGCAACAAAAATAATTGTAATTTACATACAATGTACCTGATAATTGTTAAATTTATTTTAAACATATGTTATATCATCATAATTATTATTTTTGAAAGTCAAAATGTAAACTGTCAAGGTGATTGGAAATACCCTATATGATTTTAAATGTGGACTTTTTTTAATACAAAAACGTCTTTGGTACAATCGTAGAATGACATATAATTGTTACCCAAAATACAGCCAGAATGCAGGATTTCGCATATCTAGTTTCAAAATTTCCCGGGGGAGACCCCCCGTACCCCCACCAGCAGGAGGGGGAAACCCCCTCCCGCACCTACCCCCTCGTCGCTTCGCGACTCGGCCACCAGCCTTCGGCTGCTGGACAACTAATACATGAACGGGGCTAGTAGAAATTAGAAATTGGTAGCCCTGTTGACAACTATAGTTTTAAAGTTAGTGTCGATCCCTGATTAGTTATATTAATTCTGACCAAGAGAAATCTTTTATACTGTTTCAGGCTCAATTGATAGGGAAGAAATCATTGAGTCTTTCAAAAGACTTGGTGTTGCCATTGAGCCCAGTGAAGCTGATAAATTATTGTCCAAGTAAGTCTTTAGATAATGGAAATGACACATTTTTCAAATTAATTTATTTTTTGTATTTTTCAAGAATCATACATGACACTGATGCATCTTTTTAACTCTATTTACATCTGCATGGTGACCATTTGGTTTTCATTTCTAAGAGATTGATACAACTTTCCTTAGTTAATTTTTCAAGATACAAAGATGCGGGAGATATCTCATATCCTTAGAAGTCAAAGTAAAAATTCTACAAATAATTGTGTGATTTAGCCAGGACTAGTGTGACATGTATTTAATTGCAGAATGGACAAAGATGGTACACTTAAAATAGAATGGTCAGAATGGAGAGATTTTCTGCTTCTCTCTCCTTCTCAGAATATAAACGAAATTCTTCAACACTGGCGTCATGCCTCTGTAAGTAAGATATTATACTGGTATTTATATTTCTCCTCTTGCACCATTATTAAATTTTACTTGGAAATCCTACTTGGAACTCCTTTCTACAGATACAACTGTATAAGCATTATTACTTTTTAATTCCAGTGCATGCTAGTGTATATGTTAGTTAATTAGAATCTTTAGTACTAACATTTTTTCTTATAATCAAAAATATTTTATGCTAGACTCATTAATTAATAAAGATTTAAAAAAAATGAAATTTGTAGCTAGGAAAAGGAGGTCTTCAAATAATGAGGAAAATACAATATTCTGTCTGCTCTGTGCTTTGTTTTTCTATTGGATTTTCTTCTTTTTTTTTTGTCCCTTATTTCCTATAGAGAAACTGTGTAAGTATTTACTAGGTGAGTATAGGTTATCATTGACTTCTTATGATTAATTCTCAAGCATAAATAAAGTGACTTCAATATTAGTTGTTAGTATTGGATGTGAAATGTTTATCTTCACATTGTTTTACAAGGAGTGATGTACTGTGCTCAGTTTTATTAGCAAGTGAATATTTCAAGAAGGTCTAGATAAGTAGATCAGTGAATGCTTAGATATATTCCTACTGAAGTTGAAGATCACTGATCAGTGTTAGCAGTACATGTATATACTGCATATTTTGTAACCAAGAGTTGTATGCCTATAGTTGAAATTAAGAGTTATTCCCCTCGAGATTTCTTGTTTTATCTCCTACCCTCTGTTTAGTGCCATACATTTTATGTTTTAAATTTTGTAAGTTATCCTGAATATTTATAGCTTATCAAACATATAACATAGGAAAATAATTCAATGCACGCATTGCACAGTGTTGTTCTTTTATATGAACAGAATCAATGGAAAATCTTGTTCATTATGCCCTCCTTCAAAGAAGGGAGGGCATATATTGCTTTGCTGCTGTCTGTCAGTCAGCCAGTCTGTCTGTTGGTCCACAAAGTTTCCGTTCATTTTCTTTGCAGAGGTTGCACTTACTGTAATGAAATTTGGAATACAGATTTCTCAAAGGAATATATATGTCAAATACTGTATTGGGTACAATCGAGCCATTTTGAACAGAGTTATGCCCCTTGGACTTATAATTCCAATTGCAGTTTCCCTTCAGTTTTTTCGCTTAGGTTGCATCTATTGAAATTAAAATTTTTCATAAAGAATATCTAGGTCAAGTACTGTATTGGGAACAATTGAGCCAGTTTAGACAGAGTTATGCCCCTTGGACTTAAAAAAATTACAGTTATTTTCAGTTTCCATTCATTTTCTTCACTGAGGCTGCATATACTGAAGTGAAATTTGCTTTACAGATTTCTCATTAGAATAATTAGGTCAAGTTTTGTTTTGGGGTACAATTGAGCCATTGTAGAGAGAATTATGCCCCTTGGACATGGAAAAATTCCAATTATTTTCAGTTCCATGAATTTTTTTCTCAAGTATAGGCAGGCAGGGAGGGGGGCCATAAGTGTTTTACAAACAGTTCTTGTTCAGCTTTAAATCTGTTTCATTACATGCATGATTTATTCAGTTATACATCTAACAGTGTGATGTCCTGTATGTTAATTGTTTATGTGAGATTTGTGTGATTGCTAACCAGAAATATCTTAATGTGTGGATATACTTGCTGGATAATGTCTACTAAAGAAAGCTATTAAGTTTTTTTAACTCCAAAAAAAGTTTCTGTTCATCACCTGATTGCATGATTGAAGAGAGTTCTCCCTTTTTAACATATTAAAGTTTTAAATAAATAAGATTGAAAAATCAAGGTTTACCATTTTTAAAAAAAGTTTTTCTTAATTCTGTAGATGATAGATGTTGGTGAAAACATCATTGTACCAGATGATTTCACGGAGAAAGAAATGAAGACAGGGATCTGGAGAATAAATCTACTGGCGGGAGGCATGGCGGGGGCCGTGTCAAGGACGTGTACAGCCCCTCTAGATAGGATCAAGGTCATGTTACAGGTAAAGGAACTTGTGTTTGGAATCAATTAAATAATCTAACATTGGCTTCCTTGGATTATATATGGACAATCATGACTTTTTGGCCAATATCCTGCTTTTCTTTGTTTTAATTTCAGCACCCTCTTGTTTTTCTGTGACTATTTTACACTGTTTTCTTTACCAATGCAATGTAGAAAGTATATACAGCTACAATTACAAATGATAAAAGGAGTTGCAGCGGGAACATATTTACCTGGCTAATGAAAGAAGTTGTCAGATACATATTTAAATGAGTTTTGAAGCAAAAAATTTAATTGCAGAATAGCAGTATAATTTTTCTTGAATAAGCAGGATATATTGCAAAAAAGCAGTGTTGAATCACAGAAGAGTGAAATAGGGTCACTGTAATCACGTTAGTTGGCTGATTTTTAACAGAGTGAATTTTCCTCTTCTTGTGTGATTATGCTTTGCCTTTCATCAGTCATAATCTACACATTGTACATTTGTATATCAACATTATATTCAAAATTAACATGAAAATATTATTTTGAAAGGTGCATGGAACAAGTAAAAACAAATTTGGTGTTATTAATGGTTTCAAACACATGCTGGAGGAGGGTGGTGTTAAATCTATGTGGCGAGGAAATGGTGTGAATGTTATCAAGATAGCACCAGAAACTGCTATCAAATTTATGGCATATGAACAGGTACAATATGGAGAAAATTTTGTTTTATTAAAAATTTACAATTTAGGCTGAAATTATTTCAAAACATGTATACTTTTATCAAAATATTGAAATTTTCATCTTAAATTTAAAATAAAACAGGTAATGATAATTTCTATTTGTAGTTTAAGAAAATGATTCATGGAGACTCCAAAGAGGAACTGCTAGTTGCAGAGAGATTATTGGCTGGTTCATTAGCAGGAGCAACAGCTCAAACCATTATCTACCCAATGGAGGTAAGGGGAGGGAACTCATCCAGTAGACCTGAATTTGTCTGTTTTTATGTCTAACTATTGTTCTAAATTATAACCAATATCTAATAACATTTGGGTATGTATCAGAATGAAATAATGTTAGGGAAACTTTTTAATGATGATGTAACACAATTTAGAATTCTTTAATAGGTTCTTAAAACTCGACTTGCTATCAGGAAGACTGGCCAGTATAAAGGAATTCTGGACTGTGCAATGAAAATCTATTCAAAAGAAGGTGCTGCTGTGTTTTACAGAGGATATGTACCAAATTTACTAGGAATTATTCCATATGCTGGAATTGATCTAGCTGTCTATGAGGTGAGGATCCAGAGATTATTATTGCTTCATTTTATTAAAACAATTGCATTTTATCGATAAGAACTTTAAACTCTTGTGATTACACTTGCATTGTATTTTCATTGGGGTTTCAATTTCATTGTTAAAGATTGTTTTCATGATTTGAAGAGACTCACAGATTCATACTTGCCTCAAAATGTCAAATTTTCACACTGTAATAATTAGGGATTTTACAATCAAATTAAAAGCTAGTGAGAAAAAAAAGAATGTATTATAAATCCACTTTTAACCGCCTTCCGGGCAGTCGCACATTTTAGTGCATATACCATTTCCTGTTTCTAACACAAAATCACACATATACTGTTTCCCTGTAATCACGCATTTTCACGCACTTTAAAAAGTTTATTTAATCTTCAGTTTATTGCCAAATTCCTTATATTATACTTGCTTAAATCTCATGAAATAAGGAAAGATATTTTCTTATTGAAATAGCCTTATGTCATAATATTATTTAGGCTAAACTTTACAGAAACTTGAACCACGCTAAAAAGTTCTTGCGGGGAAATGGAAATGTCATATTTCTATAGAGTTAAACTGTTGTTGTCAATTATAGAATGCATGTATGTTTAAACTTATGAACATGTACCCAGTACTATATTTTGTATTTTTTCTGAAAAATTTCATAAAATGTGAATTGTTTGCCAGACTATGAAGAAATTGTATATGAAAACCTATGAGAACACAAACCCTGGGATATTTGTGCTGCTTGGATGTGGAACCATTAGCTGTACTGCTGGTCAGTTGGCCAGCTATCCTCTAGCTCTCGTACGAACTAAACTACAAGCTCAAGGTAAGGGAAAAAGACTTGTCATCTGTACCTTATTTTGTCCTGCTTCTCATATTTCTTTCTACTTTCATTTGTAAAAATCTCGCAATAAAGCATATATTCAACCTTATTAAATTTTTAGGAGTCTGAAACCTGAAAAAAATATGGCTAGAGGGCTTTGGGACTTTCTTTTATTTGCCTTTAAATTATTTTTATTAAACCTTATTAAGAGTAGGAAAGGAAAACTGTCCTATTTGAGACATTTTTAAACTTAAGCAAACCAATAAAACAAGATTTAGGGTTGTAGATCAAATGTTGGTGCCTTGTAGTATTAAAATACTGTGTCAGTGCATCTGTGTGTCAAAATCTATATGTACACTATGCCAGCAAAAGATCTCTATCTGACCTGACTAAATATCTGTCAGTAAATTTTGGTTTTATTGTTTTAGGTGCAAAAGCTGACTCAATGGTGGGACTTTTCAAGAAGATTGTGAAACAAGATGGCTTTACAGGACTCTATAGAGGCATTGTACCAAACTTTATGAAAGTTATTCCAGCTGTTGGAATTAGTTATGTGGTGTATGAAAAATCTCGACACTGGCTTTTAAATACAAGTTAGGAATAGGCATTAAAATATTTGTTATTATTCTTAATAATACATGTTACATCATATGTTCTCTGTACACTTTTAATGTTGTGATATATTATCCATTGGAATGTTGTCTTCACTTTCTTGTACATCAAATACACATATATGTATTAAGATTGTAAATGTTAATATTTTTTCACAAGAGTAGTATAGATATTTTTCCCCCAATTATTCCATAGTTGTTGATTTGCCTGGAGTATATCTTAAAATATAAAGTTAAATGTACACGTGTTTTGCAATATGTCTAATATTAATCTTCAGTGCAATCTTTTAATTAAGTACACCTGAATGTTACCTGCTTTTTAGTAGCCTTGCCAAATGCAGAACCAACTAATGTCTTTTAAAAAAGAAGCATCATGAAAGAATATTGGAAAAGGAGAATTTATTTGTGAAACTTGTGGTACACAGGGTTTTCATCATAATCAGAGTAGAGAAGTTGACATTCTTGTGTGTTATAATGGGTTTGTGCTTACTAAATGTGGAGTACCACAAAAATTCTCAGTACATGTGTACTCATCTTACATTAGGTCACCTCAAGACTTCTTTCACAATTCACATTCATTGTACATTACAATTTTTGTGTTAGGATATTTACATGATCTTGTGAAAAAAAAATGAATTCTTTAACTGTGTGCATGTTGAACTGATTTCTTGCAATGCTGATATTTAATGGAAACTTTTTAATGGAGTCCTGTCAAGATTTCAGGGAAAACTGTATGAAAAAACTGAACAGGATAAAGTATACTGTTGAATAGAAGTTCCCAGCAAGTTTGGTAAACAATGCATTTTAATCTAGTAAGGAAAAAGAGAATACTTGGAGAAGATGTATGGTATTACTAGCAAAGAAATTTCTATTACACCAGTCAGATTAAAATTTTTATGAGCGTAGCTTTCTAACTTCTGCTGTTTGCCATTTTCCTTTTATTGTCTCTTGAACATAGGATTTATTGCATAATCATGAATATATTATAATTAAAGTAATGAGAAGAATATTTTCATGTTATAACACGTGTATATAACTTGATGAACTGTGATATCAGTAATCCATTTACCTAAAGTTATGTAATATGCATAGTAGTTTATTTTGTACATGGTTACCATAAATTAGCTTCGTAAGTGTTTTTAGTGGTTAAATATTCTTACTCCAAAAAATCCATGACTTGCAAATGTTTATCATTCCAAGAAAGACTATTCTGATGTTAAAACTTTGTATGGAATAATATGGACATTTTTCGTTTTTTAAATGATGTAATTCTAGATAAGAGTAATGAATTGATTTGGGGTGTTTTGTGTTTTCCACTTAGTTCATGTTAGAACACAGGATCATTTGAAAATTTTTTCTTATTTTTATACTTCTTATGCTTGACAGACTTAGTAGATATTTCAAATTCACATGCAGAAATCACCACTGCTGCAAGGATTGAACTGATCTGTGACCAAACTCCATGGGCATGCATTTTTCATTGCTGATAATAGCTGTACTGGTCAGAGACTGAGAGTTTAATATGCAGTAGTAAGATGTTTTATCATCTGTCTGTCTATGTATACACACATCTGTGCAAGAAAATAGGGATCCCAATTAGACCAAGCAACTTTGTACTCAATTTTTCTTTAAATAAGACCCTTTTTGAAAGCCTTGTTGAGATGCATAATTTTGATTATTTATTTTTTTTTTGTTTTAATTAAGGAATGAAGCTTATTTCAACTTATATTATACGATATAACATAACTTGGGGCAGTTTACACTTTATAAACCACGAAGCAGTTTATAAACAAGCGTAAACTGCCCCAAGTTTTGTTATATCGTATAATATAAGTTGAAATAAGCTTCATTCCTTATAATTTAATTTCAGTGCTGACAATGAGACAATTTTCCCCCAGAATAAGGCTTCACATTTATTGAATTTTAAAAGTAACGTCAAGCGGAGTAATACGTTTTTTGATGTAACTCATTGTGACGTAGGCAAGTTATGTTATACAAAATGGATAAAATCTTTTATCCAATCAAATGACGTATTTCAAGTAAAATTAAATTATTGAATGGTATTGCCATGACACGTACTAGAAAAATTATTTTGAGATTCTTTGATGTCTTTGAAGTGCAAGTCCTACAGTTTTGGTCTGATTTCAGTAAGACTTGGTATGCACTAAGACTACAGAATGAGTACATGCCAGTAGAGCTGTAAATTCAGTAGAGACTTCTAATTGTAACGTTACAGTTGTTGATTATAAGAAATATTCTGCTATGGTATAGATACTATTATATAAAAACATTTGTATCAGATTATCGACAGATCTCAAATTGTCCATTTGCATCCATGAAATGTTGCAAAGTACATCATCTCAATCAGTGAATTTTGAAGGATGTTCATTAACTGTTTATACAATTGAACTTAAGTACCTCACAATTAAACACAAATATCTTGAATACCATGGATATGTAGAAACTATTTTGAAGTCCCTATCACATTAATTTTCTTTAAATATTGAAAGGTATTTTACCTTGATGTCTTGAACTCTCTGATAAAAGTGTTTCTTGGCACCATCGTGTTCAAGGTATGGAGGTTTAAAAGCTAAAACCAGACCAGCTGTACTCGTATATTTCTCATTTTAGCACATATTGCTCTCAATCATGTGTAACATTGTATATACGAGGGTTGAACCAAAAGTTCGTGGAATTTCTTCATATTTGATTTATTTATAAGTGAAATTTGTTGAAAATTACAAATGGGAATATAGACACTTGTTGAATATTTTTAATAAAAAATTTTTTTTAAATATTAATGATAGAAACTCTGTGGCAGTTGCCATAGAAACGGTTGTTTGTAACATCGGGGGAGACATAACGCGTTTATTATAATTTTAATTCTTAATAATTGAAATGAGAATATATATAAAAACGAAAACTACATGTCATTATTGACTGCTTGATCTTTCCATTTCATGAGAATTGTACCATATTTGGTGTATGAATTGGTAATTTATTGTTCATTTTCATATATCTTTTTCTGAACTTATATTTAGGCTGGGGGGAAATATGTTTATTACTAGTTGTTCAATAAAAATTTAATAAAACTTCCAAAGACGTTGATTTAAGGTGTGGCAGCCTTTTTGAGGCTCAAGTGTTTTACCCCCCTAGTAAATCGTTAATGGACGTTGTCGGCTGATTTTTTGAACACTGAAAATGGGACATCATATGGAAAGATGGGGAGTATTTTGAAATATGAGTGGAAAATGAAGATAAGTTGGTGCGAGATGATACCCGGACTTTTATGAAAAAAAAAATGGAGAAATGGGCAGCATTAAGTAGAATTACGTATTCGAATCGGACATTAGGCTTAGATGCTTCTATAACGTGACGTGACATATCTAACTTGACGTTACGTCGACTCCCCCGGGTTTTACAACTATTCATTTCCAGAAAGCTCGTGTGACCTTATTTATGGTTGGAATGTGGTGAAATTTTCCAATATTGTTGCATTATGGCTGTATATTTTAAATATGCATGTTGTTTGCCTTCATCAAATCACAATAAAATTTTAGAAAGAAATTCCACGAACTTTTGGATCAACCCTCGTATATATAATATTATTGATGCCTTTCAACCAATTTATTGTTGCACATATATCTTATTTATATTTGGATATTTAAAAAAAAAATTGAAGCATAAATACCTGTACAGTATTTAACAATATCTATGATAGACATTTAAAGCATAGTGAAAAACCACATACATGTATTAATTATTACTAAGCTAGTTTTTAAATAATAGTACAGTGTAGCAAATATTGATGTTTTAAATAATTTTTTGTCTCTCGCTTGACATTTGTTAAGCTGCATTCCATAAATTTTTTACTATTATTTTTTTATGGTTTCCTCTAGTAATTACAAAGAATCAAGTGCTTAGTTTATCTTTTTACTGTCATGGAATAGTGCTATATAATAAGAGATCCAATAGAAAGTGAAAGCCAAGCTGATTTGATTATGTTATGAAAGTTCATAACTTTTTGTTTATTATAATGTAGCTATTAAGAACATTAATAAAGTTATTAAAATAACATCTAGCCTGTTATGTCATTATTACAAACCTTTTGGAAAAAAGGTGAAACTGTTGGTAAGTTCTGCTGTGATGTTTTGGTTACTGTAAGCCAAACCATTAGATGTGAAGACACTGGCCATGATGCAGACTTGCATGATGGGCACACTTTTTTTAGTGATATTTATAATAAATCGGTAAAGCAATAGGAGGCACTTTAATAATTACAATTGGATAGTTTCTTTGAAATTGAACTGAGATAAATGCAAAGTGTGACAGAACGATGGAAGACGGAAATGACAAACACTATATGCCCAGGCCATATTCATGGCGGTGCATAAAAATAAAAAATACACTTTTTCTTCAAAATAAATTTATTTTCAAATTTATTTATCACAGATTGTTCGTAAAATTTAAACAAAATGTCAATCAAAAAAAATTTGGAGAGAAAAGAATAAACCACAGTAAGAACCTTTTGCTTATGCTTTAATATCTGTCTCTGAACAAAGATCTCTATCTCACACATGATTGTGTGTGCAATAATATCACATTTACACAATACACCCAAGTCAGTGGTGGATCCAAGATTTATTGAAAAAGGGGGGGGGGGTCTCGAGGCCACCTTAAGGCACCCGGCTTGTCCAGGTCACAGCCCTGATGGGGGCTCAGGGGAGGGGGAAGCTCCCGGGTTTAGAGAGTTTTTAAAGACTCATTTTTGAGCTATTCCAGCTATATTTGACACATATATTATAATGTAAAATTTTTCCTATTAGTTCTTTTTAAAAAAGATTTATGATCACAAAACACCCCCTCCTCTCTAAATCTGCCAATGCAAATGAATTCTCTTTCAACTTTTGTACAGTACAATATAAAAGTTTAGAAAGAAGCAAAATGTAATCAATCAAATATTTTGAGTGTTATAGGATTCCTTGAGGAATATTATCCACAATAGGAGGAAGACGATATCAATGGATCAAATACACCTGATTAAACAGCTAAAAATACAAATCAAGCAGCTTGGAAAATGTGAAACGCAACATGAAAAAATTCAAGGAGCATTGATAACTGATGATTCAACAAATGATAAAAGTGACCATTAATTTCTATGGTACATAAAAGTTAATTTGAAATCTTGCTTTAAAATCACCAGGTTTAGAAGAGTTTGTTCCATCGTTGTATGGATACCACAATATGTAATTTGTATTCCATATATTATTAAACAAATTAAAGGCTACCCCAGAAATGTCACTTTGTGAAATGGGCTTTAGCGGAACAGGAAAAGGTGAAGGTGGTCTCTCTTTTGTTGCTATGGAAACCAGTGGTACATCTGGAGTAAGGAGTTGGAGACCTTGTCCGATGTTATTGATGTAATATGCACCACTGTCAACAGCTGTAAGGAAGACAATAGTAATTTAATTAGGTATGCATCAGGCGATCAAACACACAGTTTTTATTTGTCTTTAAAAAATGAATTGCTTTAAATATACGAGATTATTCCATTTGAGTAATGTGATTTATTTATGAAATGAATTTAATTTTTGAAGATTCATGAGGTTATGAACTACGACGCTTCACGCCGGCATATTTCATGATAAATATGCCAGCATGAAGCGTTGTAGTTCATATACCTCATGAATCTTCGAAGATTAAATTCATTTCTTATATTTACATTATTTTTCAGATGACTTGCTATAAATTTACGCCATTCAACTGTCATTTTTAAAGCAAAACAGTGTGCACTTTATTTTTTTATGTCTAGTGCCGAATTATGACGTAACAATGGAGATATTCATGCTTATTCGTGGTACATATCTAATGTAGTTCATGAGAAAATGAACTGCATAGGGGAAATTTATTGGAAATGTAAATATTATACAATTATGGACTTCAGTGTAGGTCGATATGTGGTTATAAGGACTCATGGCAATTGATATTGACCGAAGACACAGAAAGTGATAGCGACCGAGCCTGCGAGGTCGCTATCATTTTCTGTGTCTGAGGTCAATATCAGTTGCCATGAGTCCTTATAACTACATATTGACCGTTCACTGAAGTCCATAATAGTTATATTATATAATCACTCAAATTGAATGCACTGACACAGTCCTAACTGAACGGACTTGACTGTCATTACGTCACAATGGTTAATTTCACGCTTCTTTTATTATGAAGTCACGTTTTACGTAACTTCAGTGCAACCAAACGACGTGTCGTGCGATATCATTTTCCGCGGACGAGCTGTCGCGTCGATATGGCAAAAGGAGGAATATCACGTGACGTCCTTTCAGCCAATGAAAACTACGAAAATAATCTTATATTATAATAATATTAGTTGATAAAGTTTATATCACCCATGATATGCTGTTTCTTTTGCGTGATTTTATTGAAATAATCACCATGCAGGAAAAGAGCATTTCAGGGATATTTTTTCAATTAAAAAGTACATCTTTGATTATAAAGAAATTAATAACCATGATTCTAAAATATTATTAAGACAGGCAAATGCAAATGAAATTTGGAAACTAGAAATATGTCCATAGGATATGCATTCCCCACTGAATGTATATTAGTAATGTAACATGAAAATTTGTATTAGTGTATATGATAAAAATATCTTATGAAGACTTGAACAGTTTCTTTAAAATTGAAAATATTAAATCTAAACAAGAGGCCCACGGGCCTTATAGGTCACCTGAGTACTGTGTAACAACTTTCAAACAATTAAATTTGGTCGTGTTTTAAACCAGAGGCCATGAAATTCACAATTCACAATTTTGAAAGAGGCACCATTGCTCATCATAATAAAGTGCCGCGCCACAGCATGATACGCCCGTCAAAAAATTACAATTTTCTTGAACAGTTTAGGTGCAAGAAAATCACATCAACTTTGATTCTAAGATTTCGATGATTTGTCATTTATCCATCCCCTGTGATGTAGGCATCAATTATAATAAATATTACATCACTGATAGATTTCTGTGCTGGTTGTGTTAGACCTTGTCAAATGCCCATCATCAAATTAGTCTTAACAACTTAATCTATACCAAATTAATTTTGAAAAAAAAGGCTGGCCATCAAATGACATATGTTATAAACTGACCAGCAGTTCTTCTGTCTAATCCCCAAAGGGCTGCTTAATCAGAGCGACTGAGACAGCTAGCCTTCCTACATTGAACTCATTAATTAATCTTTAACTGGATGCTTGTCTACTCATTACTACCAAGAGATGAATGGGTCTGCACTATAATACGTTTTTAAAAACATATAAAATACTCTCAGATTTTTTTTTTTTGGTTGAGATTTAATGTCCGACAGGTTTTAGTATGTAATTCATATGGACATGCTGATTCAACCCCACCCCAAAAAATTAGTTTTTAAATTAATAATATTACATAATATCAGATTAGTCTATTATGCAATATCAAATTAGTTTTAATTACTTTTCATCAAATTCATTTCAAAACTTAAGCTAGTCAACAAGAGCTATTTTTAATCAAACAGCCAGGCTTACCCTAAATTTGCCCAATTCTCAAGGGATATAGATAACGCCAATGCTCTGTCAATAGCTCCTCGCACTCAAAACCCATTAATTTCTCTCTAATTTGACATGCAATTTTCTGTTATCAAAATTCTTCTTGACCAGTGCTTGATAATTACACTCATGGGAGACATGGGATTTCTCTAACATACATTATATTTGTTTTAGATTGCTGTCAAGTATATGCTTAAAAAAAATAAGTATTTTCTTGATTTAACACTTTTTTAATAAGAACAGTGCAATACTCTTACATTATTTGGGATGTGTAAATGAATAGTAAAAAGACACATTTTTTTTAAAAAATTCACTTAAATTAAAGGTCACAGTGACCTTGAAATAGGTCGCGACACACCTTCTACCTAAGATGCATAAACTGGCCAAGTTTGATGATTGTAGGTCTTATGGTTTTCTAGTTATGGGCCGGAAAGGATTTTTCCATATTTGGCTATAACTTCTTAATTAAAGGTCAGAGCGACCTACTTTTTGTGCGCGACACACCTTCTACCCAAGATGCATCAGATGACAAAGTTTGGTAATCCTAGGCCTAGTAGTATTAAAGTTATGAGCCGGAAACAAAAAGCTAACAGACAGACGGAAAGACGGACGGACACGAAGCCTATAACATAATACGTCCCGTCTTAAGACGGGCATATAATTATTAACTTAGCATGCTTACTCTATTTACTTAATACCCAGAGGTAGATCAGAGTAACAAAGAGAAAATACACTTCCACTTTATACCCAGTTGTGCACCTCACCCCAAAGGAACCACTGACCCAGGGGACACATGTTTCAAAATTTTGCAAATTTTATCATAAAATGGTTGATTAATACCAAAGAGCAGATTTCAAAGCATTAATTTATTTTCAAACTAAGTACCCCCCCCCCCCCCCCGACCCAGGGGGCATAAAAAAACCACTTTGCTAGATGCACCTTTCTACATCATAAATATATATACTTGGATCATTGGCATAAAACCCAGAAGCAAAGGAAAATATTTTCAAAGAATTAATGTATTTTTACTATATAATCAATAGAGCCCTGCCCTAACACCAGAACCCCTAACCCTGGGGCCATAAAATTCACAACTTTGGAAGAGGCACTCTTGCTCATCATAACTATGTACTTAGTTAGTTTATTTAATACCCAGAAGCAGAGAAGAAGATTTTCAAAGAATAATGCATTTTCACTATATAATCAATAGAGCCCCGCCCTAACACCAGAACCCCTGACCCTGGGGCCATAAAATTCTCAATTTTAGAAGAGGCACTCTTGCTCATCATAACGATGTGCTTAGTTAGTTTATTTAATAACCAGAAGAAGAGAAAAAGATTTTCAAAGAAATAATCCAGAACCCCTGACCCTGCGGCCATAAAATTCAAAATTTTGAAAAAGGCACTCTTGCTCATCATAAGTATGTGCTTAATTAGTTTATTTAATACCCAGAAGCAGAGAAGAAGATTTTCAAAGAATAAATGCATTTTCACTATATAATCAATAGAGCCCCACCCAAACACCAGAACCCCTGATCCTGGGACCATAAAATTAACAAATCTGGAAGAGGCACTCTTGCTCATCATAACTATGTACTTAGTTAGTTTATTTAATGACCAGATGCAGAGAAGAAGATTTTCAAAGAAAGAATGCATTTTCACTATATAATCTATATAGCCCGGCCCTAGCACTAGAACCCCTGACCCTGGGGCCATGAATTTCACAATTTTGGTAGAGGACTCAATGCTCATTACATTCATGGCAACAGTTTGTTTGCTTAATGTCCAGGAGTAAAGAAGAAGATTTTTAAAGATTGCAATAATTTTAGTGGTTTTGGCCACACCCCTCAGGCCCCAGGGGGGCGGGGACAATGAAATTCATAATTTTTGTTCCCCTTCCCTCATAGATGCTGTATACCAAATTTAGTTGAAATTGGTTCCATGGTTTCAGAGAAGAAGCTGAAAATGTTCAAATGTTAACACACGACACACGACAGACGACGACGGACGAAAACGGATAGCAATAGGTCGCCTGAGTTACTCAGGTGACCTAAAAAAATGGATATATAGACAATAAATTATCACCAAATTATTTATATGTGCAGAACCTTACATAAAAAAGTATCAAACAGTTTCTTTAAAATTGAGCAAAATGCAAATTTAAAACAAGTGAGGTCAAGGTCATAGGAAAGTGCAAGGTCAAAAATTGTTGATACAGTAGAATAGCTCTCACTAATATCTATCAGCATACAAAGTTTGATAAAAATATCTTGATTGGTTGCTTCAAACTAAGCTAAACACTAATTTAAGAAAAGTAAGGTCAAGGTAAAAGAAAAGGTCAAGGTCAAAGAATGCTTATGTAGTTGAATAGCTCACATCAGTATGTATCAGCATTTGAACTTCGATCTTGAATAGTTTCTTTAAAACTGAGCAAAATAGTATTGTAAGAAAAGTGAGGTCAAGGTCAAAGGAAAGGTAAAGGTCAAAATATGTTGATGCAGTTGAATAGCTGTCATCAATATCTATCAGCATAGGAAGTTTGATAAAAATATCTTGAATAGTTTCTTTGAAAATGAGCTTTGAACTGAGCAAACGGGACAGAAGGACAGCTAGAAGGACAGAAGACATACATGACAAACTCTGTACGGCCCGGCCATTTTCATGATTACATCATGATGGGGCATGATTACAGATCAACTTACCATGAACATACTGACTTCCATTGAGAATGACATTACCCGGGTCCACTAGGTGACCTACTTTAGACAATCTCCAATTAAAGCCCTTCTTCTTGGCCGGACTGAAGTGGTACATCATTGATTCTGCTAGTCTTGTTGGTGTTTTGTTTGTCCATTGCAATGTTACATCAAATCCTGAGAGATAAAATGTTGGGGTTGATATGAATGATAAAATGTAGATTCTAACACCATGTATTCTGTTTGAGGTACTAGGATTTACCTTCAGCTCTTGACTTGTAGTTTATCCATACAGACTCTGGAGCTCCATACCATGTGTGACTTTTTGAATCTGCCATCACCATTTTAAGTAGAATGTCACAACTATCTAAAGCTGAAGATACCAAAATAAGACTGAATATGCTTCACTGATTCCTACGAACTTAAGAAATATGTACATGAAGTTTAATCCAGAATGGGATGGATTTTGAAAGCAAATCAATGTTACAAGACGAAGCTAAATTAAATGTATGGGATAAGTTAAATTACCTGATTTTTTGGCTCGATACATTTGACTGAGAACTGCTGGCCAAGGTCTGTATTCAGGATGGGCATTTTTGGTGGAGTTTTTCTTGTCATACCCTGCTCCACCATAATAATTATACTGCCTGGCCATGTCCATAAAATTTGTCTCATTATAGGTGATGTACCGAAACTGTCCTAGAGGGGCACCTGTTGCCCACTCTACCTGAGTAGGTTTCAGACAAAATTATATAATTAATACAGCAGAGAATAAGTTTTAGATGATAATATAAATTATTAAATTTATTCCAAGTTCTGCTTGGGATAAAATCATAATTCTAAATTGCTGCCAAATAGTCTATTCAAAAAGAAGATTGTTCAGAAAAATGAACTTTTTTTTTTTACTCTCAGGATTTCAAAATATCTCTCATTACAAAACTAGCCTTACAAAATTATAAGGATCATATAATGACAGGAGTGATCCATCCTTTCCAAACTGGATTTTCATTCCATCTTCACATTTAAATGTCTCTGACATGTCAGTGACTATTTCATAGGCTGTGGATAAAATAAATGCATAATTATGTATATCAGAGAAAGTAAATCATTAATTGTTTAATTGTTGTAAAGAAGTGTGCTAAAAATCTCAGAACATTCAGATACAAAATTATTTCAGTTGTCCATGTCATTTAAGACTCCTCAAAGGTATGTTATACATATTGTCTATTTTTTAAGTATCAGTAAATTTTTTGATGAAAAAAATCTAAACAAGTGGACAAGTATAAAAAGAACTGACCACTGAGATCTGGTTCCTGTGGCACCAGCTGAGATAGAGCTTGTTCAATCATCTTATACAATGGTGGTGTATTCTTCAGCTGATCCATGGCCATTCCAAGAAACGCTCTCTGCTCCTGCCAAGCCTTTTCACAGTTCCTAAAATTCTCACCTTCAAACAGAATTTTACTGTGTGGTAACATTTTGCTTTCTAACTCTTGAAAAAATTATTGAACACTCTCATCAAAGCCTTGAAATAAAAAAAAGACTTTGGCAATAGCATTACATACACTATACACTATACATGTATATATATAGTTAGAAATTAATTTTGATTTTACATGCATGCTGAGCTAGAGCCTACCTTGTCTTGCCAACTTGAACTGTGGGTTGTAATTAAGATTTTACTAACACATCCAGTACCTACCTCGTCTTGCAATGTTGAACTGTGGGTTGCTCCAGTTAACATTGTCCCCTACCCCTGGAAGACCCCATGTGTGTTCTGGTAGCTTGATAAGTAGCCTAGCTGCACTCACTATACTTGGATCAGATATATTGCAAGCACCTATTTTTGTAATGAAAAATTCTTACAAATCTAACTTGCAATATGTAGTACATGTAACAATAATTTAATACAAAAAGGTCTTTTTTAAATACTTCATAAAATTGTTAATACTCTGCATAAATCATGAATACTTTTTATATTCAGAGCACTCAAAGTCTTTAAGAATCTATTTACACATGGATTCTCTCCCCCCCCCCCCCTCTTTTCCTCCCCCTTCACCTCCTGCTATTTTCTCATTTCATACATGTGCATTAGTAAGAAAATGTACCACTATAAAATTTGATCCTACCAGAGATTACACAATCTGACATTGTTTCACTAATGGCTCTATAGTGGGCCATTTTGACAGGATCTGATGATATTCCCTGTATCCAAGTGTCGCCCACTTCCTGTCTGATAATGGGCAGATGATTTCTGATCTTGTCCACCTCCGCAAAATAATCCTCAAACGTGGATCCTTTTATTTTAGCATTTGGAAACTCTTTTCTAAGAATTTCGTAGTTGCTTAAAATTTCCTGCAAATACCAAAAATAATCCATTTAATCATCAATAAAGTGCACAAAATTCAAGAACCCATTTATACTTTAATATTACATGTAATACATGTTTACCAGGACATCAATTGGAGGACCTCCATTATCTTGTATAAAAGCAAAACAAAGAGCATGTTCAAATCCTGGCAGCACCACACAGTCTTTAGTTGACAGCCCTCCAGGGCGGGCTGGGTTTGGCCCTGGTCCCAGTGGGTAACCTCCTGCAAATACAACTTAAAACATTACAAGAATGAAATGTAAAAACAGATTTTTTTCTAAGATCACTTAGTACATATATAAATATTCTTATACTACACAGGGAGATAACTCTCCCAATGCACAAAATAAAATCCAATCAAAATATTTCAATAAAAACTTCACTGCTTGTTTTTCCAATTTCATTTGTGTCATTGGTTTATACATGTGTGATGACTAGGAACGTTCAATTACAGGGAGCTATAGGTTAGATAGCTATTGGACAGACAGCTCAGTTGATAGAGCACCTGACTATTCATGGAGTTTGGGTTCAAATCCTGATCTGGTCCAACACACTAGCACTGATCTCCTCAACATGAACTTACAACATACAATCTACAGGTAAATTGAGAATAGTTGTAATCAAAATTACCTGGATGCCATGTTGCCAAAACTTCATTACTCTCAAAGCTCCACCTGAAGAGTTGAGGAACGGCTGGCGGACTGGTGCCTGGATTGACCCCGACAGAAACAGCAGAGACCCCCCTCTGTACCAGGCTAGGGATCACTGCTTGTGTCAGTCCTTATTATAAAACATGACAAAATGGAGTGATTCTTAATCATGTTTACACTACAGGAATTATATATAAGCATCCTGCGAGTACAATTACTTGTATATCCCATGTATTTGAATGATAACAGTTCAAAGAAATTCTGGAATACTTTAAAGAAACCAAATACTGTGAAATCACTTTATTTTGTGGGGATTTAAGTTTTATAATTTTCAATTAAGACCCATGAATTTATATCATTCATGAAATATCAAACACGAAATAATTATAATCCCCTTAAACCAGGATTTTTTCTAAACCATGAAAATTTTGAAATTAAAAAAATAACTGATTTTACAGCAAGTAAAAAGTGGAATTGTGTACTTCAATGCAGTGCCCAGTAAAATGAATGGTGCTTATAGATTTATCTTATCTCAATAGCATAAAAAGTAAAGGTACATGTACATATAAATTATTCTTACCTGGTACATCTCTCTGACTCAGTGTTGGAAACAGTCTTGTAATTCCAAATCTTTTGTCGAGGTCAAAACTCATGTTCAAGCTCATCTGGAAGAGCAGGCTGTTCATGTTCTCTGGCTGCATGTTCATAGGACCAGCATGCCATGTAATGTCTCCTCTCTTAATAGCTGCCTCAAAGTATTCCTTCTCAGTTTCATTAGGGCACTGTTTAACAATGACATGATATATGATATATATCTGATATATATGAGATAAACTGGGACGGTAAATAATGCGGTATTACAGTAAAAGATTATTTAATATTGCAAAAAATGTAAATCAAACTTATCAACTAATGCATGTTAACATGTTAAAAAATTTAAGTTGCAAATAAAAAAAATTGCTCAGGTTTAACATTCTTCTTTACGTCATTAAGCTCCTTACTTAAGTTTATATACAGGTTAAAATTAAGTGTACCAATAGTGGGATGTCTGTAAGCTTGAAACTTTCTGGACAATCCAAAAACAAGCTGACCAGCCAGGGATGGGTTGTATACACAAAATTTTCAGCATATTCTCCAGCTCGTAACTGAACAGACAAATTCACAGCTCTTGGAAAGTATTCATGAAAGTATTTATTGAGAATGTTATTTATAAATCCTACTTCTGGCGAAATTCCATCATAGCCCACATCTAAAATAAATGAAAAAGAAGTATAATGGTTAAAAACTTACTAAATAATTTAACTACCTAAAATCAGAATTTATAAAAGAAAATCATTTTCTCCAACTAGTCTTTAATGTTTTCATGACTACTTCTTATTGGCACCAGGTGAAAAAAGATGACTGAATTGACTCTTAGTCTGTATATAAACTTTTGAACTAGAACCAAATAAATAATCTTACATGATATTTAAAGCAATAGCAGAAGAGTCATACTAATTGTTGGGCCAATGGGGCTGTATAAATGCCAGTCTGCATTGCACGGAGTTGTATTCTTGTATTAATTAAAACATCACCCCACAAATGCATAATAGTTGTTAAGTATAATCACACTCTTTACCATGACAAGATTTCTATCAGGGACCTATATATGTGTGCTAGCCTAAGTATATAGGTCCCTGTTTCTATTAATAAAAGAATACTTACCCAAATGATTCATAAATATCACATGGACAAGTTTGACATTCGTAGCATCTTTACTTGAATGAAGTCCATGAATTAGGAGCTGAAACACAAAATGACTGAATTTGAAATCTACATGTAGGTCATATGCTTCTGACCATAAGATATCATACCCCTACTGTTGTTGAGAGGTAAACAAATATTTCACAATGTTCAAACTAACTAAAACTATGCATGGACATGTAGAACAATCTTCGTATATAACTGAAGACAATACATGGTCAAGTTACAAATTTTATACAAAACAAATAATATTATCATAATTCAATCATTACAGCTACTGATAGGACAAATGTGCTTATGAAAAATATTTTCCGCTGACAACCATCGTCCATTTTGATATCATGTGATTTAAAAGTACCACGATATTTGTCACGTGATAAAAAATATTTTGGCGCCTAAAGTACAAACACTACTGTGTGGCCTTGCCCTAGTAGACAGTGTCAAATCGTACATTCCTAAAACGCAAAATAGCTATTAACAGTATTATATATCATTTTCTAAAATTGTAAAAACTATATATACTGTGATATAAAGACTGAGGGGGGGGGGGTTGACATCGAATACACCTTAATTCAAGTGTTGTTACTTGAAAATATTTGGTTTTCCAATCGCCGATTTCTTAGGATATGTAGAAATATCCCCACTGCATTTGGTACTTATGTCTTCCAACTTATACACTACATTAGTACAGATATTCTGCATGAGTACGACCAGCTTTTAAACAGACACAGGGCATTGACAAATGACTTGATGTTACAGGGCATATAACAGTCTCGATCAAAGTAAGCATTTCATAAATTATGGCATTGTTAGCAATTACATTTTTCCCCTTTTCTATTTTATTGTAAATGTAAGGTTATATACAAATACAACTATTTATTGGCACAAACACAATTACAATAATTGGCAAAGGCACATCATCAATTGTTCATTATATATAAACAATAATCTGGTATATAAATGTAAGGCTATACATAATCATAGATAAATTGTACATCATTTGTAAAATAATTATGTTATGCAGTCATTTCTAGATGTAATACAATTTTTTAATAAATGAGTTTGTTATTTTCAGTACTTCTGAACAGTGGCTATTAAAGTAAAGTTTAACTTTTTGAGTATTAGACATATTTAATATTTTATCATGGAAAAAATTCATCAAATTCCTTTCAAAAGTTAACCTATGATTATTGTATTTATGGCAGATGAAGAGAAAATGAAATTCATCTTCAACCTCCCCTGTGTTACATATATTACAAATTCTTTTATCTGTGGGTATAGAAAAATGTCTTCCTTTTTCTATGGCAAGGTTATGAGCACAAAGTCTCAATCTGCTAATAATGCTAGTTTTCAGTTGCAATTAAAATTACATATAGAATCTGAAATCAAACATCGTACAAGTACATGTATAAAGCACATCCACATGCATGGATCAAGTGCACATTGGGGATGATATATGATTTTTTAATACCCCCACTCCCTTTTCAGCTCAGACCAAATATCCTTCTTTTCTACAGTTTATGAAATACAAATGTATTATAAGACAACGAACAGTTACAGACACGGATCTAGGAATTTTTTCCGGGGGAGGGGGGGAGTGGTTGACTTTTACATTACATTTCATACCAAATGAAGACAGGTCCGTGTTTTAAAGGGGGTCTGCGTTTTCTAGGGGGTCCAATGTAACTTTTTACTTGTTTTAGTATATCAATTTAATATCTCTGCAAATCCCCCTCTAGATCCGCGCATGAGTTATCATGCTCAAAGTCCATTGAAACAATGCAAATCAGGACTATTGAAAACAAAGACCTCTAGAACATCAGAGATGGGATCAGGCAAAGGCGGATCCAGGGTCGGCGTACCGGGCGTGCCCCCCCCCCCCCCGTTTGAATTTTTGTGATGCAAAACTATATTTCCATTATCCTAAAATGAAGGAAAAACATCTCTCATTTGTAAGAACTTATCAGCTTCCGGGGGCTTCGCCTCCGGACCCTCCAAAAGGACCTTGTCTTAGACCCACTGGGTGCTTAAGTACAGCCACCAGACCCCTGCCATATACTGCCCCCCCCCCCCCCCCCCCGTTACGAAATTCCTGGATCCGCCACTGTCAGGTGCCATCGAGGAGTAAGCACTTCCTGTTGACCCGTCACACCCGCCTTGTTCTCCTTGACTTAAATTGATCGCGGGCAAGCGATAAATCTATTGTGTCAATATTGGTCAAACAACAATGTCATTGTATCGACCATAAATCTTGTGAAATGCTGAACTATAACTGTTCATATCCTTGTTATATCAAATATTTGTCATAAACATCATAAGCCGGTGATGAGGGTATGTAGCTTCACAAATGAGGCAAAATTTAAGTAATCAATTTATCTTAAAAATTTGTTTTAGGTTACCCTTAGTTAACGTTTTTTTTTCAGTTAAATAACCATATTATAGGAAACAGACGTGTCTGAATCTGTGGTATCTTTTATTTTAAGTTCATTTGGATATAGATTCTTTAAATGAATGGAAATAATTATTATCAATTGACAAAACTTCAATTTAAGGTGGAAGATTTGTTTTCTTCCTCTCAGGTAGAAGTAAGGTTTTAATAAATTCTGCTTCACATGATTACAGGAATAGGTCTGCTAATAATGGGGCGCAAATGGTACCCATGGGAATTCCAACCGATTGTTAGAAGACTTGATCCACATGAAGCTCCAAAAACTACATACAAGTAGATATTGTCAATCAACAAACAAGTATCTTTTTATGCCCCCGTAAATGAAGTTTCGGGGGTATATAGTTTTTGTCGTGTCCGTCCGTCTGTCTCTCTGTCTGTCCAGATGTCTGTCTGTCTGTCTGTCTGTTTGTCCGCAAAAACTTTAACCTTGCCCATAACTTTTGATTGAGTGGAGCTATGGCATTCATATTTCACATGTGTATTCCTTGTGACAAGACCTTTCTTTGGGTACCACCAAATTTGACTTTTTGACCTTGACCTTGGAGTTTGACCCATTTTTACACAAAAATTTTGAACTTTTACTTTGGTCATATCTATTAGTAGATAACAGGACATTTAAACTTTACATATATATTTTTTGTATTAAGACCTTTCATTTTAATTTATTATGATATTCTATGGGAAATACATGTATGATATTATTTTAGTTAAACTGCTTTGTTAGGGAATTCTTCCTTCTGGGTCAACAACAATTGCTCAAACATATGTTTCTTGTATTTTTTTTTCTTTTTTTCTTTTTTCTTTTTTTTTTTTTTGCTTATATTTTATATATTTATTATTTTTCCTATTCATTTGTTAAATTTTTCTTTTTCTATTAATTTGTTTTATTCTCTCTCTCTCTCTCTCTCTCTCTCTCTCTCTGTCTCTCTCTTTCTCTCTCTGAATTCATTCTAAATATGTACCAATTGATAATCTACTCTTCATACATTTTTATGCGCCCGGATCGAAAGATCCGAGGCGTATATTGTTTTTGTCCTGTCTGTCTGTCTGTTTGTCTGTTTATCTGTTTGCCTGTTTGTCTGCAAACTTTAACCTTGGCCATAACTTTTGAACCATGAATGATAGAGACTTCATATTTGGTATGCCTACTCTACTAATTAAGTTTTTTCAAATGACACCAAGGTCAATGACCTTGTGACCTTGACTGTGACCTACATGCTAAAAAAATTCTTTTCTGCAAACCTTAACCTTCGCTATAAGTTTTGAACCATAAAAGACATGGACTTCATATTTGGTATGCATACACCACTAATTAAGCTCTATCTAAAGACACCATGGTCAATGACCTTGTGACCTTGACTGTGACCTATATGCTAAATATAGCTTTTTTGTCGACAAAATCTAATCTTCGCCATAACTTTAGAACGAAGAAAGATAGAGGCTTAATGTTTGGCATGCATACTCCACTAATAAAAGCCCTTTCACAGGACACCTAGGTCAATGACCTTGTGACCTTGACTGTGTCCTATATGCTTAAAAAGCTTTTTTTGAACCTTCGCCATAACTTTTGAACCACGAGAGATAGAGAGTTCATATTTGGTATGCTTTCTTCGTTAATCAAGTTCTTTCAAATTATACCAAGATCAATTACCTTGTGACCTTGACCTTTATGTTAAAAATATGTTTTTTAACTTTGTTGCCGCCGGGCGCATAGTGTTTCACAAACACATCTTGTTTTCAATGCTTACATGTACTTGTAATTGTACCTTGACCTATGGAGAGAACGACAATAGGCAGTTATGCCTGCTGTTCAATCCATTTCGATGAATAAATATATTTTAAACTAAAGACCTTTCATTAGATACCAACAACTTTGACCTTTTGACCTTGACCTTGGACATTTCTGTACTTATGAAAAAACTTTAACCTTGGCTATAAATTTTGAACGGTAAGTGCTAAGGCTTTCATACTTCATATATGTAATTCCTGTGAAAAGACGCTTTATTGGGTACCAAGAACCTTGAACCTTTGACCTTGACCTTGGAATTTGACCTACTTTAAAATACGACCTTGAACATCATTTTTAAAGGGTTAGAACTAGGGCTTTCATACTTCACATATTTAATTTTTGTGGCAAGACCTTTCATTTGATATCAAGAACCTTGAACCTTTGACCTTGACCTTGGAGTTTGACCCATTTTTACACAAAAATTCCAAACTTTTCTTTTGGTCCTAACTTTTGAACGGTATATACTAGGAATTTTTATATTTCAAATATCAATTCTTTTTGGCAAGACCTTTCACTTAAAATCAACAATTTTGACCTTTTGACCTTGGAAATTTCCTAACTTACGAAAAAATTTTAACCTTGGTCGGTGAGGGCTAGGGCTTTCATACTTTAAATATGTAATCCTTGTGAGAAGACCTTTCATTGGATATCAACAATTTTGACCCTTTGACCTTGACCTTGGAGTTTGACCTATTTTTTACAAACTTTATAACCTTGGCCATAACTATTGAACAGTAGGAGCTAGAGCTTTCATGTTTCACATATGTTATCCTTGTGACAAGACTTTTCCTTGGATATCAAGAACCTTGACCCTTTGAATGTGACCTTGGAGTTTGACCTACTTTTTACAAACTTTAACATTGGCCATAACTTTTGAACGGTAAGGGCCAGCGCTTACATACTTCCCATATGTAATCTCTGAGACAAGGCCTTTCTGTAGAAACCAGCAACCTCGACCCTTTGACCTTGACCCCGGAGTTTGTCCTACCTTTAAAATTTGAACCTTGGTCATAACCCTTGAACAGGTGGTGCTAGGGTTTTACATTTAACATTTGTATTTCTTGTGAAAAGGCCTTATTTTAGGTACCAACATACATGTATTTGATCTGCATTTGAGAAAGGTTAACCTTCGCTATGTTGCCATACGGGGGCATCAGTGTTTCACAAACACATCTTGTTTTTCAAGGGGTCTTGTGTGTATAAGCAGCATTTTTTTTTAAAGAAAATGATTTTCCAAATGACCTATAACGAGTTCCAATCTTTAATTCTTTATTGAAAAAGCAGCTGTCTATGATGTCAGAAAGCCTGGAGTTTACTATTGTGGGGATTGGTTGTATAAAGTGTTGAAAAGTCGTACGTTTTGATGCAGGCCCATAGAACGTGGGGACAAGAAAGGTACCAGCCCCTGTTTCTAGTATTTTGTTCCTTTAGATGCAGACCCAACCCCAACTTCTTGTTGCTCTTAAAGAATTCCAGGATTTTGACAGTTCATTATTTTGATGTTGTTGCATTTTGTTTGCTTATCATATTATTTTAGAAGTTGCAACCCCCGCCCCCCCCCTCTCTCCCTCCATTTACACACATCATTTGGTCGGTTTAGTTTTTTTTTCTTTTTGTTTGTGTGTTTGTTTGAATGGTTGTTTTTTAATTTTTTTTTTTTTTTGGGGGGGGGGTGTCTCATATCAACTTTTGAAAACGTTGCTACGGGTCTGCAAGTGTTGTCGTCCAAAAGAACCTCTTTCTTACATACTCAGTAGATATTATAAAACATTGTGAATTCATCAACATGTTTCATATTGTTATTGTATGTGACAAAGATAATTCCCTTTTCGTTGCATGGTTATTATTATTTAATAGGAAGAGTACATATGGTATTTTTGGACGGGTTTCACAGCCATGTATATAGAGCATTCATTGACACATTCTCTTTTCACAAACTATTTTCTCCTCGTCAGTCGTCAGTTCGGAACAAGCTGCACATAGGACCTCCGCTATTTGACTTGCGATTGTGAACCATCTTGTAACGTCCTTCCCCCTGCTGGCCAGGTAACAGAGCTTCGTCAACTTGTTCTTGCTTGCACTTATCCTGTCTTTTGGTCTCTCGCCAATAAGTGCGCACGCAGCATCAATGCACGCAAAGCATATTTTGACCTCCATTGTGTGCATCTTTTCGGGTTTGCAGGCTCCAAAGTAGTTAATGTAATGAAAAAGAAGAGCTGTTTTCAAGGAATGCACTTTATCATTTGTTGTCCCAAGTCTTGAAGGTGAAGCAATGAATTTGGGAACATTAAGACCTACAAAACACCAAAAAGAACTTTGAAAGTACAATGTGTATACTGGTATTTGTTTTTATTTACAAGGCCGTCGGTCAATATGAATCTGTGTCACCAAGATACATAATTATATTGTACGTTAGTTGTGATTATTAATACCGACTATCTTTATGTCTATACCTGACTTACTTGTGCCGCAAAACACAATAAACTTAGCCCTTGTGATCTTTAATCAGTATTTATAGTTTAGGTATTGTTCTGAGAATTTCAAAACCACCAAAGTCCTTTGCTACGAAGGTCATTGAAAAAATGTATGTACTTGTACATGTTTATATTTTTCATCAATCCACTTTTTCATCAGTCTATACCTGTATACTTTAATTGTAGTGCTGCTGTAAAGGTCGTGAAAACATTACTCTTTACCTCTATTTCAAACAGGTTTACTGTATTTGAAAAAAATGAAAGAACACTTTTTTTTTACGTTAAGTGATTCGTTTTTCCAATATGCATGTTGGCCTTTTCTTAAATTTTTATTCCACACCGGTTAACTAATTGCATGAGCCAGATTGTGCGTTGTTTTTATTGTTTTGTTTTTTTTTTGCAGGTTTTCCATTGTTCATATTAGATATGAAGTCATGCAAAAAATGGTCTTGATTTTTTGTTAATAATTTCTTTAGTTAAATGCATTAATCTAATATTCTAAATTGCTTATAATTGTTCAACTACTGGTCTCCTTGAGATCACTGTAAAGTTAGTGAATCTAGCCTAAAGTTAATCCATTTTTTGGGTATAAATGAGAAAATTAATGGAACATTTATGTTCCTAAATTTATGTTGCTAAAGAAGGTAAAAACCTACAAACATCTTGTTTTATGTATTTCTTAATTAGATAGTTAATCAACGAATAGCATTTTTGAATGAATAAAATAGACTTACATTCATATTTTTCCACGAAAACTCCAACAGAAAGAAAGCAGACACATAACATCAAATTTCCGTTCATGTTCGAGACCAAGGCGTAAATGCTTTTCAGATAAGGCGCGAGAGTTCGGAATAATGTTTTACAATTTGTTTACAAGGCTACTGGGCTAGAGAAACAACATATTTCACGACCAGCGACTTCTATGTGCGCATCCTCTTTCTCAGAAAGGGCCTTTCCTGGGAAGTTGATTAACCGAACATTGTAGAGTTAATTAATTCAAATAAAAAAGGAAGGCAAATTTATGACCCTTTTTCGTAACACTGCCCCCTTGGCGGTGCCGAGCAAAATGTCATAATGATTAAAGTTTAAAATATATTTGATGAATAAGTCCCTTTATTTCAATATTTATAGAAATATGCCTGTCATCATGACATGTGAACTCCTGGTTTCATTCAAAAACAAAAGAAAGCATACTAGGTTGCAGTCAATTTAACCGCTGGTCCAAATATTGGGATTATTTACCATCCTTATTCTGTTATGACAATACGTCGTCAAAGAAAGGTATTTTGCTACTGAAGTTGTCGAATTTTGTAGAAAAGAAATTCATTTCATTTATTCTTCTCTCTCTCTGAAGCCAGACGTACTATTTGTCATGAGAAAGCAGGTTTCGCGAGATTGACGACCACCTTATGTAAAAACAAGCTGCATTTGGATGGACATAAATACTTTCTCCGATTTGTAGTTGATTTTGCGGCAACATGAATCACTCGGCATATGATGCATGTCCAGAACAATTTTACCGCATCCGTCTTATATAACAATTCTTTCAATTTTTCCTTTTTTAAAAATGACATAATTTGCATGAAAAAATCCAATACCATACGCTAAACTTGATTCACAGCTTGAAACACACTTTTGATGCATTCATAGGTAAACGTTTTGATACAGTACATAATAAAGAAGCAGAGGCGTAGATAATATTGCATATAACCGTGTCTGATTTATGAGTCCGGTGATATGACAAATGAACAGAAAGAGGTGATATTAATAGACAAAATTTGAGTCTGCGCTAGGTTAGCCAATGCCATGTTGCATAATCTAAAGAGATATTACTTATACGTCTTATATGCGGGAATTAAATAAAGCAATGTTCAAAAACCTTTATATTAAATACATGTAATGTATATGATATAACATTTTGATAAAGACGCCATCACTAATGTTTAATTAAGATTTCAATATTACGTAATTAATTATTGTAGACGCGACTTATTTCAACGTACAAATGTTTGCTTCTACCATAAATGAATACATGTCACAGATAGTCTTGGAATCATATAACAATGGTTAAAAGTGTTAAAATAAGAAAAAGTATATGATGTATAACATGAAAACACAGAATTGTAAGACGGATACATGTAGGTGATGGTGTGACTCTCGTAGCTCTTATGACGGATACATGTAGGTGATGGTGTGACTCTCGTAGCTCTTATGACGGATACATGTAGGTGATGGTATGACTCTCGTAGCTCAGAAAGATCTTCTCTCCGTTGTAGATCATCATGATCGGCTTCTTGAAGCCCTCATCTTCAGGGGAGATAATCTGGATGAGGCCTCCTTCTGGCGACACCTGGTGGATATTGTTGGAATAATGGCCAGCCACGTATACATTCCCGCGTTGGTCCAACGCAATGCCCATCGGCACGCGCAAGTTCTTATGGGAATATCGGAAAATTTTGTCTCCTTCCGTTGTAATGCAGTAAAGGCATCCACGGAAATCGGAATCCGAGTAGTATATACGATTGTGATCGGCTGCACAAATGTATTTGACTTTGTCTCCTTCGATTGGCATGTTATTGAAGAAATTTAATCGGTTTTCCGGATCTACGTCCCAGATGTCAATGGATTTCAAACAGGCGACCAAGATCCTGCCGTCAATGAAGGTGATGCCAAAACATTGGTTAACCGTTTTGAAATGAAGACGGTCCATGATGGTTAGCGATTTCGGTCCTACTTCTAAAAGTTGGATCGTTTTCATCACCGGGATCGTGACAGCGATTATATTTGTACCTTTTCGGTCTGGTAGGTAAGTTGCATCAAACGGATTTCCATACATGGGACATACTTGAGTATCAATTCGATGTCCAGAATCGGAGTATCCTCTGACTTCTCTTCCTTTGTTGTCTACCAAAACCAGGCCTCTGTTCATTGCGAATCCGCCCGATATTAAGCTACTCTGGTACTTCAGTGCCAAGAAATTGTGCCTTTTTTCTGACATTCGGATTGGATTTCTTGGCGACAACTGTAAGTGATCAATTGTTTTATCTGTATGCATGGCTGTGTGTTTCGCTTCAACCAACCCTAGGTTTGGCATTTTGGAAATGAGATCCGTCTCTTTTAATTCGTACTGGGTTCTGACAATCTTACCAGCACGATGCTGCATGTTTTCTTCAAGCAGCTGACATTGTTGTCGAATTTTCGCTCCCTCTGTAAGAACAGCAAGTGGGGGAATGTTCATGGTTGCAGCATCTAGAAGCTCTTTGTAGTAATTGATATTCTGAAGTTTCTGTTCAAATACCTCAATGTCCTGTCTTATATGATTTGTTTCTTTCTCGTGTAATTCATCAAACTCTTCTTTAAGTGCCTTTTCAATGCTGTCCAAGTGTTCGTTCACTCGTTCTCGAAATGTTGGTATCAGTTTTTCCTCTTCCGTCTTATGGCTGGCGAGATCCTCAACAGCTTTCTTTCTTTCGGCTACGATTTTCTCAGCGTTGCTGCTCATCGTGTCAAGTTGAGATACAAGAACAGTAAGTTCCTGTTTCTTTCGCATAACTTCGATTGCTCTGTCGATTGGAAGAAAGGAAGTGCATTGGGAGTGGGTTCCAGTTTTACATCTACTACAACAGGCCGTCTGATGCTCCATGCAAAATTTTGTGACTTGCTCTCGTGGATGGTCTACACAGTATACCTTTTTCTGCATGGTAAACGGATTGTTCTCGGCATCAGCAATGGGAATAACGGGATGACGATTAGAAGATTGAATGGATGCATGGTTCTCTACGCAGTCGTCACAAAGAGCCTCGGCGCAGTCCGCACACCACGACTTAGCGGTGGACGTTTTTGTTCGACGTTGGCATGGCTTACATCTTTTGGTTTTCAATTGTCGCTTCATAACGTGTGCCAGAAGAAGATAGTTGGAAGGAAGTCTGGCCACTATTTTCTCTGGGTCGACCTCCGTAGATTCTGGGACGGGAACGGAACATGTCGGACACTTTATCTGAGCGCTGGGATCCGACTCTTTTGCGGCTTTTGCGTGAATATTCAGGCATCCCTCACAGAAAGTATGAAGACAAGGAAAATGTTTGGGCGTTGTAAGCTCCTTGTCACAAAGTTTACAAATAACAAGATTTTCACCGACTTCATCGTCACCGCGAAGCGATGTTGTGGGTCGTGTTCTAGCCGATAATTGAGTTCCTTGTCGTGAGGTTGTTGCTGATATACCTGCCATTTTTATTTAGTTTTCTCTATCATTCATACGAATTTCAGAAAACATAAAACCATCCTTACTCCTTCATAGCCATTTTGAAATATCTGCTCACAAAAAGGACGCAAATTCATGTCCAAGTCTGCTTGATAGAATTGATTTAATCTGCAATGAATCAGATGCGTGTTCTTTATCAAACTCTGGGTACCGTGAATTGTTGGAAAAGCCTCCGATCAGATTTCTTTTAATAAAGTTTCCGTACTTTAAATCCAGCCTTACGTGTACCTATTATCTTTAGACTTCGATAGATGTCATTGTTTTATAATTCATCTTAAGCGGTACAATGGATTTTAAAAGAAATTTTAAATGTCTTACATTGAAATTGTTTCATAAATATAGCATCCGTGCTATGCACGTCAGTAAAACTCTGAGCATGGTTAAAGTTATAATGTGCCTCAAGAACAGTGAAGAGTGATGTTCATACAAAATGGTCACTTATCGTGAAAGATTAATGAAAATTTAGTATAGGAAAGTAAGAATACTTTGTCATTAAATATTGGATTTTGTTGTTACTGAGGTTACTAAAGATCAAACACATTTATTTCTAAAATAATTACTTTAATATTATTTTCTAATAAAGAACATGAAAATCAAGACATGAAAGAGTTCTGAAAATTTGTAGCATTTTATTTTATTTTAATTTTTTTTTTGGTGGGGGGGGGGGGGGGGCGTGTCAATCTTTAATGTATTTTAAAAATTTAATTCCACATACAATCTTTAATGTATTTACATTGTAAATTTCATTCAAAATACAATCAAAAATTTAGAAACACATCATTGGTTTATAAACTTTCAGATCTTTATTGCATATTGCCAGCAATTTTATTTTTGATCCGACACATGCTAAAAACAATATAACCATATGAAACACAGTCATTTTTACAATTTTCAGAACCTTCTTTTTAAACGGAGTTAATAAATGATGTTTATAACGACAAAGTAAACACTTCGCCGAAAATTTAAAATACGGAAGTCGTGCGTTTTAATCATGTATTGTTTAAGTTGTCATAAAAATGATTGTTCTATATTTTGAAATACACAGACTCATTAAAATCATAATTTAGAACATCGAAGAAAAGAATAATCAGTCTTAAAGGGATGGATGGTGTTTTCATGGTATTATACTTTCTTTTATCCTACAATATTGAAATGTAAAACACACTACAATGTAACTGATATCGTATCTTATTCATTTACAAACTAGAGTTTAATTAAGATAAATCACAACTGGGTTCACCACACTGACTTTTTGGATTAATTTTTCCTTGTTTCAATCAGTAGGTCAACTTCTGAATAACTTTTACATTGACCATATGTACTTTGAACAGTTGGAGTACAGAGCTGTGTTACAACGCACTTTGAAAAATTACGCACTTTGAAAAAAAATTTTCAAAGTGCGTGAAATTTGGGACTAAATTAAAGCACTTTGAAAAAAAATTTCTTTTCAAAGTGCGTTAATATCGACCATATTAACGCACTTTGAAAAAATGTGTATCGTTGATATTCTTGCAAATCTCAGGTATGATAAATAACCTGACAAACAAATGGGTGAAGGTCCATCGCTGGGGAGAGCTCATCATACATGTCACAGTTATAAACATTAATTTAGTGTGTCACATCTAGAATGCTCTATAGGAAGAAAAAAATCAACGTTCTACCTCAAAGTCCACTGTTTTCATGGTTTATTTATTTGAATGTGTCCATATTTATAATGGTATAGTGGCATTTCCTCGTTTATTCGCAAGACTCAATCATTAAACGCTATATCACCTTTATTTCTGTGGTACTGTATACTTAACGATTTCATAAATTGTCAAAATTTAACGTAAAAAAGAGGTTAAGGAATTCTTTATTGACGCTCGGAACAATGCAACATATTATTTACATCTGCATCACTGTTCCTGAGTCTATATATTAAATGAAAAAATAATCAAAAACAGAGAAAATCCAGAAGTTGCTCTAACCTTTCACATTCGTTTGGCCTTTGTGAACTTCCTTTCAAAATTTAATTATATTCGACTTTTTCTAACCCTACAAATAAAAAATAAATAAATTGTGGTTTCTTTTTCTGTAGGGAAACATTTTTTCTCTCTCCCTCTCTCTCAAATGCAGTTATCAAAGTTACAGTGTAGTTTTTATTTTATTTTCAATGTGGAGTAGAACGAATCTACCAAGTAAAGTCATTTCTGGAATATTTCACATAAATTTATTATGAAGAGAATTTACAATTTTTTTATGATATAAATTTTGAAAAATATTTCAGATAGAAGTCAATGAGATTGCAAGAAAGGCAAGAAAATATCTATAAGACCCTGGACTAGCAGACACCATCCTACAGCCACTGTTCAAATCTAAATAAGAGCTGATGTTTGGAACGAGGGAATGATCGTCAAGATCAGCAAGAAAGGGGGCCTTAACTGACTGTAACAACTATAGAGAAGGCCGGACCACTTTGCTGTCTGTGATGAGTAAGGACCTGGCCTATACTTCAGAAAGGGACGAGAATGTACGTACTGATCTGCTCTTCGCTCTCCATAACATCATTTGGCACATATAATTTTGGTATTATGTGTTTTTCTTGTGTCTGAGAAAAATAAAAATAAAAATTCGCGGAAATTAGCACGTTTTAAAAATGTCATATTTACTGTATATAAAAAGACATTTTTACAACGTGCTAATTTCGGCGAATTTTTATTTTTATTTTAATGAGAGTTTTCTACATAGATCTCAAAATACACCATTCTGCAACCAAGCGCCTATCATTTGGCACTGCACAGAGAGACAGTGACAACTGTATGCGAATTTAATGGACTTTCACAGGTTCGACGTTTACATGTTCAATGTACTAAGACCACAAAGAACATGAAAGAACAATAAGAATACAAAACCAATACGGTATTTAAAAGTTACGACCAAAGTAAAAGTGTAGTTTTTTGGAAAAGTTGGTGAAACTCTAAGGTCAAGAGGCCAAATTTGGTGGCACCCAACGAAAGGTCTTGTCACAAGGAATACACCTGTGAAATATGAAAGCCATATATAGTGATATTATACTTTCGTGTAAATTACTTGAATCTGATTCGTGAAACATTTGATAAAAAACACTACTACCCGCTGAATAATGAAGCCAGCAGCAACAGTCAACATTGCTTGACGACGGGTGGTATTACAAAAAATAGCTTTTAACACAGTTTAATTATGTATAAAACATTCAGACAGGTTAAAGTTTTCACCCCTCGAAAACCATTGTCAACCTTGCGCCTCGACAATGGTTTTCTTGGGGTGAAAATTTTCAATGTTACACTCAACTACATGCATTATTTATATACTAGCACCACCCACTCAAAACTTAATTAATTATGAGACAGGTTAAAGTTTTTGCGGACAAACAGACAGACGGGCAGACAGACGGACGGACAGGGCAAAAATCACAGGCACTTGTATCGTGTACAGGGCACCCCTTAGTCCTACTTATTTTTGGCCATATATAGTAGCGGGTACCCCGAATAAGCCGGAGACCTGTGGCTTTGGCAACTGTGGCAAAAACTATATATCCCCGAAACTTCGTTTCCGGGGCATAAAAAGTGGAATAATGGATTTTTTTCTAGAAAATGAATGTGTTTAAAAGCTGTCATAGACTAATGTCCTACGTACTTTCTACACTCTTGAAAAGTTCGAAATTATAGTACGCATTAATGTATACTCGAAATGGATTTAGTACGCATTAATGAATAAAAAATACGTCGAAAATTGATGGGAATGTCGTAAAAGTCAACAAAAAACATGTGGGTGCAAACTGTGCCTGTTTATATATTGCGTCATGTGCCTTGACTTGTTTAAAAATGTCTTCTGAATAAGCCTAGAATTCAAATAATTTTAATGATTCAGGTATGCTATTTCGTCAAAAATTATTGACTTGTTGTAGATATTTTGCAACAAACTTCAAACTGCAGATGATGGCTTCAGCACACACTTCTGAGACGAATGGACAGAGAAAGAATGGATACGAAAGAGATAGAGTTCCTAGACCTTTTGTAATCGGTGTAGCTGGTGGCACAGCCTCTGGAAAAGTAAACTATGAAAATTTTCTCACGTACAGTAACAATAACTTGAATAAGCAAATCTGTAAAAAATTATTTGCCTGTTATAGTGTTGTAGCCAGGATGTTTCATGATGTCAATGAAATACATATATCTATATTTGTTCCGGGTTTTCTCAAGTGATTTTCATATTTATTATATAATAAAAATACTGATATAAAATTAAATTGTGTTGAAATATAAAATTTACTTTACTATAAGTGATAAAATAAAATTCCTTAAAATTCACCACAGTCCTCAGTGTGTGCCAAAATCATGCAGCAGCTGGGTCAGGATGATGTAGATCACAGACAGAGACAGGTTGTTATAATAAACCAAGACACATTTTACCGTCCTCTTACACCGGAAGAGAACGCAAGAGCATTGAAGGGGGAGTTCAACTTTGATCATCCAGGTACACATTCTACCATCATGTCTCAGTACAGTCACTGTTACTGAATTTTATTTATGTTGGTAAATACTGAAGCAATCAATGTCTAGTTTTGTGGGTATATGCTAGCCTTGCCAGAGCATTAATGACAGTTAGAAACATATGGGATAAATTGCATAATGGGTGAAATTATATCCCACATTTCTAACAGACATTAATGTCCCTGGCATACCGAACAAACTAGAAAAGATTTCTTATATTTACACTTTTAAATAAAATGATAATATAAGTACAAATAAAAAATTCTGTCTTATAAATAAGAATTACACAAAGCATTCCATGTAACTTAATTTTCCATAGAAAATTTCTCTGTAAATTCCATAGAATTCCAGTGGCAGCCAAGGAAATTGATACACAAATATATTAAAATTACTATTTTTTTTTAGATGCTTTTGACTATGATTTTATGTTGCGAACATTAAAGGATCTTGTAGCTGGGAAGGCAGTGAAGTTACCACAGTATAACTATGTGACAAATGCCAGGTTAGTGTAACACACAGTGGGAATTGGTTGTAATGCTTGTATTGTCAAATCAATTGTGCAACCCGATATTTTGTTTGGTATTAACCATAAGATATTTTAAATGCCACTGTGTTTCAAAATTGTTTTCTTTTTTTCTGTCATTTGATTTCAGAAATGAGGAATGGCATACCGTATACCCTGCTGATGTTGTTCTGTTTGAGGGCATCCTGGTGTTTTATTTTAAACAACTTAGAGACATGTATCACATGAAGCTTTTTGTGGACACAGATCCTGACACAAGATTGTCCAGAAGAGGTACATTAATTAAGAGTCATATTTGCTTTGTCTTTTTATGCCCCCCCCCTTTCAAAGAAGGAAGGGCATGTTGCTTTCCTGCAGTCTGTCGGTCGGTCAGTCTGTCGGTCCACTTAGTTTCCGTTCATTTTCTTCGCAACCATTGCACATACTGAAATGAAATTTGGTATTCAGATGTATCACATAAATAGTTCTGTTTTGGGTACGACTGCACCATTTTTGACAGAGTTATGCCCCTTGGACTTAGAAAAAATTCAATTATTTGCAGTTTCCGTTCATTTTCTTTGCAGAGGTTGCACATACTGAGATGAAATTTGGTATACAGATTTATCAGATAAATATCTTGGGCAATTTCTGTTTTGGGTACAATCGTGCCATTTTTGAAAGAGTTATGCCCTTTTGGACTTAAAAAATTCCAATTTGGGGGGAAGGGGGCATAAGTGTTTTACAAACATCTTTTGTTGTCTTTGCTTTGACAATTTTGAAATATTAAATTGGTAATAGAAAAATATATAAAAGTAAAACACACTTGTTATTGTTATAAATTTGATGCTTACACCAAAGTGATTTTCATTCCCTGTGATTTTATAATACATGTATATGGTAAACTTCAAAGATTTAATGAATTACATTTATAATGAAGCAAAATTGTCAAAATTTGAGCATTTAGAATTTTTCTTTAAAATATTATTTCGATACAATCAAAGACTTAGACTAAAAAGTTATAAAAAGGTATTAAATATAAAAAAAAAAAATACAGTGTATTATTCTAACATGTAATAATTTTATGAAAGATTTATACAAACAATATTTTCAGTATTAAGAGACACAAAAGAGAGAGGGAGAGACATTGAGAATATACTTCATCAGTATACAACCTTAGTAAAGCCAGCTTTTGAAGAATTTTGTCTCCCAGTAAGTGGTTAAAATGCATTTTAAATAAACCATCCATATTTGGATAAGTATCCTATGTAAATGTCATCAAACATCGATTCACGAAAATGTCTATTCACTGTACATGAAGTGATGAAAATGAATTATAAATCCTTTAGATTTCAGTGTGTATAAGTGTTAGGACTGACTGCTGGTAAAATGTTGCCAGTCCTGCCAAAAATCGAGTAGCTCAAGAAAATATTTGTCCTTTTAAAAAAAAAGTTTGTTGCAGCAATAATGTCAGTTGGGCCAGATCACCATATCTTTGATCCAAAACCAATAGGCTGACAAATTTTACCCGTTTGATTGTTACACTTTGCTGCCAATACTGTTATTTGATTTGAGAGATATTAATCAAATATCTAAATTTTATTTTATGGATTTTTTTTTTTACAAGTTTAGCTGGGTGTCAATACATGTAAATTTTGAAACAACCTTTTCTAAGTTTAGGTGTGGGGGGTGTTATGTCTTAAAGATGATATATAAATTGTATTACTATGTTTTCTTTTAAAGACAAAAAAATATGCTGATGTTATAATACCCAGGGGAGCTGATAATACAGGTAAATCTAGCTACTTCACAGTTTTAAATTTTTCTAAAAATTTCAACATATGTGAATAATCATTATTTTTTCAACATTGAAGTACATTGTATTCTTTTAAAATCTAAGTTTTATTTCTTTCCAGTGGCTATTGATTTAATTGTGCAGCATATTCAAGAGTTACTGCGACCTTCCAAAAACCTGGTTAATACTAAGAGACCGCGTCACAACTCAGATTCCTTTGTTGGCAGGCCACACTAGGATTTCCCATTGTGATCTTTCAAAAACATGCTGTCTAGCAAAAGTTCAGTGAAAACTTATCGGTCAGCTCATAACTATTAGCAATGGTTAATGAGTCTCAGAGATTTTTAAACAACTAAATAACATGTATATTCACTGCCATTTTCTTTGGGACTGGAAATGATTTTTGACAAATATATTATGTTTACTATATTTTTTGATGTTTACATGTCTAGGTTATATGATCTTTACATCAAAATGTTTGTAATTTAGGGTAATCACCGTGTCTAAAAATTTTCCATGCATCTTTGTGCTTTCAAGCATTTTGATCTGAATTGGCAATCGTCAAGTTCCAGAAATATGAGCATTTACATTTATGGCCATTTTATTTCCATGAAATGGTGAAAAAAATTATAAGTTCATAAAAAAATAACATTTTAGAACTGAACCTCTTTTTGTGTGATTTTTCAGGTAGCACATGCATGTTACCTAAATGCATTCAGCATGTTCACCGCCCTGTTAAACAATCAATTTTTGAATAAGAGTACTGGATGACCAAGTTCATTTTTGTTTAAAAGAATATTTTTAGGGCCCCGCAAGGATTTGCAGGTGCCCTATAGTAATCACTCTGTCTGTCCGTCCGTCCGTCTAGCTGTCTGTCTGTCCGTCTGTCACTCTTCCGTCCACAAATTTTCTGTTTTTTCTAATAACTTTTTTTATGGTTGCCCAATCAAGTTTAAATTTGGTATGGTAGTTTAATAGGCAGAAAGACATATTTTGATGCTAAGTTTGATTCTGTATGTCTTCTAGTTTGGAGCTGGGGTGGTGGGGTAGATTCCTAAACTATATAAGAATTTTTTTTATGGTTGCCCAATTAAGATCAAATTTGGTATAGTTCAGTAGGCAAAAATACATATTTTGATGCTAAGTTTGGTTCTCTATGTTATATATTTATATAAGAATGCATTGGCAAAGAGAGATAACTGGTAAACTGAATGCTCCCATTTAATTAGCTTTCCTCCTGAAGAAATTCCAGAGCATTATCTTTATCTGTCACTTTGAGATTAATTACCACCTCTGTCTGCAAATGAAGTTTGTTTTGAAGTTAAATCAATTTGGAATTCTATGAAATACTCTGATATGTGGATTTAAATATAAATTTTTATTATTTATTTTTGTTTGATAGTTATGATTTCATTGAATCCTAAAAAAAGAAATAGATTAAAGAAGATTTTTTGATTTACCAGGGTACTTTTTTTTTTCACTTTTTTCCTTTTTTTTTTTTAAATATATTAATTCAAGAATGTTTTTAATTTTTAATGTAGTTGTATAAAAACTCCGTTCTATCATTAATACTGAAAAAAGTCCTTATTGTAACTTTAGAAGAAAATGATGAGAGAGGTACAATTAATCCCTTGGGATTAATTATCTAGCCTGCTGCAGAAAATTTAGTAGGCTTCTCTTTATCTGTCACTTTAAGATTAATGAAAACCTTTGTCTGCAACTGCTGTTTGTTTGAAGTTAAGGTCAAGCCTTCATGATATTTGCATTCATTGAAGGCTGGCATTTTATATAACACAAGATTCATAATTGTTTAAATATAAATTCAATGTTAAGTTGTTCTTTACTGCCTAATGTAAATACAAGAATATTATTTTCAGGTTTTTGAATATTCAGGAATTATGTTGAAATTTTAAGAATACAGTTGCTGTTGCTTTTTCTTTGTACATTTATTAATCATTCTGTAAGCTGCACCCTTTTAATTCTACCCCATGGCGGGGCCCTTGCTGACTGGTCAGTTTTCTAGTTGTATTAGTTCAAAGTTTCTCAAAAATAAAGGATGGATTAATACTTCATTATATTAGAGGATTTTATTGAACAGTTATATATCAATGGAAATCCTTTTACATTCAATCTTGACTTTTATTGTCGATTCTTTATGAAAGGGGGGGGAGGGCAATCAAGTACAATAATTTAAAAGCAAAAAAGGCTCTTCTTAGAGCTTTTCTTTTTTATTATTATTATTTTGGGCACAAAAATACTCTTTCCCTCTCCTTTAAAAAATTGGATGGGGCATATTAGCATTTTGACTGACCCCATTTTTATGGATTCTAAATTGAATAACAATGGGGTAATCTTTTAGATAAAACCAAATAAAAAATGGTCAGCTGAAATTTTGCAATGGCACCATTTTTTGAAATATTTTTTTTATTAGGAGCCAGCTGGCACCTATAAGCTACATTTTAAAGGCCACTTTGAGGTCTGATGTACAAAAAATCAAAGGTTACAATCTTTCATCTAGTCTAGGTATGTATTTGTACAAACTTTGTGTGCTGATATGTAGTGTGTAGATCACAAAATGTTCCTTGTAATTTTTAGTCTTTATCAATTTGTATTGATAGTATAAAGATATTGTGTGTTGTGGAATTTTTTTAGGTGTCTCAGTCATTCATCTTTTGTACATGTTTTTAGTCTCAGCTATGTTTACTTATCTACTTGTGAATACCATTTCACAGTGTATCCCTGTTACTGAAAATTAAAATGTCGACCCGAGTATGTGTTGTGTTTTTATCCATGTTGTATATGTACACATAAATGTATAGATTATTTTAGTAGTTCCATAGATACATAATGAACAAACATGGTACACTGCATTCTTATTTTCAATACTATGGTATACGTATATCTCTTGTCGGAAGAGACTGCCATTTAAAGTGTCCTGTCCTATGGACTTTTAAATATCTTGCAAGTTGAAGTAAACAGGAAATCCATGCATATTTACATGAAAATTTGAATTCTAGCAAAACAATGGTTCTTCATATGCATTTACAGCCTTCACTGTTGTTATAAAATCCTTTTGGATATAAACATGTAACAAACCTGTACACTGTGTAAGGTATAAAGGTCAGGCCAAAATTGTGGGCAAACCACCAGACAACAATATGCCCTCTTTTATAAATCTTAAATCTTGAGTTACAGTTACATAAAAAAGACCAGATCTATATAAAGTAGAGAGTTATTTAATATTTGACACCATATGTTGCCTATTGGTGTAATACAATTTGACATATTTTTGTGCTGCTCTCTGATATGTGTGCCTATTGAACAGTAATACATGCTGTTATCATAATATTTAAAAAAAATATGTTGCAATTAATTATCAATACAATTATGTAAATTACTTGAATCTATGTTGCCTATTGGCATTTGTAATACAATTATTTAATATTTGACACCCCTATGTTGCAACAGTCAACATACAATTATTTAATAAATGACACCAATATGCGCCTAGGTTCACTGTATTATGTGTTTATATAAAACATTCATTTGACAATATATTGCATGTATTGGCGTAATACAATTATTTAATATTTGACACCATATGTTGCCTATTGGCGTAATACAATTATTTAATATTTGACACCATATAATTGCACATTAGGATAGTAATACATATACACATATTTTTGTGCAAAAATTCAGCTCTCAATGGAGAATGTGCATGACTGTCTGATGCAAAAAATAATCATTTTGAATACACACCATCAGCCGTAAATACATGTAATTGAATAAGCAATACTTATGAAACCTTACATGAATATGACTGATCATGGCTTGTGAAGGTTTTCATATATAGTATATACTAGTACATACCCATGTTAAACTTTGAAATATAATTTTTTATGATTTCAAATTTGCATGATTTTGTCTTATACATGTACAAACCTACCTACCACAAAAAAACACACAAAAAACAAAAAACACAGGCTTAAAAGTCACAAAAATGCTCCTTCAATATTTGATGACTAAACTGCTTTAATAGAAGAAATATCTATTCTTAAGCAAAAACAAGGGATTAAATGCTAAAATACATCCAGTTAACTTAACAGTCATTGGAGAAATTGACAAAATTAAAAAAATTCAACTAAATAAATCAATTTCAGGACTCCTGATGTTGTGTGTGTTTTTCTTATTTGGGGTGTCAAAAACCAAGGTGCACACGGATGCTAAACATAGAAAAAACTTGGAATGGCCTTACTTCCTGGAATTTTGATTTTATCAATTTTAAAACTACACTATATCAGGAAGCTTTCTCTTAAATTTCATCTTTTCTATGCGAGTATATACGTTTTTAAATTACCACATATTATAAATTTCTTTCCGACTTTATCTCTCCTTGTAAAAATTATGTAGCTCAATCATTTGAATAAACCTGAATCTTCTTTGCTCAAGGATGCTATGTACAAACTTTGGTTGAAACATATGGTTGAAATTAGCATGGTAGTTTAAGAGAAGAATATGAAACTCCTAAAAGTTTATGACAACAATGTACACATTTTCCTCAGAAAAGCTCACTTGAGAGCTGAGCTAAAAAGGAATTGATTCAAAACTAAATATACAAGTTATTGTGGATCATTACAAAAAATATGACTGACCATAATCTTTTTTTGTTTGTCCTCCAAAGGTTTACATATACAATCTCTTTAAAAAAGTAAAGGTTAATTAATACAGAACTGAATAATGCCTGTCTGTGAGTGTGTAAGAAATACTTGAAATGATCAGAGGCAATTGTGAAAAGGATTTAAAGGGGTCGAATGGGGTTTTATTGTGTGAAAACTACAATAGAGAAACTCTTTATTTTTATACCATATATAACTAGCGTTGACTTCAGTGTACATGCCAAGTTTGTGGAAAACCTACCGCAGGTAAAATTTTAAATATAGGATTATATGGGAATTAAAGTGCTAATTTTTTGCACATTAGATCATATTATACAAATACTACAATAGACTTTTTGCTTAAACTATAATATATGATGGGTAATACTATATTGTACATTATATGCACCTGAATTCCATTTGTTCAAGGAGGGCACTAAAATGTCAATTTTGGTAACAAATTTCCCCATAGTTTATATAGAACAGAAAATATGAAACTGTAAAAAAAATTTTGACAAAAAAACAATGTACAAATTTTGAGAGATTAAAATTTCTTGAGAGCTTCAAGAGCATATATTTAACTTTTTCTTAAGACAAATTTTTACTTACAAACTTAAACTGAGGTCAAAAACACGATAATGATGTTGTAATGCATTATTTTTAAAATTTTCCTTAAATTTTATACCAGGTATTAATTCTCTGTAATTTTGTAAAGGTTAATTATATAGTTGAATTGCTGTGTGTGTACAGAAATTTACTAAAAATCATTTTAGATGATGCAATCGTTAAAAGGATTTAAGGTCATAAGTTAAAACTCCTGTAGATTTTGTTATTAAAATAACTGATTTTTATTGAGCAAATTTCAATAAATTTTCTTACAAATATTTGGGAAATAACTTTCATTAAATATGTCTCCATATAAGTGAAAAATTTTGAGAGGGAGAACATTAACATTATAACAATAAACAATTGAAACTTTCATTTAGTAGGAAGTAAAACAACTAAGAAAATTTTAGGTACTGCTTTTTTAAACAATGGAATCAACTTTTTTTCCCATGCTTACATGAGACTTCATTTATTTATGAATTATTATAAAATAAAAATGGTCAAGTTTTCTTGTCATTTATTTATCTTGATAATAAGTTTCATTGGTCTTTCTGCAAAAGGAATACATGTACAGGTGCAAATTATCATTTTTCCTATCTTTTTTATAACAAAAGAAACTGCACCAAAAATAGCATGATTGTCTTACCTAGATCAGCATCTACAAATACAGGCTTAGTCCCCAGAAAACGAGCAATGGTGTCAACATCTAAATGGCTAAAAAACTTCTTATTTAAAGTGTCCTGAATTGGTCGGAAATCAAAGGGATTTTTCTAAAAGACATTAAAAAAAAATGTAATCATACCAGTAAATGGTAACGATATAAGCTATATATATATATTTTTAACTAATAGAAATATAATAAAGACCCAAAAAATTTACACAGCTTTCCTTTACTGTAAATCATTCCTGCCGAGTAAAAGTTAACAATATAAGCTAAATGTACTTTTTTTCAACAACAATTTAAAGTTCCTGAATATATCCAATGAGAATGTAGAGAACCATTATGGTGATTAACAAACTACGACAGATTAGTTGATTGACTGATTGTTTACAAAGACTACAAAATAGTAGTAAGTACTGCAGTAAAAATCCAGTTTAACTCCTTAACCTAAATTTTAGACTCGTAAAACTCGTTATAATGCAAAAAATTACTTTGCTATATCCGTAATTCGCTATATCAGTATAAGGAATTCGTTAACTTTATATACCTGGGGATCCAAGATAACTTTGTTATAACCATGAATTCAAAATATCCTTGTTTTTTAAAATGAGTTTTGCTGTATCCATAAAAATTTCTGATATTTTTATTAGATTTATAGTTATGGATATCAACACTTAGGCAAGCCTCTAGGACTAGATTGTCCTATTGCTATACATTCTTTAACCAGTAAGACCCACCCTCTCTGATGCTCGACTCAGACCAGTGATCTTGACCACACCAGTGGCCTGCATAGCTGTTGTTTTAGTGGGGCTAGTCCACTGTAAGGGCACCCAGCCACGGTTCACCAGTACAACATCTCTGCAAAAACATAGATATTATCCGGAATATTATTATATTAAGAATATTCTGGGATTTAATTTGTCCATATCCTCTAAATACACAAAAATTAGATAGCTGCAGGAAATACCCATTATATGGCAGATTTTTATTTGCCAAACATAAAAATGTAAATCTTTCTTTATTTCAGGTGAGAGGTATGCTAATATTCAAGCAGTTGACCCCAAAAGTTTACCTATATAGCTCTCTTATCATTCTAACAATTTTGGACTTCCATTCACAATGTCAACAAATAAAAAAACTGCTTGAAAAACACAAGAAATTACTAAAATAATAAAAATACATGTAATACAATTCGTTTGATGGACCTACCCAGTATCCTTAAGTTTAAAAGGTGTGATGACCAGTACACCTTTCTGCCATTTACTTCCATCTGGTGTCAATTCTGGTTTGACATTAGCTCTGTATCCTATATATACCTCACGATCATTATCAAACTCTCCCTCTAATTCCACATAGGTAAATTCAGACTTTCTTTGATCTGGTTCATCAAATCTGTAAATATGTATAAATGGGTGCTTTCAATGGCTCATCATAAACAAGTAGATTTAAATAATTAATATAATATTACAACACATACAGGTAAGGTAAGTTGCATCCCAATCTGTGACAGAATCTGCATTCCTAGATGCATCATCATTGTAGTACATGTAGTCTTATATTTTTGTAATTTTTTAACTACTCAACTGTCATGAAATAAAAGGAGTACTGTAAATCACTTTTTATTCGCGAGAAATTTATTTTCGCTTAATTACGCGAGACAGCACTAGTGTGCTCACAAAATTTAATTCTCATATAATAGCATTCCTTAAGATTATATAGAGCAATAACCACAATTTGTGAATATTTTGTCTCGCTAATCAAGAGTCAATGACTGTCTCGTGAAAATGAGGTGTCGCGAAAATTTAGTGATCTACAGTATATACAGCAATGAACTATATACAATAAGTTGAATGCTCCCCTTCAATATGTGGTCAATTGACAGTCAAAATTAATTGTCAACTATAAACTTTTGAACTGAATATTTCAAAAGAATTTTCATTGACTTAATTATGTATGGGTTTATTCTGGAATGTTGATGCTGAGTGTATAGTATACACTGGGCTAAAAAAATATCATAAAAAGTGAAAATTTTAGATTGAAACTGAAGATAAAATTTATACTGAAGTAATATCATACCTCTGGTAGGTCATAGAGCTGTGTAACATTCCGTAATATTATATTATCTATATCAGTTTCATTGTTTTAGACTTGAAATAGATAGGATGAAATTTAAAATTGAACTGTATTGTATTACAGCAATTTCTGTTCATGAAAATGCTTATTGTAACTTAATAGTGTATCACCTTTTTAAAAACATATATTCACAACTAAGGGGAAAAACTCTTCCAATATTTTTTATACAGACCTATATATGTGTAATCACAGGAGTTCGCGTACCTATATAAAAAAAAAACGTAATACCTATTTTTATTTCCTGTAATTTTCTAAAATTACTTCTAATTACTTCTGAATAAATATGAATTGAATTTTCAAAGTAGTACATATCATATAGAACTAATTAAGATGTTTCTTTTCATAAAGAAATTTAAAGCACTAACAACTTTGATACAGGAATAGGACGTTTTGAAGTTTGTGCTTCTATTCTCTCTCTCAGTTCTGCTATTTCCCTTTTTCGTTGATACTGCCAGTAGGCTATGCCTATAGTCCAAAATGGAATTGTCTAGAATGAAAATATAAAATAATACTTAAATAATTAGGTCTTTCCACCTTTCTGTGGAAAGACCTATTGATATTCTTCTGTTTATTATTCTTTTTTTTTATTATTTTTCCGCCGCATGTTTTTTTGTTTGAAGATATATCGAAAAGATTTATAGTTCATAGGAATGTACTCCGTAAAAGATGTTTGCAGTTGACCCTGCGTAAAAACCTTGACCGCTTTCAAGTTATTGCCCCTTTAAGAAATGCTTGTTATCGCTACTCCTCAGAAACCGTAAACCGCAGAGGTATGAAACCTTGATGAATGTCTTCGACTAATTAAGGGGACTCTTCAATCTATTCATTGCGAAAGTATTCGGTGACACCTTCAGTGAGTTATTGCCCCTGAAACCTTTTGAATTTTACAAATAATTAAAAATTTTCAAAACAAGAAGTCGTAGAGACATGGGACCAACTGCATAAGATAAAAAAACCTTTGTCCTTAAAATTCATGTAAAGGTCAAAGGTCAAGGTCATAAAAATGAGAAAATTAGCTCTTTTTATATCTCTTTTGTCTTTCAACATATACTTAATGTCTATGCATCATTAATATGTACTATTAAAACTGTTTCAAAGATTTCATTCTTGTCCCCTAAGATTAAACCTTTTAAAAGTTATTGCCCCTTGTGCGAAAAACCTTGTTATCGCTACTCCTCCGAAACTAAAGACCCTACAGACACCAAACCTTCACTAATGTCTTAAGGGTCATTAGACCTAACTTCATTGCATAAGTGCAAAAGAATCTGATGACCCCTTATATGAGTTATTGCCCTTTAACTTCTTTGTACTTACTATTTAACCTTATAACTTGAAAACTATAAGTGGTAGAAGCATGGGGTCAATTGCATTGTGACCCTTGACCTTTGACCTTGAATATTTTTTCAAGGTCAAAGGTCAAGGTCATTCTTTTTTTTTTTCAATTTTCATTTTTTCTATGCTTTAAGAGAGTTTTGGTTTCTTTTTCATTGAATTTAATTTTTAGGAGTCAGATATAAAACAGAGTTCAAAGAAGGTGGAAAGACCTCTTATTGTTCTGTGAACAATAAGTCTCCTAGTTGTAAATTGTATTTCTATCATAAAACAAACTGACATTAAAAAGATTACAAAACCTTTAGGAATTCTTTACCATCACATATTTGCAAAAAGATGATACTTAAATATCATCCACGAGGAAATTTTCATCCAAAATTTACAAAGATAGATATGCATGCACAGACAAAAATCAAACAGGTAGCTATAATTGAAAGAGCTTTCTTTTTTAATTACCACCAATTTTACAACTGAAAATAATAAATTGTAATACATGTATGCATATAACCTGGTAAAATACTTACAGATAAAAAAATATTTAATGATATACTAGCTGGTCGGACTAATGGTCTAATTCTTGGAGTATTCTTAAATTTACTTGGAGCATCACGAACATCCATTAAAGGTCTTTCAGGAGCATTCCTTATACAAGGAATTGAATTTAAAAGTGGCCCCTTCTTTCTAACTCTTCCATTACTAAAGCTATGAGAAGAAAGATCCTGAAAAAATTCAATAAATGCAATTGTTATACTTACAATAGTTTTCTGAATACTATATTGAACAGTTTATGATACTTTATAGAGTATTTTCTAATACAAAAATCAATTATTGACAATGTATGTAATACTTTCTGTATAATTAATTGATTTAAAATGCCTTGGCTTGGTGTATAAAAATTATATTACCTCTTTTTTCATGAAAATTGCATACCAACGCTAATCACCAAAAAAGTTGACAAGCATGTAATGATTTTGACTATTTTTTTCTGAATATTAAAAAATTATGATTAAGACTTTATTTCATTCATTAGTTAAAAATAAAAATATTTTCTATGACATAGATTAATTAGAATAAACATAGGTATTCAGAGATTACAGAGCTCACCTCAACAAATGTTGTCTTTAAGTAAGGCAAAGTCACACGATTAACTAATATTCTAGTAGTTTACATCCCCAAATGCAAAATTTATGCATATTTTTTGATCTGACAGAGCTTGCAGTTACTTGAGAATAGACCTATCCAAAACTTCAAAACATTTGTCCATCTCCCATCCAAGCTTCTGAAGAAAGTTTGAGAGTGTTTATCCCTTAATGCATCATCCATGCAAGTCTGGTTAATATAGGCCTTAAACTTTCTTAGTGATAGACATGCACCCATGATTTTTACCTAGTCAGATTCAGCATCCGAAGCAAGTCCATTAGTGTGCATCCTTAGATGTTTCATCCTTGCAAGTTTGGTCATCATAGCCTTTTGATATGCATCCTTATATGTATCACCCATGCAAGTTTGGACAACAGGACTTGTAGATACTGTGTAAATAAGACCTGCACAAAAAACTGCACCAATAAAAATGTAAAAAATGTTAACCTGCTCCAAAATTGAAAAAGATTAACCTGGTCATTCCTTTGCTGAAATTGCAACATCTGAAACTTTGACTGGTGCATTACATACTAGAAGCATCTTTCGTGCATGTTAATGTAGGGCATATAAGTACTTTAGACATGTTAGAAGAAAACTGCACCAAAAATCTCAACCTGGGACACTGATGCCAATAGTGACACCAAGGGTATCACATAAGCTTCCCCTAACTTTGTTGAATTGAGCTAAAAATTAGAACAGAAGACCCTGGAGCCACATTGCTCACCTGTGAACTGTGACTAGGAAAATAGCAAAAAAATCCAGTATAAATGCTTATAAGCTTAAAAGCATAAGTGGTCCAAAGAGGTTTGAACTTTCATTATGGCCACATCATATCCCTGGGGTCATGCTTTGAACAGAGTTGAATCTTCACTACACTGAGGCTGTTCCATATAAATCTGACCTATCATTGCCTTGAGAAAATTTTTCCAATATATTTCCATGTAAAACTTGGATCGTCCATTGAGGTCCCACCTTAGCCCTGGGGGTCATGATTTGAACAAACTGAAATCTACACTATCAGCCTTTGGGCTCAGCAAAACATCTTTTTTTTAAATTCGTTATCGTTTTTGCTTCTTTTTTTAAATGAAACTAAAATAAATAACTTAATGAAGCTGATGGTTGACAAACAACAGTTATTGAATAAACAAATATTTCCTGTACTCGGTAAAGAACCTTAAAAGCTTACTTTTGTACAAATCCTAGAGAAAACACGTCTTGACATTGTTATGGGAACTCTTCATTTAGGAAACAAATTTTAGTCTTCCAAGAATTAGAAAATCTCTCAAGACTTCTGATTGGTTCTTTTAAAATGAGTAACTAATCAGTGTCGGCGTTGCAAAGCCATTTAGATTACCGTCAAAATGGCTGAAATACAGAAAAGACTCCAAACTGAAGTTGAAAAATTTCAAGCTGTTCAAAAAGGTATCCTGAATGAGTACTGAAAGTCAACTTCTAATTTTAAGATATTTTTTGATGGTTTGAGTTTTTGTAAACACTTTTGGAAAGCTAGTGTTCTACAGGAAATTAAAAGACGAAAACTTTATTCTGTAACTAGGTACCACGAGTCTCAGTCCGTATTTCCTCGACAAGAAACATGTTTTTATCAAATTAAGCATTGGTAATGGTTAAATTTGGCTATATCCTGTTATTTGCAACGCGTTGCATATAAGTTTTTACCACAGAAAATAATTGAAATAACGTATACCGATCCTTATCAAATTACATTCATTCAGGTATAATTGAGAAAATAAAGCAAACGATAAGGAAATGTTTTTAAGGCGTCTAAAAATAATTAAAATTACAAGTATGAAGCAGATTTATCATATTATTTCTCTGATTCTGGAAAACGTTGCATGCAACGCTCCATAGTAAAATGATCGATTTCTCCATAGAGCGTTGCAAATAACAGGAGTATATATAGGGCGACGAATTTTATTTTCCTGATATTGAAACTATATTTAAGTGTACATAAAGGGGAAGTTTCCCCGGGAAGAGGGTTTTCTTGGGGGGTTAATATCAGAAAAAATGGGGCTTGGCTTTTTGGGGGGGAATCAAGATAAAAATATAGACATTTTACGGAATAAAGCGCTATTTAATATTGCATGCGTTGCACGCATCCTTCCATAGTAAAATGATCGATTTCTCCATAGAGCGTTGCAAATAACAGGAGTATATATAGGGCGACGAATTTTATTTACCTGCTATTGAAACTATATAAGAGCACATAAAGGGGAAGTTTCCCCGGGAGGAGGGTTTTCTTGGGGGGTTAATATCAGAAAAAATGGGGCTTGGCTTTTTGGGGGAAATCAAGATAAAAATATAGACATTTTACGGAATAAAGCGCTATTTTATATTGCATGTGTTGCACGCAACGCTCCATAGTAAAATGACCGATTTCTCCATAGAGCGTTGCAAATAACAGGAGTATATATAGGGCGACGAATTTTATGTTCCTGATATTGAAACTATATTAGTGTACATAAAGGGGAAGTTTCCCCGGGAAGAGGGTTTTCTTGGGGGGTTAATATCAGAAAAAATGGGGCTAGGTTATTTTGGGGGGATCAAGCTAAAATGAAAACATTTGACGGAATAAAGCGCTATTTTATTTTGCATGCGTTGCACGCAACGCTCCATAGTAAAATGATCGATTTCTCCATAGAGCGTTGCAAATAACAGGAGTATATATAGGCCGACGAATTTTTTTTTTCCTGCTATTGATACTATATAAGTGTACATAAAGGAGAAGTTTCCCCAGGAAGAGGGTTTTCTTGGGGGGTTAATATAAGAAAAATGGGGCTTGGCTTTTTGGGGGGAATCAAGATAAAAATATAGACATTGTACGGAATAAAGCGCTATTTTATTTTGCATGCGTTGCACGCATCACTCCATAGTACTTAAAGTTATCGATTTCTCCATGGAGCGTTGCAAATAACAGGAGTATATAATTTTATTACCTGCTATTGAAACTATATAAGAGTACCTAAAGGGGAAGTTTCCCCGGGAAGAGGGTTTTCTTGGGGGGCTAATATCAGAAAAAATGGGGCTTGGCTTTTTGGGGGGGAATCAAGATAAAAATATAGACATTTGACGGAATAAAGCGCTATTTTATATTGCATGCGTTGCACGCATCAATCCATAGTAAAATTATAAATTTCTCCATAGAGCGTTGCAAATAACAGGAGTATATATAGGGCGACGAATTTTATTTTCCTGACATTGAAACTATATTAGTGTACATAAAGGGGAAGTTTCCCCGGGAAGAGGGTTTTCTTGGGGGGTTAATATCAGAAAAAATGGGGCTAGGTTATTTTGGGGGGATTGCAAATAACAGGAGTATAAGGCGACGAATTTCATTTTTATGTTGTTTAAACTTCTGTTATAAAAGAACTATTTTCCTGGAAGATGGTTTTGATAGTCGATTATTTAAAAAAAATTGTTTTATTCAATTCACGTGTTCATTATTTCAACTGAATAATTCAGTTGAAATAATGAACCAAACAAAAAATGTATTTTCTTGCAAGAAATTTGGTAAAATCGCTAAAAAGGATAATAAAGGATATTTATTGAAATAAAATGTGATAGCTATCGCAACAAATACAGTTATTGAATTCGAGTTTGTGTGTGTTTGTTTTTTTAGGATGGTTTTAAATCACGCGGCTTATTCCGTAAAAGCGGAAAGAACGATAATTTGCGTTTTTCGTGGTACTTTTTCTTTAATAAGTATAATTGCATTTAAGGGTTTTGATTTCTTTTGTGTGTGTTTGTTTTTAAGGAGTTATAATATCATGCGGCTTATTCCGTAAAAGCGTAAAATACGATAATATGCGACTTCCTGGTACTTTTTATTGGCTAACTACATTTCTTTTGCTTTGTTTTTGTGAGTGAGTGTGTTTGTTATTAAGATACTTTAAAATCATGCGGCTTATTCCGAAAAAGCGTCAAGATCGATAATTTGCCATTTTCTGATAATGTTGCACTACCATTCATCTTTTCAAATACAGTTGAAGTACCCCAAAACTTATAAGCAACGCGTTGCAGATAACAGGATATAGCCTTAAATTTAGGTTTCAGAACTCTATGATTCTGAAAGAGCATATGATTACCTGTTTTGTTTACTTCTTTAGAATAGTAAAAATCTTGATATTGAATTAATTTCATGTGCAGTGTTCACAACACCAGTAGGTCAGTAGGCTGGCCCAGTAGACTGAATTTACTGATATGTTAACTTTGATGTAATATCTAATTATGTAATGTAAATGTTATCATTGATGTTCTTGTCTTTCAGATTATCAAAAACATGTCAACGTAAGGCAACAATTAGATGCCCAGATGAATGAAAATTCTTTAGTGAAAGAGGTAGGCTAAATACATATGAATTAGGGATGTCAACGAGTACCCGGTTAACCGGGTACTCGATCGAACGTCCGAATATCGAATACTAAAATCGGTACTCGGTTACTCGGATGTATATTTTTGAATATTTCTGAACTTATTTATCAATGCATTAAACAATCTTTTTTAAATCATAGAATACTCATCGTACTTCTAAATACAGTAATTAGGGTTTCCTATTCCTCCTAATGACCGTTATCGCCCGTGGCAGTGTTTATACAGTAATTATCGTGACCAATTAAGCACCTGTTACTTGGCTTTTCTCACCTTCGACTGTCATATACCCTTATTTTTTTTATTTGCTTGTATATTTATTATTTGTTTCGCTGAAAATCGTCTATTATGATTACGGTAAATAAATTAGATAATTTTGTCAATTCTTCGAGAAGCCGTAAATTCTCGGGAAAAGAGACAGATGATAATTACACGCGCGATTGTTGATTTAGTTGTGTTTGATTACATACCAATACAAATGGTTGAAGGTAAAGGCTTAAAAAAAACTGATGTCCATCATTGCACCAAATTACAAAATACCATCCCGTAATACTACAAAATTTGGGATCGAAAAGTGTTATAAAACCGTAAATCCACTCTGTTAGAACTTGATCAAGTATAAGTCAAACTGTACACTGATACCTGGACGTCAAACGCAGTGAAAAGTTATAACAATTACGGAGCAGATTATTTTTTAAAACAAAAACACTGTGAACCACTTACATTATGTATGATTTTATTTCTTGTGTTTATCTTATAAATAAATTGAATTTTTAAAATGTTATATTAAATTTCGTCGAGCACGAAGTGCTCATCATTGTTACAACAGAAATACATTTAATTACGGGAAAACCTCCTACCAGAGCATGTGGTTTTATTTCTACAAGAGTTTACAATGTTTTAACATTCATCAGTTTACTTGTTCATATTTAATTACACTTTTACCGAGTACCCGGGTACTCGATCGAAAAAACGTTCGAGTAACCGAGTATTAAAAATTGACCGATTTGACATCCCTAATATGAATACATCATGTAATACCAGTCTTCTTCACTTTCAGACCTTCAGTACACGAACAGATTATTATAAATTTAGTTTCTTTCCCCTAGATAGAATGTTCTATCGTTAAAATGATAAATGTCCTACGGACCCGGTTTAACGATAGAATTCGTTCCATGTATTCGTAATGTAGCAAAAGAAACACGGGCGATAACTCGTACTAGTGCATTTACTACCAACACTTTAGACAGTTCCGAATGTAAATATGGCAGGTAAATTTGAAGCGAGAGAAAAACGTTGAGAAAATTAATTGGGTTTTCGTCCTTCTATGGATTATTTTTTGGGATAAAAGGCATATGCAACCTCAAAATGGTTTGTTTTGATTAATTTGATAGTTATTTCCAGTGCAAATCCTTTTATATCCTTCAAAATCATTTTGGAGCAGATGGGCTCTGATTTGCTACATTGCAAGTATATGGGACGTATTCTAACTGTGGTGAGGGCTTGTACCGAGACACAGTTAGATTGTTCTAAATATCTTTCCCCATACAGTGACTTTGTGGAATTCTCTCCCACACTCAGTGGTGGCAGCGGCCTCTGTGGACCAGTTCATAACTCTGGTCCCAAGTCATGTTCCATAACTCTTATATTTATAGAGCTAATCAGAGCATAATGTAAATATATATATAGATTTGTGTTGTTGTTTTTTCTTTTTTTAAATATTTATTGCCGGACACTGTGACTATTTTTTAATTTATTATATACACATTTTGGATATATATATAGATATACATCTTTTTATGCACAATGTAAATTGTTTTCAATAACTCTTAGTTTATGTATACTTTCCATGGCACTTTAGTTTTTTTCTTTTTTTCATATACTTTTTAGTTTAGAATTCAGAGGTCCATTTGCGCAGGGCCAGCGCATAATCATCAAGTTTGATGGAACGCTGTATTATGTGGATGTAGATGTAAATATGTTTTACGGTGTAATTGTTTGGGCGAGCATACTTAGAATAATCTAACTGTGTCTTGGGACAAGCCTTAACCACAGTTAGAGTACGTCCCATTTACATGCAATGTAGCAAAATCAGAGTGGATCCACTCCAAAATGATTTTGTAGAATACAAAAGGGGTTGGGTTGAAAATGACTACCAAATTATTCAAAACAGTCAAACCTTTTTGAGATTATATAAGCCTTTTATACCAAAAAAATAATGCATATGAAGATGAAATTTCAACTAATTTTCTCAACAGTTTTTAGCTCACCTGAGCCGAAAGCTCAAGTGAGTTTTTCTTATCACATTTTGTCCGGCGTCTGTCTGTCTAGTTGTCCGTCTCTCTCTCTGTCTGTCTGTAAACTTTTCACATTTTCGACTTCTTCTTAAGAATCGGTGGGCCAATTTCAACCAAACTTTCCACAAAGCATCCTTGGGTGAAGGGGATTCAAATTTGTTCAAATGAAGGAACACGCCCTCATTGAAGGGGAGATAATTGGGAATTAATGAAAATTTAGTGGTATGTTTTAAAAATCCTCTTCTCATGAACCACTGTGCCAGGAAAGATGAAACTTATGGGAAAACATCCTCAGGTAGTGTAGATTCAAATTTGTTCGAATCATGACCCCCGTGGGTAGGGCAAATCTGCAATGGCCGACCAAAATTTTACATAGAAAAATATAGGAAAATTCTTTAAAAATCTTCTTCTCAAGAATAACAAAGCCATAATTGATCATATTTATATATATGGAAGCATCCTCAGGTAGTTAGATTCAAGTTTGTTCAATTCATGAACCCCGGGGTAGGGCGGGGCCGCAATGGCTGACCAAAGTTTTACATAGAAATACAGTGGACCCTCAAATTCTTTAAAAATTTTTCTCAACGGATTTTTTAAATGTTATTTTGTCTTGTTTAACTGGTGATTGAGGTATTCAGATGCTCCACATATCTGGACAAATTGACTGGGAACCAAAGCGTCCGGATAAATGAGGCTCCACTGTATATAGTAAAATTCTTTAAAAATCTTCTTCTCAAGAATAACAAAGCCATAATTGATCATATTTATAAATATGGATGCATCCTCAGGTAGTGTAGATTCAAGTTTGTTCAATTCATGACCCCCGGGGATAGGGCACGGCCACAATGGCCGACCACAGTTGTACATAGAAATATATAGTAAAATTCTTTAAAAATCTTCTTTTCAAGAATAGCAAAGCCATAATTTATCATATTTATAGGGAAGCATCCTCAGGTAGTATTGATTCAAGTTTGTTCAAATCATGACCCCCGGGGGTAGGGCGGGGCCACAATGTCTGATCAAAGTTTTACATAGAAATAAATAGTAAAATTCTTTAAAAATCTTCTTATCAAGAATAACAAAGCCAAAATTGATCATATTTATATGGAAGCATCCTCAGTGTCTGATGAAAGTTTTGCATAGAAATAAATAGTAAAATTCGTTAAAAATCTTCTTCTCAAAAATAATAAAGCCATAATTGATCATATTTATATGGAAGCATTCTCAGGTAGTTAGATTCAAGTTTGTTCAAATCATGACCCCCTGGGGTAGGGCGGAGCCACAATGGCCAATCAGAGTTTTACATAGACATATATAGGAAAATTCTTTTAAAAATCATTTCAAGAATAGCAAAGTCATGATTGGTCATGGGACTACTTTTGGATTTAAACTTTTCAATAATAAACCAATTTCTACTTTTTCCTAGCCACAGTGCTCAGGTGAGCGATGTGGCCCATTTGCCTCTTGTTCTTGCTTCAAATTTACCTGCCACAATTACATTCAGAACTCTCTGGATTGTTCGTAGTAAATGCACTGAGTACGAATTATTGCCTGTATTTCTTTAGCTACATTACGAATACACAAAACAAATTCTATCATTAAACCGGGTCCATAGGACAATATCATTTTAACAATAGAACGTTCTATTTAGGGCGAGAGCATGTACTTTCAAAAACTATATACAACTTACACTGTTACATTTAAACTAAATAGAATGTTCTATCATGAAAATGAAAATATACTACAGACCCGATTTAACAATAGAAAATGTTCTGTGTATTCACAATTTTGCCAAAAAACACATGGGATAACCCAAACTCAATGCATTTACCAAGAACAATTCAGAGAGTCCCAAATGCAAACATGCCGTGCATGCGAAGCCTGTTAGAGCTGTATGCATATTCCCACGTTAACTTTCCAACTTTTGTTGATGTCCCTTGCATACTCTACTAACTAGACAGTGATTCCTTATATTTCCATTTCTGACATTGTGGAAAAAAATTAGTAGATTTAGATTTTGAAAATATTGTCATAGATTGAATTTGCATGAGGCTTCCCAATGTCAATTTCAATAGTCCTTGCCGACTGATATCAAAGGCAAAGACAGCAGCATGAGATTTACGTGCATATAAGGCCTACTTAGCTTAATTATAAGACACTAAGAGAGACACTCAAGATTTACATGCATGTTAGGCCTCCTTAGCTCATGACCTATTTCTTGGCAAAATTTACTTTCCGTGAGAATGACCAAGAAATCAAGTCTACTAACTTTCAAAGAGTTATCAAAGAGAAAGAAAATAGAAATGGAAATATAAACAAGTAAAACTAAGTCACAGGTAATCTGTTTGTATGTCTCTTTTTAGAGCATTCAAAAGGTAATAAGAGTATGAAAAATTTCGATGGAAATAGAAGTACACTACAGTTGATTCAAGTCAGATTTCTTTGTTTATTTTTTGAAAACTTATATGTATTTTTAAATGTTAATAGTATGCAAATGATTTTAAACATTAATTTTTTTTTCAGGAGCTAGATCGTGTAGAAGATGGCGCCAATGTGTTTAAAATGATTGGTCCAGTCTTGGTAAAGCAGGATTTGACAGAGGCCAAGCAGAATGTTCAGAAAAGAATAGACTATATTAATGGAGAAATGTAGGTCACAAACAAAATTAATGTATTTTATTGATGATAAGTGTATTCTTGCAATATGTCATCAATAATAAAATTTCACACTGTAATGACAATATATAAGTAATGTTTGCAATGTCATTGCTATTTTATACTGGGGTAAAAAACAGTAAGCTTCTTTGTTCTCTTAACACATAGAATATTTAAAATCAATTTTTTTTTTAAGTAAAAGACATGATGGTGCAATCAAAGATCTAGAAAAGAAGCAAGAGAGCCAGAGGGAAGCGTTAAGTAAACTCCAGCAACAGTTACAACAACAGCAGGTCAAAGCCGCCGCACGGTCGTAGTCCACTGATACCATTACCGTTATAGACATTTACCATAATTTAAAGAGATATACAATGGATCTTAATTACTGCCTAAAATTGTGATGGAAATTGTGTGTGCAACATTTTACATGTTAAATTGTATGGTTCAGTGCTAAGGACTAACATGAACAAAAGTTTGAACAGTTAATTAAATCACCATATTTTTATTGTAACATTAAACTTAGTTCATATACCTATACCAGGTATTTTCACATTTTACACCAACCTTTTAAATACCTAATTGAAAAGAATTCCAGAAAACTTACAAGTTGCTTTTTTTTTTTTTTTACTTATACTTTGAAATAATTTGGTTTCTTAAGTTATGGATAATTTTAGATTACAAGTATTAAAATGTGAGATTTTTTGTAAATTTTTCATACATTACAAATAAATATGAAAAATTGATGATATTCATTGTTTTATAATGTTCGATATATAAATTAATCACAGAGTCCAATGGAAGAACTAGTGTATCAGTTGATTGATATTGCCTTGATTGTTTGCAGCTAGAATCATGACACAATGTTTAACATTTTCTAGGCCTTAAATTAAAATATGTAAGAGACATAAAAGCTTAGATGTTTAGTGCGATGTAGCATTTAGTCCACTGTTTGCCAGTAGCTAATACCATATCATGAAATTTGGGAAAATTAATTCTAGGTATAAACAGAGTTGTATTTATTTCAGGCTCAGATCCAGATATTTTTTTCCGGGGGGGGGGGGGGTTCCACCCCAATCAAAAAAAATTCCAACCCAGAAATTTCTTGACAAGCAACATAGAAAAAAACTTGCTTTCATTTCCCAAACATTTGCTTTCATTCCCCAAACATTAAAAGCCTATTTCGGGTGGGGAAGTGAGGGGGGGGGGGTAAAACTTCATACCAGGACTTTTCTGGAGGGTGTTCAAGGTCACTTTTACTTGATTTAGTATATACATTTTGTAACTCTGCAAATTCCATGGGGGTGCTGACCCCCGGCCACACCCACCCCCTCTAGATCCGAACATGTATTCCTCCCAAGCATTCTAAATTCTGTAGAAAAGTCAGAATGAAATGATTAAGAATGGTGAAACCAAGTTGTGAATTATTTTTTATTGATAAAATGTGCTTCATCCACCATTATGTCTTCTGATCTGTTGAAATACTTCACCATCCTTAACTATAAATAGAAAATAAAAGAAATGTTTCATTCTTACATATAATGGAATATTGCCCTGCCCTGACAGATGGACAGGCCCAAATTAATATCCCCGACTTTCAGTGAAAGCAGCGAACGATATTTAGAATTCCTGTGTTACAAAATGGGGCCTTCTTAAGGGGGCGGGGTGTCAAAATCAGGTATGATAAATAATTCTTTATTATATAAAGCATACCCTCGTTGCCATGGATATTCGCATCGAGGCACAGGAGTACTGGCGTCAAACTGCTGGAACGCCCTACAGACCATACCTCTGCTTTGACAATAGGCATTCCACTGGTACTGTGAAAGATACACATGTTTGTGTAAGTAAAATGAATAAGTTTATCTACATAGTTCGACATTTATATTCAATAACTGAAGTGCACATGTATACCATGTTTGTTTTTATTGGTTAATGCACATGTATATAATACTGGATTATAAAGTAAGTTAAAAAATACGAATACTGAAAAAAATCATCAAATTATATTTTTAAAAGTTGAATATATTACATATACTTTATCGGTAGTCTTGTTTTATGAATACCGATGTTTTGTTTTTAAATATATCATGATCTTCCTTCGTTTTTACTCACACAAACTTGTCTTATAATGCCAGGGTCATTTTGCAGATGAAATGCGGACGTCACAGCAACAAAGACCTGTAGAAAAAAAATTGTAAACTTTATCCTGAATCCTTTATCCGTAAGTTCAAATGTTTTACATTATTTAAAGCATGAAGCAAATTTAGCGATTTGTCTTAAAAATCGGTAAATTTTATATTAGCGATTTCATAGTGAAAAGAAAGATAACGTTAACTAACCCCTAATGAGGATTTAATTGTTGGCTATATAATTTAGCGATTTCAACACACTCGCTAAAATTGAAGCCTTGCTAAATTTCCTGCGTTTACTGTATATGGATATATCATACAGACATACACTAGTAGCAGACAAACACGGTTAACAAAAAAAATGTTTAATGAATGTAGTTTACAAATCTTTATTTCACATCTCTAAACCATAGATAACGCTTTAATCTTTGTTTTACAAAGTGAAAATTGTATTTCAAATAGAATATAATAATTTGTGATTGCAGAACAATAGTTTATCCATATGCGTCGGAAGCAAATTGAAGGGTGAGGGGGCTAATAAAAGGTAAGTCCCAATTTTCGATGCCCATTTTATGACTATCTTTGCAAAAAAAAGTTGGGGAGGGGGGCTAATCCCCACCACCAAGCACCCAGGTTTCGATGCCTATTGTCTTCCCACAATTTTTTTTAGCAAAGTAGAAAATTGGTGTTATGACTTTTAATATTAAACACGAAAAAAATCCTGCTCCAGATTTTTTTATACAATCATATATATATATAAATATTCAAGTCCAGGATTTTTAGGTCACCTGAGTAAACTCAGGTGACCTATTGCTATCCGTTTTCGTCCGTCGTCGTCCGTCGTCCGTCGTGTGTTAACATTTGAACATTTTCAGCTTCTTCTCTGCAACCACTGAACCAATTTCAACCAAATTTGGCACGAAGCATCTATGGGTGAAGGGGAACAAAAATTGTGAATTTCATGATCCCTGCCCCCCTGGGGCCTGAGGGGTGGGGCCAAAACCACTAAAATTAATGCAATCTTTAAAAATCTTCTTCTTTACTCCTGGACATCAAGCAGTCGAACTGATTGCATCATTGTAATCAGCATTGAGTCCTCTACCAAAATTGTGAAATTCATGGGCCTGGGGTCAGGGATTCTAGTGCTAGGGCGGGGCTAAATAAGTATAATATGAAAATGCATTATTTCTTTGAAACTCTTCTTCTCTGCTCCTGGGTATTAAATAAACCAACTAAGTACATAGTTATGATGAGAAAGAGTGCCTCTACCAAAATTGTGAATTTTATGGCCCCAGGGCTAGGGGTTCTGGTGTTAGGGTGGGGCTCTATTGATTATATATAGTGAAAATACATGATTTCTTTGAAACTCTTCTTCTCTGCTCCTGGGTATAAAATAAACTAACTAAGTGCAAAGTTATGATGAGCAAGAGTGCTTCTACCAAAATTGTGAATTTTATGGCCCCAGGGTCATGGGTTCTGGTGTTAGGGTGGGGCTCTATTGAATATATAGTGAAAATACATGAATTCTTTGAAAATCTTCTTCTCTGCTCCTAGGTATTAAATAAACTAACTAAGTGCATAGTTATGATGAGCAAGAGTGCCTCAACCAAAATTGTGAATTTTATGGCCCCAGGGTCATGGGTTCTGGTGTTAGGTGGGGGGGGGGCTCTATTGATTATATAGTGAAAATACATGAATTCTTTGAAAATCTTCTTCTCTGCTCCTAGGTATTAAATAAACTAACTAAGTGCATAATTATGATGAGCAAGAGTGCCTCAACCAAAATTGTGAATTTTATGGCCCCAGGTTTAAGGGTTCTGGTGTTGAGGGGGGGGGGAGGGCTCTAGTGATTATAAAGTGAAAATTCATGAATTCATTGAAAACCTTCTTATCTGCTCCTAGGTATTAAATAAACTAACTAAGTGCATAGTTATGATGAGCAAGAATGTCTCTTCTAAAATTATGAATTTTATGGCCCCAGGGTCAGGGGTTCTAGTGAAAATACATTAAATCTTTGAAAATTTTCTTATCTGTTTCTGGGTCTGAAGCAGATGAACTATCTATATGTATATAGTTATGATGAGCAAGGGCCCTAATCTTGCAGAATTGTGAATCAGGGGTGGGGGGGGGGCTCTACTTATATACTGAAAATGAATTAATTGTTTGAAATCTGCTCCTTTGTATTTATAAAACATTTATTTATTTTTTGATAGGCAATTTTAAGGGTGCCTTTTTAAAATTTGTGCAATGTGTGTACCTAGGGTCAGGGGTTTATGTCACAGTGTTAGGGGCACTACTGTTTATTGCTGAATATTACTGATTAGTTGGAATGCATTTTTGTTCCCCTACCCTGCGTATGGGTATTCAATAACCAAGCTAAGCAACTGCTAAGTGTATTGTTATGATGATCAATGGTGCCTCTTTCAAAATTGTGAATGCCATATAGCATCTGGCTTAAAACATGAATCAAATTCAATAACTGGAAAGCTGTTGCATAATGCTCAGGTGACCTATAAGGCCCGTGGGCCTCTTGTTGAAATTATTGACAGCTATATGATATGCATAGGTTTCTGATTGAAAATATGTATGTGGTTTCTGAAGACTAGGCCTCCCAACAAATACCCGGTATTTGGAATTCAGATGGGTATCAAATGTACCCCGTTATTATCAGACCTATTTTTGTATTCGTCTGAAGAAAAAATTTGTCCAAAATTTTATAAGTAAAGATAGGAAAACACTTGTGGCCTTTGACTCGACATTTAGATACTCAGTATATCGACGACGTATTGTCAATCAACAATGGTTATTTCCATTCTTATGCCGATACGATATTTGTCGGTGAGCTTGAAATAAAAGATGCCATAAAGTCTGACACACCTGTTTCATATTTGGATATTTAATTTGAAAAAGACTTGAAAAAAAGATGGTAATCTAACAAACAAGCTTTATAATACACGTGATAACTAATTTTTCAATCGTCAACTTCCCTTATACAGCAATATATCATCATCATCTGCATGCATGCGTGGTTTATATCTCTCATTTGATTCGATACACAAGAGCATGATCTACGTATGAACAATTTTTCAACGAGGTAAAATACTGACAAACAAATTGATGAAACAAAAATATCAGCAATTTCGTTTAAAGTCATCATTTCGTAAGTTCTGTGGTTGAAACAATGACCTTGTCAGCAATTATAATTTATCATTGAGTCAAATACTGAATGCGTTGTTCATATTAATTGTTAGACCATTATTTACACACTGAATTATCGATGGATTTTTCCGTTATTTCCCGATTATGACAAGAAGCACAAGGCGAGTGTAACCGGTGCCCGGTGGGCAGGGGATCCTCACTCCTCCATGACACCTGATCCCACTTCTGATGTTTTGGAGGTCTGTATTTGCTTTACTCCAATTTTGTATCGTTTAATGTACTTTTAAGCTTAAATACTGTCTGTCATCTCCATATAATTCATACAAAAAGATGAGCGTTGACGGTCAATGATCTCTCGACACAATAAAGACATGTAATGATTATAAAGAACATGGTCATATAATGTAAATCATTACCAAGCCACCGTGTCTTTGCTTACCGAATGGATAGAATGACCTTGAACAAACAAAACTTACCAGCAGATTGTTGTTCAAGAATCAATCATTCTTTGGATGTTTTTTATAGCTTCATGTAATTCTGGCAATAAAATCTTTGTGAATGACCATTGTAAACATGAAATAATGACCCACCACTAGAGTAAGACTGTTGTTTTTAAACATTATTTCTGCATAAAAATGATTGAACAAGCAAATTTCATTCTGCGTTTATGTTAACGAGCTACAAAGAAAATTCAACAACCAGTAACACGAACCTTTACAACAATGCTGATAAGCAAAAAAAAATAATTAAAAACCACAGAAATACAAAACTGCTTTTATTTAAAAATTCAGTTTTGAAATTCACAGAAATTTTCTCGAACGAATGATTCGGAAGCATTGCAGTACAAAAAAATATGAAAACTGGTCGGTTATTATTACCAAAAAATCCAAGAGAATTTAGATATCATGAAGAACGGCTCTAATTACTAGAAATTAAAAAATATAGACAATTTAGTATGAGGGTTGATCCAAAAGTAATGTCACAACTTTGATAAAATTGCCATAAATCGACGTAAAGCAACAAAATTATACATGATAAAAGCTTTATTTATTTCAAATCAGACCTGAAAAATTCAAAGGAATATGACGTATACTTTCCAGAATATCGGATTTTAAACAGTGTGCGTTTGTGGTAGTCGCCGCACCTAAATATAACGTCATATGACGGATACGCACCGTCATACTTTTAGGCGTTTCCCCTTCGTTTTATTAAAAAAATATTTGTGATTCGTAAACACTTTCACCAATTCGGCTTTCTTTAAGAATTCTTGGTAGCATTATACACTGATTCTTTTCATAAATAAGCCCTCTGTCAAACTTTTTTGAACTGTAACATAAGACAAACTTAAAATTCACATATCACTCTATACGTCTGTCTTTTTTGACAACGTCATACACCATTGGACGTTTCCGTCCGACCTCCCTATCTTTCTATCTTCTTGTCCTCTGCTGGTCATTCAGTGACCAATCACCCGCCCCAAATCGCTGAAACCATCTATTAAGATGTCTCTTATTTACATTATTTATTCTGTAAGTCTGAGATTAATTGACATAGCTGTCGCTTGTGATGATTCCCATATTTTGAAGCAGAAATGCGTTACAACTCTTCGAGCCGTTTTTTTCCATTTCGACAACCCCCTTGTTCAATTCAACAGAGTAAAACAACAATGTTTATAATAAAAAATACCAATGCCGTCATTTAATTTTCAATTAAAGACTAGAAAATGATGAGAATTGTGTCTTTTAAAAAGGTGGGAGATAAATACACGTGGGTGCTTTTTAAAAATCTGTTTAATGTGTTTGTCTTTTCATTCTAAGAAAAGAAATACACTTTAAAACATGACGTTCCGTTATGACGCGGCGACAACCCCTATTCTCTATGTTTTAAACATCTACAAAATAAATTCATGTAAAAATTATTAAATTAAAATTTCAACGTAAATTAGATTTATATTTGTGCATCTTTTGGTATATTGTATTTGATAATATGACGCCAAATATAAAAGATATGGACACTGTGACATTACTTTTGGATCAACCCTCGTAAATTCGTTGTGAAACATCTTCACTATATAATCAAGGGTTTTTGGCTAGCGAAGATGGTTGTGAAAATGCAGCTTGACAGATTTAACCCGATTTCAATTAAACTCCGTACAAAGTAGATTTTGATAAGAAATTCAATTTTTCTTCTTAGCATTATTGGATTTTGACGAATGATATTGATATAATCATTACAAATATATTTTAAATGGAATTGTTTTATTATCATACATTTTTTATCATATTTCAGTAAGTCTTTTTTGTATCCGTGTTTGGTTTTAACTACCAACAGTTGCAGATCTATCACACACTGATCTGTTTAAAATAGTGTGTTAAGAAGGGTTGGCCTCAAATATGTTACTAGGTGCTGCAAAGTATATTTTTCGTAAAAATCTTTCAAACTAAAGTAGTTCTACATTTTTTTCCTTCGATTTTAATTAAACTTGGTACACGAAAAGAATACACGAAGATACCAAGCACAATGCAATTTGTCCTTTGGAAATTCTCTTAACTTCCTCATACCGATTTGTATGATTTCAAACAACACAACAACCTTAAATAAGTTGTAAAGGCATCAAGATTCATAATTTTGTAAATATATAAGGAAAAATAAAGAAAAAAATATAAATCTACATTGTTACTTTAAAAGACAGCAGCTAAAAAACGCGACATTGTTAAAAAATTCAAAACTACTGAGTATGCTGAGCAAATGAGCGAACGTGATAAATATAAAACAAAAACTTACCAATAATAAAATAATTATTTTCGACATGGCGTAATGAAAAGACAGATTCCTCTACTGTTTATCAGACGTGAACGTGCTAGCCGTATTTGTACTACGATGAAATAGCTTCCGGCAAGCATAAACGACATGTCCTAACAGTTACGAAATGATCTCTAGACCCAAAAAAATAATGTGTATCTCGCATTAAAAATATGACTTACATAACAATTATTTCTCTTTTTCTATGAAAAAGGTAATTAAAATAAATTGCCACTCCAATCAAAAACTAAGTAAAGACAATAATTTCAAATTAGGAGCATCAAATTCTACACTGAAGAGCACATTGATTTTTTGTAGACCATGCCTAGGAGAGGTAATAATTCAGTCCCAGGACTGGCGTTATGTATTTTTATTATACCGTATAAGACCATTCTCTAAAAGGTGAGAAAAAGTACAATCTGCTTATATAGAACGACTTATGGATGTAATTGACGGGGATTTTTTTTTTTTTAATTTTTGAGATATCCGTTCTTACAATTTTTTAAAAATGAAATGGGGGCGAGGGGGAGGGGGTATTGATCCATAGTTCCTGAAGTAGTAAAAAAGAACTAGAGGTACTGTGAACAATGAGCTCACTAAATTATGCCCGCCGCCTCCTACATAATGACAGTGTCTATGTTTTGCTATGGCAAACACAAAATATGTGTCGGATCAAAAAGTAAAATAGGAGGAGCACAATGGCAATATGTAATAAAGATTCTGTGAAAGTCTCATCAAATTTCATTCAGTGGTATGAGAGGAGTTCCGGATAAGAGAAGGGTACCCCAAAGCATTACAGAAGGAAGGACGGATATACAGACGGACAGATATCTCGATTACTATAATACGTATACATGTACCTACCCACTTTTCAAGAGGGGGATCTTTATTATTACATATGCCATTGTGCACCTCCTATTTTTCTTTTCGACCCGACACATTTAATTTTCAAAGCATTACGTGACAGCAGTGAAGTGAAAAAGCTGCATTGACGTCGGAAGCAAATTGTAAGGGGGGGGGGGGGGCTAGGTGAAAGAATAAATTTCCAAAAAACAAAACTTGACAAGCAAAAAAAGTATCCCAAGCACGAAAATCCTATATATATATATATATATATATATATATATATATATATATATATATATATATATATATATATATATATATATATTGGGGGGGGGGGGTCGAAAAGTTAACATAAAAGGGCACAACATGGAGGATGATCCTAAAGTAGTCCAAAATATCTGACGTTTTCCAGGCTTCTTTTAACGATTTTGATATTTTACGTGCCCTGAGTTCCTGACACCTAAAATATCAAAATCGTTAAATAGCCTGGAAAACGTAAAATATTTTGGACTAATCATAAAGTAGTACAGTAAGTACACCCACCCCCTAAATTGATTTAATTTAATGTGTGCGCAAACGCATGATTTTGGTATGAGTAAATTTTAAGGGGGGTGGTTAAAATAGACATCGAATGTAATGTAACTAATCAAAATGGCTTTGGTTGATCTTATAATTTTCTAAAACAGTTTTCAAGAGCCTTTTTGTATTTTTTTGCTATTAAATTACGTATATGAAGAAAATCACTCTTCTGAAAATGAAGAAAAAGAGCATCCGCCAGGAAAAATAAACTGCGCATTTCGCTTAACCCTATGTGAACTGTTGTGTAGCAACGTGAAATTGAACCTCTTATTCCCTTCTGTTGACATTTCACAGTATGTTATTTGAAGAGAATTTAAAACGTTTTGTTGTCCAGTTTTTGTAAAAACACGTTACTAAAAGCTAGGAATTTACAAAGTATAAGATATTTAGAAGCTGTTTACAAAATCGGACGTCTAAGGGGGAAGATCTAAATCAGATGTGTAATAAATTCAAGTCATATCAATTATATGCGTGATGCTTCAAACTAGTAGAAATAAAAAAAAAAACAAAACTAGAGTTACTTTGAGCACTGAACTCACTAAATGATACCCCTCCTCCCATATGATTATAAATGCAAAGTCAATGTTTTGCTCTGGGAGACACAAATAAGTGTCAAATCAAAAAGTAGGACAAGAAATGCACAGTGGCATAATGCAATAAATCAATTTTTTGAAAGTACCATTAAATCTTATTGCGTGGAATAAGAGGAGTTGCGGATACGAGGGGGTTCATATACCCTTCAATATGGTAATGTCCATTGGAAGTTCCCATGGGAAACCAAACATATGTGTTCGATGAAAAATTTTTTAAAAAGGAGGTGCACAATGGCAATACATGAATGTAACAACATTTCAGTGAAATTCTCATTTAATTTCATTCAGTGGTATAAAAGGAGTTTCGAATAAGAAATAGGTACCATAAAGCGTAACAGACGGACGGACAGACATCCCGATCACTGCATGTATATACCCTCCTACTTTTCAAGCGAGGGGTGTTAAAAACGAACAGTATAAACCAAGCTCGTTTTGTTTAACACGTTTTATCGGATAAAAATGTTTCAAAAGTTACCAGTTTGCATGATATTTAACGTCTTTTATCGTCTTTCCTTAGTTAATGGTTTTGTGTGGGTACAGATGGGATTCATACTGAGGTGTATTTTGATATTTTTTTGTCAAGTTGTTGATCAATTTGAACATCAAACACCACGCAATTGCATTATGATAACAATATATGGTAACAAGAATGCTCGGTAAATGACTTTGGGAATTTTTTTTTTAAAGACCAAGATGATATAATATTTAGTTACAAACGCTCTTTTTTTTAAATTGAAAAGTGGGAAAGTATATAGTGATCGGGATGTCCGTCCGTCTGCCTGTTACGCTTTGGGGTACCCATCTCTTATCCGCAACTCCTCTTATACCAAGGAATGAAATATAATGAGACTTTCACAGAATCTTTGTTACATAGTGCATTATACACTACCTATTTCCCTTTCTGATTCGAAAGATATTTTGGGTTTCCCCGTATAGCAAAACATGGACACGGCCATTCTTTCTACTACAATGTACATTGAAGGGTATACCCATCTTTGATACCCCCGCCTGGTTGGAGGGTATATAGTGATCGGGATGTCCGTCCGTTTGTTACGCTTTGGTGTACTCATCTCTTATCCGCAACTCTTCTAATACCATTGAATGCTATTTAATGGGACTTTCACGGAATCTTTGTTTCATGTACATAGTGCCATTGTGCACCCTTTATTTTACTTTTTGATCCGACACATTTTGGGTTTTCCATAGGAAACCATGGACACTGCCATTCTTTCTATAAAATTGAAGGGTACCATGCATCTCTTATCCGCTAATCTTACGGAGATTCTGTATTATATAATGCCATTGTGCAGCCCCTATTTTACTTTTTGATCTGACTTATAATTCGGGTCTCTCGAAGCAAAAATGTGGTCTTTGTCATAATCATGTGAGAGGCGGGGGTATCATTTAGTGAGCTCACTGCTCACGGTATCTCCAGTTTATACCAAAGGTTATACGTACATGTGCATTTAGTCACAGGCCACGCCGTCTTTGAATGATAGAGCATGTCCAGTTATACACTGGTCATTAGTTGCCGTATGTCACCTGTTGACATTGAAGGTTTTGGTACAGTTACTTCCTCGTCTCATCAGTAAAATGTTATAGAGCTGTCCGCAACTGTCACTGACCGCCGTGAACACATGTTCATTCTCTAAATCTAAGTACAAGACACCAGTGGAATATCACAAACGTTAGCGTTTTGTCCTCTTCTAGATTAACGAGAATACGTACATGTAGTTTGTAAAAGCAGTATATTACCAAGTAAAAGACTTGATGTGTAAAAAACAAATTCGCATTTGGTATCTTCGAAGAAGGAAAAACTATAAAGTCTGAAAAAAATGACATCCGAAATAACGAGAACTTCAGAATTTTATCATTCTTAAAATTTCATCACGGAAAGTTAAGTGTGTGCTTTCCATGAAGCTGCAGTTAACACCAATTATATAAGAACAAACTCTTTGTACTCAGAGAGATTGACTGAAAAGGCGTGCATGCCGACGGCTTTTAGCTTCAAGTACATAATCAAAAAAAAAAAAAAAAAATATTTGTGAATTAACACAGGAAATTATGATATAAAACACGACTTTTCTGAGGATAATTTTCTCGGGAAATATATTCTTTTATTAGAAAAAAGAGATTTTTGGGGGGTGCGAAGCCTAGCACTAAAAATACAGGCTAGACTAACACGGACATATACGCCATCAACTGGACTACACAACTCAAGATAGACAGTGGAATTTTTAAATCATGTTTTTGATATGACCCCTTATTGAATAAATTTCAAGTATTTTGGAGGGAAAATGCAAATGTTATGTTAAAATAGTGTATTTTTAAGGCAAAGTGGGGCCTTGCTCCATGTTTTTAAAATGTAAAATTTGTGTATTTTTATGCAAACATAACCTTTCAAAAAACGGGAGAAGACCCATTCATATCAAAAATTGTATTATAGTATGTGGAAGTGATCTTTTTGTCTTCTATAGTGAATTTATGCTATTTCGTAGGCAATTAATTCCAACCTTTGTGAAATATTTGCAAATTATAAAGTTTTTGCAAAGAGTATACTGAGTACTCTATTTTTAGATAAAATTGAAAAAAAATATGTGAAGATAACGAACAGTATTCAAGCGCAGAAGTCCATTAAACAATACAAAGCAGGAACAGAGCAAACACGGACCTCTAAGGTATCTGGGATGGGATCAGCTACGATGGTGGTGTGTGCATCCCCTTCCGACCGGTCACATCCGCCGTGTGCCCCTTGTCATGATCGGGAAATAACGAAAAAATTCGTCGATTACTCAGTGTGTAAGTGATGGCCTAACAATTAATATGAAAAAGTCAGCAATTGACTAAATGATAGATTGTATTTACTGACAAGGTCGTATTGTATCGACTGTTTTGAAATAATTGATATTTAATTTTTCACCCAACTTCTTTAAATCATTTTTTTTGTAGGATACATCCTTCTTTTTTTCATTTTCCAAACCTGTAAAGTTTGGTTTCCACAACGCTTTCTAAAAGGTCCTATTTGGATTTTTATTTATTTATTTCAAATCAACGGATGCCCGATTTCTCTAGCTCCCTAGTCTACAATATGGAATAACTTCTCCCTGAACAATTCATGTAGTTCAAAAACAGCTGAGTCATGTATCCTTGTTCTAGCTAAATGTTTCCCATGTTATTAATATAGTTTAGTCTTGCGTTTTCCTTGTGGTGAAGGTCGACAACTTTTGCAGGTGTTTTCGTTGTATCTCACAGTTATAAGATAGACAGACCTACATTTATTTCCATGTAAGATTTTTCTATGTGTAACCTGATAATGTGAAGATTGTGGTTGGTATGTTGTCGGCCCGCCTTTACTGATGTAAAAGTTGAAGATAAAAAAATAGTGATCGGTCACAAAAACCTTGCAGTCACCACAAAGTGAAAGCTAGGACATACAATGCGAACCTCTGGAACTCAGAGGTGGGATCAGGTATGAAAGCATAAAATGATTTACAAAAGTGTTGTTATTTGGATATTTTTAGAGTAATTCAACAATAATATAATAAACAATTTACAGGCGATAAAAATGACTTAAGTCTAAGTCTGTTTCATGATCTTGGGCCTGATCCAACCTCTGAGATCTCCTGGGTTCCGGGTTTATACCCTGTTCATAGATTTGTATTGATTAAATCTTTATAAGACCGATCACGGTTTGTTATCTTTAACCCTTTTCTTTTCTGAAATATTCTCGTAATTTAGCATAATAATAATGAATGTTTATAAAGAAAGAAAGAAAACCGAGTTCAAATATATTGCCGAAATGAATGACATAGTTATTCCCCGTTGATTAAGTTCGATTTCTTTTAATCAAGCCAATGTATTCGAAATCTTTTTCTCATATAAATTATGGAATGATACGTAATACCTTTTCAGTCGAGTAATCATCTTCACAAATTTAATTAAAGGCTCTTGAGGCAGATTCAGGAATTTCAGTATCTTGTACATGTCCTATTAAAATTTATATAATTTTATTGTTCAAATGACTAAAGGGTTGGGGATATTTTTAGGACATACCGGTATTTTTAATGCTTTCAATTTTAATGAAATATTCACAGATTCGAAAGGATTATTAATCATGTCATATCATGTAGAATGTGACTTTCCCCTCAAAAATAAATAAATAAATAAATACTTAAGACAAAACGTGAATTGAACCGAAGGTTAAAATTAATAGAGCACAATTTAATATGCCCACTTTTTAGCAAACCTAAAGGAGGAATTTGTCTCATATTTCTTGTATTTCAAAATTGATGAAATTTTCATTAAATTAAGAAAACAATATTACTTAGAAATATTATCAGTTAGATTAAATTTTACCGTTTGATATTAGAGTCAAAGTCAGGTCAACGTCATATTCTTTCCTCTTAACAATAAAAATAAAAAAAAAACGTTGCAAATCATGCAATCCCTACTTCTATTTTAAAAGATTAAATGCTTTTCTTTTTACCTAAAATTTCGTAAAAGGATATTATCATTTAGGGTCTGTAAGACTGACATCATATATACCAAATTGACATAAACAATATAACTAAAATGGATATTGGCTAATCCTAATTCTCTCAATTTTTTAGGTTATATTAGTTATTTTTTATGCTTCCTATATTTGAATTTTTCTTATTTTCAAATATGGTAAAGTAGCCACACAAAGATATATAATGATACAAAAACAAAAAAGTATTGATAGTTTACTAAGAGAGTAAAAACGCGTTCTATGGATTTTTGTCTCAGATCTGTTACTTTAATTGTAAGCTTTTAAAAGCTAACATAATTGTAGTTTGTTTGGAATTTCATATTCACGTTAGCGCATGTTTTTATCAGATATTGTAAAAAGTAATTTGAATTTCAAACAAATCTCTTGCTGAAAATATGCATAAACTCGCTCTTTATTAAATTATGAAATAAAATAAATTATTTATCGCAGAAATTTTGAGAAATAGAAAACTTCTTCTTTTCATCAAGGGCAGATATCTCTTCAAAAATTTTTAACGTACAAAATGACTGTCTTCTTACATGTTATCAAAATTGTGAATTTGGTCCATTTCGCTTTTATCGTTATCTAGCAATGTGTTTTTTTTATATAATTTAAAGTTATTTAAAATCGTTCAAAATCCCTTCTTTATATAAAGAATACCTTAAAAAACGAATAAATAAAAAATACAGTAAACTTAGAACAAATAAATTAAATAAAGAGAAAAGGCAGATCGTTTTTTACTCTGAAACATTCACGCAGAGTGTCCTTTAGTTTTGCAATATCGTTATTCACTTTTAGATGTAATTTTTTGCGCCCTAAAGATGCTTTTTGTTTAGAAATCGATCTGACTTTGTCAGTTTAAAAAATATATCCCAAAATAACCTCAAATGGACACGGTGTATTATGTGCAGACAGTCGGCAAGTCAATGTAAATAATCGCTTGTGTTTGATCACCAATTCCTACCAGTCAATACTTATCTATAGAAGCAATATAATAAAACGCAAAATGCATCAGAGGGTGTGGTCTACTTGATACGAAAAAACAATAACACTATAAAATACAACATAGTACGCACCGGGGCAAACAAATAGCATGTACTTCATTATGCGTTTACTATTATCTACTTTTTCATCTTGCCAATAGATCTAAAAGCGCAGTGTCGGACCCTGGAAACACCATAGGTGTCTACAGGTGCCAAGAAAGAGTAAGCATCCCCATATCGCTTGATCAGTAATGCCTTTGTGGTCATCAAGAAAAGGGGGTAAATCCTAGTCCAAATTTATATAAAACAAAGGTGTAAGCAATTAGTATGAAACTTCTAAGTCAGATTCGATCAAACGATAGGTTTTATATAATTTTCAAACAAGATCGTTATAAAACGCCCATAGAATTAAAAATGAAATCAGATTTTTAACTGAAACTGTTAAAAGCCCTATCATCAAAGTATTTTTTCAGTAACTTGTAAGGGTTAGATATTTCTTATACTAAGCATATGCTCCTGCGTACCAAATAATCTGGGATATAAAAACACTACATGCAAAATATCGACGGTTTAGTTGTTAGTTTGTCAATAAAGTCTAATGTCAGAAAAAAAACCCATCAAAATATGAAAATTATCTGACTGACACTGTGGATTTTTATTTACACTTGACTGGGGTATATCGTTAACCTGATAAATACAAATGGCTCAAAGCTGGTGTGACTGTTTGGGATGTTTACTACTCCTAGGCAAGTGATCCCATCTTTAATATTTCCGAAGGTTTCTGATTTGCTCTCTTGGTACCGTTTACTAGATTTACGAGATTGACAACAGCTTAATATCTTCTCCCAATATTAATTTAAGAGTTACTGTTTGTAAAATTAAAATGATTTAATCAAAGTAATTTTGTAGATTTTTGGAGATAAGTAAGTGTGAAAGTTTTCAAGTTCCATTTCATGAAAGAGGCAAGCCATTTGTCTATGGATTTCATTTTAGTGAGAATTAAGGTAGGATTCTTCTCTGGTTTCTGACTAGATGAAATATTCAAATTACATTTGCTTATATGTATTATATATTTAGGTGTAAGAGATTTAAAAGACCATATTTTTCTTTTCTCATCATAATTGTACAGCTTTAAATAGAAATGGTAAACCACGTTTGAAAACTAGCAGGGACTATATTTTTGACGGAATGATGGTGTATGAAAATATCTTCTCTTCTGTCTCTCAAAATTATTATTGATCAATGAATTTAATTATAATTTTTACACAATCAAAAACTTGAAGAACTTCATGTTAGTTCAATTAATGATAAGGGACAAAAGTTCCTAAATATATCAAATAAATATAATTGTTTAAACAAATTAGAACTATGTTAGCTTTTATAAGCTTCCACTCTGAGTACAGATTTGAGCCGAAAATCCGTAAAAAGTACTTTTTTTTCTCTTAGTAAACGATCAGAAGTTTTTGTTTTTCATTTTGTGTCTTATGTGACAACTTTACCATTTGTGAAAATGTGAAAAATTTAAATATAGGAAGCATATAAAAATAACTAATATATCCTAAAAATTTAAGAAAAGTAGTGAAAATTCGGATTAGGTAATATCCATATTAAATTTTACATAGTTAAATTATTTATGTCAATTTGGTAATATCATCTTATAGGTCCTTTATGGTAATATCTTTGCAAAAGGAAAAACATTCCATCTTTTCAAATACAAATAAGGATCGCATAATTAGCAACATTAATTTTTTTTTATTATTAATGTCCAGGAAAAGGGTAATGACCTTGACCTAACCTTGTCTATAATATAAAACGGTCACATTTAATTTCACTGATACCATCACTTAGTGATATTGTTTTCCTGATTCTGTGAAAATTTCATTAATTTTCAAATACAAGAAATGATAGAAGAATCCTACCTTAATATAGTGTTATATAATGTTTTGAAATGTCGAACCTTAGGTGAAATATGGAGATATAACGAACATTTTAAATAAAACCTACTGAATTTTCTAAAAGTTCTCTAGATTGTCAAATCTTGATCATATGTTTGAAAATAGTGAGACAAGTATCTACATGTTCTTAACAACAGTAAAAACATGAGGAGAAAAGAGGGCTTGATTGAACCCTTACTGGACCAGCAATGAATTTTTGTAAGACGTTTTTCTGAAGTTTTGAAATCAAGTACAGCTAAGAAAACCCAAATACATTATATATATATTCTGTATGAATATCAGTATTTGTTTACCTAGAACAGTCCTTTGACCTGTATTTTATTCGATTTATATATAGTAAGTACTAGTGTAGTACTACATTACAAAACATCGACATAATCTATTTGTTACCTACAAAATGACGGAAGACGGATGACAAACAATGAGATAAATCACCTGTTTTTATCAGTATATATTATGTTAATCGAACAATATATAAGTAACCAAAACTAAGCTGTGCTGATCGGCGTGGTTACATTGGTTTGCATGAGTAGAATTACTTATCGAGAATTATATAAGCATGGAAAAGTATACCACCAAAATTATTCCTTGATATGATTTGATGAAAGTAGTATATTATTAATACGTAATTATGTATGAAGTACCGCACTTATGCCTATATTATACCTTTCTTTACAACTTACCTGTATTTAAACGTCTACACCCCTCCTGGTTTGCTGAGAATTTCTCATCTATGCAATTCTATAGGTAATCAAACAGGAACTACATTTTGGTACAAACCTCAGACATATAATGACAGTTGGTAAATTAATAGATGTATTCCTCTTGAATCTTTGGGACAATTTTTCTACAATGAGTTTAGAGATGTATACGTACGATATATTGTTTTTAATGAAAGATCTTGTAATAACAACGATGCATTGAAGGTGTGTGTGTGTGTGTGTGTTTTTTATAAATAATAAATGTTAAAACACATTTGCAAAGAGTTGGAAATATAGATTCAGTAATAATAATTAATAAGGAATATACAAAAGTGTGCACAGAAGTACACTTTCACAGAAAAGTTTTAAGAAAATTATTAAGTACGAAAGAAACATTTACAAGTACAATATAATAACATGTACATGATAAATCTTTTTTAAATTGTTAGCCACTTTCTACATGTCTTTTTATTTCTTTTATCTCCTCCTTAAATCCAAAATATGCCTGTTCTTTTATGTTTAATTGATTTTTCAATTTAATAAATTTAGATTATATTAATGACACGAAAGAATTCGATAGAATGATGAATTGTGTATTTAAATTATCATAGGAAAATCATGGGAAAATCACCATAGTGATTCTAGTAATAGAAATTAATACGCACTTAACGTGTGTGTGTTTAATACTGAATTTGAATGGTATTCATTCAAATGAAAATGTTCATCAATACACATTTCTGAAGCATACCGATGTTGTGTAAGAAACTATAAAACCAGCTACGAATGATACCATTAACCGAAACTACCTTGACATACCTACAGAACACGGAAATTCTTTTAATTATTTTACTAATTAGGACATGTTATATATTTCTCGGTGGAAAAGGAGAGAAAGACCATTAAATTAATTGAAAATCGTAAAATATGAATATTACTGTCAAAAGCGCCACCATTGGAGGGCAGGGCCAATCACACCGCGGAACCGTCGCGCCTCATAACGGTGATTTTTTTTACCGCCTTCATGTATATAACGCGTTATAATTTACCTATGACTTAGTCTTGGTTTCCTTATTCTCAGGCCCTGTCCTACTGACCTCGTGTACCTTTTCCTCCCAATATCTTCAATCATAACGTATAATATGGAAGTGAAAAACTTTTCTGAGAAAGAACTTGTAAATTCTGTTAACAAAGGTGACTATAGTGCTGTGAAAAAACAACTAAAATCTGGTGCGGATCCAAACATTTATGATGAAGAGGGAAACCCGCTCCTTTTTCTTCCGATTATCAGTGGGGATGATGAAATGATGGATATACTCTTGTCTTTTGGTAAGTAACGCTCCTGAATCAGTGAATGCTGGCAGATTTTCCAGAGTTTACTTCACAAGAGCATAAATGTACTATAATGATCAAAATAATTTTATTCTGCTGTTCATGATCTTCATATATCATTCAAGTATATTTCTTTGGGAAAGAAAAAAAAACATTTGTTCGCTGTATAATTTGCTTTTTTCTTAAGTAATAATTATGTCTTACATTAATATATAAGAATTAAATTACCAATATTCTGATAAGCTTCATTTCCGTTTTAAACATAAATCATACAGTTTTATAAGCTGTTTTACGTTATTTGGAAAGAAATATTTATGAATAATGTTTGATATTTTTTTTTCTGTTACAGATACATGCAATATCAACATTCGCAGCCAGGATCTCCGGACGCCGTTACTTATTGCAGTAGAGTTGGACGACTTGGAGTTTGTGAAGACCCTCATCAAAGCAGGTAAGAAAGACACAGATGGATTTTATCATTAGTCTATTCCTTGCCATGTTAAATATTTTAGTGGACAACAAGTCATGTTGGAGTCATTTCATGACCACTAGGTCAGAGGAGTACTGGGTCAAATATATTGTACTTGACATGAGCTTGAACATTAGGTACACGTAAGTGAGGGCAAGGAGAGATCATGTAAAACGTGTTAGTCAGACATTATCAATTTTCATACATGCAAGATACGATAGGTATTCAAATAAAGGATGCAGAAGTTTTTGCACCGTTATTCTACCTTTTCTGAATTTTCCATATAACGAAATGAAATCGTTATATATAGATGTGAATAATTACACACAAATTGTTGTGGATGGAATAATTGCAATGCTTTTGTTAAGTGAGCTAATTTCTGCTTTGAAAGCTAATTCCCGGTTATTTGAGAAATTCTTTAATTATTTTTTGCACCTGTTTGATATACCTTTGAAGTAGATAGGAGATTTCAGGCCCCATCGACCAAAACTACTGTCTTCGCCTCGGCGAATTGTTCTGGCCTCGGGAAACTGGAATCTTGCTAACTCCATCAATGATATACTTTATATAAACACCTTACATACATGAACTGACCACATAAAGCAGCCGTCATTTACACGCTCACATTTCTTCAAAGAAAATTGCAAGTAACACAATTTATACAGTTTAACATTTAACTTATTTCAATGTTGTTATCAAGTAAATTTTTAGTTAATGACGGTTTTGGTCAACACACAGCAACATTTGCCTTCTTTATTTCATGTATGTAAAATATTCTACAGGAGCAAACATCGATTGTACTGATGGTTCGGGGAAGACACCTCTGCTCTTAGCGCTGGAGGAGGGGCGTTTTGAAATTGCCGAGTACCTTATTAAGCGTGGTTGTAACGTAAACGTTGTAGACGGGTTGGGACAAAGTGCTCTCCAATTTGTGGCAAACGGAACTCATAGTCATTGTATAAGAATGGTGGACAAAATTCTCAAAAGTGGTAAGTGACTCATTTCACAGCTTGACACCATTGATTAAAAAATGCAATATTTTAATGTTATAAATTGTGAAAAATATTCTTTACAACTTTTAAGATGATATAAATTTAAGATAAGTTTAAATGGCTCTCTGCATTAAATATCCATGGTTTCCTCAGTTATGTAAATGTTTGATATACATGTATATTAAAATAAAGCACATTCATGCAGGCAGATCTAAGAAGACTCATTTTTGAAAAAAAGAATAAAAATTCAGTAAATATTGGGCTATAATTTTTGTCTTTGTGAAACGTTTAACTGCATGTTAAAGAAGTCCAGAATAATATAGAAACATATTTTTAAAGCTTTGATTTTTTTTCAGGTTTTAATTTAGAGGAACATAACGAATGGATTCCAGCGGCGAATGTAAAATCAAGAACACTGGGCCGAAAAACGAAGATTCCTAAAGTCATGCGAACATTCAGCATGAGAGTGAAAAATTTCCCGAGTTTCCGAAAAGCCAAACCAAATACCCATACCTGAGGCTTCAAAAGGAAAATCCAGTTCATCAGGCCAACCTGTATGATGAATTGCAAGAGCTCTACCAAATCAAAGAGCGTAAAAAACCTCATGCCATAAAAACCTCATCTCAAGCCCGGTCCCAATAGACACCTATGCAGCGCAAGGCTGCCCTTTTTGACCATTAATTTCTTCACCTGACAAGTCGCTGGTGAGAAGTGGATTATGCATTCATACTTAAATCGTAAAAAAGCCCTGTCATGGAAAGATGCAAGGACTGCGTAAAAACTGATCGAGAAGACTTGAGCACCTGTAGTATAGTTGTCATGGAATAAAAAAAAATTCTTTGTCTTTTTTGTTGCTTGTCCTTTTTTTGCGTAACCCTTTTTAACCTTAGATTTCGGTCAGTATTACATGGCTGTATAAGTCCACACTACATTTCTCTACTTATTTAATTTTTTTTTGAAAGGCAGCTGATGAAATACATGGATAATCATGGATATCGTATATATATTCAAATAATTATAAGCACAAGCCTAAAATACACTTTTGCTACCTTTTTGGGTGAAAATTCTGAGTTTATGAGCAAAATAAATTATAACAAATTGAAACATTTCACGTATTAAATATATCCTGCCAGTTTTTTACAAACCTTATTGATTTTTTTTTTTTACATTGTTTGAGTAATAATAAATTTTCTATCACGATCTCCCGATGTTTTGATAGTTTTTAGAATCGATGCACATAGAACAGGGTAGTTTTATACTTACTTGAAAAATATGCTTATTAGAATAATTAAATTCTGTTCTTTACCGGTATATGCATTTTTATTCTCATTTCTAAAAATCCATATGATATTGTTTTTCGTTGAAATATGCAGATCTGCAATATTATTCCATCTAAAAATATTACAACTTTAGCCTGCACCACACTGAATTTATAGCTTCTTGATATAAATGAAATTTTCTCGACAGAATGTTAAACAAACGTAAAAGAATTTAAACATACAAATATTATTTAAAAGAGAATCTGCAAGTTTACAATAAAGACCTTCCTTTAAAAAATGAAAAAAAAGTATAGATTTTACATGCACATTTCAAAGGAAAGTTTTAAATTTTAATGAAAAAGTGCACTTAAGTATACAATAATACTGTTAAAGCAAATAAGGTATATCCCATTGAATAACTTTGTATGATAAACGAGATGACCAGTTTTTCATGTATATTTGAATATTCCATCCACCCAATACATATAGGGGTCACGGTGGGTGTAACCGAACAAAAGAAGATCTTTATACTTCTCCTAGGCACCTAATCCTACCTCTGATATTTCAGGGGTCCGTGTTTTACCCTGTTCATATAATTTGTATTGTTTTTAATTTTTTTTAAGATCGAAGTAGTCTAAAATATCTGACATTTTTCAGGCTTTTATCATTGTTCTGATATACTTTATGTACCAAGAAAACGTCAGAACCGGCGTCCAATCGAAAACTTGAAATTTCTCCATCTGGAGTTGATATCGATACTTTCCAACCGAATTTAATGCCGACTCGCAATTTATCGATGCTTTGAGTACTCACCAATATCGATCAAAAGAGAAAAAATTACTCAGCATTTTGATACAGAACTTGCAATATTTTAAAATGCACGAAATGAAAACAAATCTTCACAGTATTATGAAATGTTTCATCGGATTGTATATTTTAAAAGCGAATCATAAAACACGATGTTGGTGAGTACTAAAAGTGTTGTACTAGTGATAAATTGTGAGTTTGACATTTAATTCGATTGGTTTGCTAGTATCGAAAATCAACCCGAGAATGCCGCCTCCGGTTCTGACGTTTTCCTGGCACTTAAAGAATTTTCGGACTACGTTCGTTCGTTTCTTTTTTTAAAAAAAATATATGTATTTAATATGTAAAAGAATGTATACACTGGATTTCTATAATGATATACAATTTTTAGAGATAGAGAGAGAGTAACCAATTTATGCATCAAATTTGAATGTTGGAAACAAAGATTAACGAAAAAGGACTAATCATTTGGAAAGACCTTGAATGACTGATAACTGACAATGAAATCTGGCATCCGAAACTTGCAAAACAATCCGGTTTTTTGCAGCATGAAACCGGTCAAACTTCTATTCATTACTCAATTTATTGAGCTGTAAATCATGTTAATTTTTTGGTTTGCAAAATGAAAATTAATACCAAAGTTGATATTTCTCAGATAAAATGAATTTACATATTTTTCATATGTTGCATCTAAAATCAATAACGATAAAACATGGGGAAAAATACATGACTATATACGTGTTTTTATGTTTTACTATAGGCTTTGTTCATGTGATGCATTTTATATCATAGTCAGCGACCCATCAGGCATCAAGTGATTTGTACAATGAAACATATTATGGAGATAACGATCAGTTTTCAAGATCAAAAGTCCATAAAACAATACAAAGTAGGAACAGTGCAAACACAGACCTCCAAAACATCAGACGTGGAATTACAATTTAAACAAAATTTAAGAATGTTTTAAAGAAAAAAGAATTTATTGCTTATCATCCCATTATTTACTTTAAGTAATAAATTAAATAATCACAAAAAAGAGTGCATAAAGTCAAAACATACAACTCATTTAAGTTGTTTATCAGAAAACAAATCATTTCTACGTAAAAAAAAAAAAATGAAACTCAACAAAAAGAAATTGGTTCTTTGTATTTATATTGTTTTTGCTTTTTTTTTACACTAAAAGACGTTCCTCGCCGATGAAGATATTTTTCCTGTGGTTCTGCTATTACCAGAACATCGGAAGTTCATCCGCGATTTTTAACCCTTTCCTCAACATTTGCATTTTGCTAACAAAACAAAAAAGTATTTCTTACATTGATGACAAATGGTTTAGCCACAGACACGGTTTATAGTTGTTGATACAAGTATATAAAGCGGTTGTGGTCGTTATGTTATTCAAGAAAACACCTTAATCACATGTTGGTGTATAAATACTTATTCGATTACAATTAGGTATGAGACTTGTTGTCATAAAAAATCATTTTTATTTGGTCCTTTACCTTCAAATACTGTCCATTTATCATATTAAGCGTAATGTTCAAATAATTCACTCTAAAAATGCTTAAAATGTACATTTTTCAAAAATATGGATGATAAATAAATGTTAAATGTTGTTTATTATTTAATTTGTGAAAAAGTGTGTTCTCAAGTTCAAACTGTCATAAAAACACCTAAGATGAAACATTTGGTATTATGTCTGATAAAATTGTTATGACTCCCTTCACTAGTGACAATTCGGTGGTCTTGTTATGATTACTTTGTACTTATACAACACATAGTCAATGAATAATGAAATAAATAAAAGTCTGGTCTTAATATCTACATTTGTTTTGATTACCAAACTTTTATCATACAATTTTTTTCTGCATATGTTTTATGACATATGAATTTTGATAAAAAGAAATAAATTCGTTGGATTTGGCAGCAAGATTCTCTTTTGTATCATTAAGTTATTACATGTTTCATAAATGCTCATCATCAATATTCTCCTTTTTTCATTCTTACCCAGCCAATCCACTGGTATATTTAGGCTTGTGAAGGGTGAAGTCACCTTCTTGAAGAATGAGTTCTATGATAGTTACTTTATCCCATGTTTACCCCTTTATCCCGTGGATATGACTCATTGAATATTTTTTTTTAATATCCCACGGTTAAAGAGATTCGCTCTTGAGCTTTTAAACAGATTTTTGTCTTGACCTCTAAGTCAAAAATTCTGCATTATGTATTAGTTCTTCCAATCAATTTGGATTCTACAATGCCATGACTGACGTTTTTCATATTAATTTTCAGTCCCTGATTTATACACTGAATTGACGACGGATTTTCCGGTATTTCCCGATCATGACAAGGAACACACGGCGGGTATGACTGGTCAGCAGGGGATGCTCACTCCTCCATGGCACCTCATCCCACCTCTGATGTTTTAGAGGTCCATGTTTGCTCTGTTCCTATTTTTAATTGTTCTATGGACTTTGATATTGAGTACTGTTTGTTATCTCCATATCCTTCATTCAGCTAAAAACCCTGATTAAATTCCATATCTAAAGTTAGTGGGGAGGGTGGGTGGATTCATTCTTTGATTGGATTGTGGCTGTTTGTTATTTTGTTTTACCCACTTTTTTTGGTGGCAGGCAGCACTTTAGAGCATTTATATATATGTTTTGAATCTGATGATGTTTATAAGAGAGTCAACTTAAAATACATGTATATTGTAACTTGTGAACGATTACAGGGTTTGAATTCGTATTCTAGTTTGATTACCCCCCTTTTTTCCGATGTATAAGGTCATTAGAATGTTACAATGTCATTATAGTGCTGGGTTTTAGATTGTTTATATTTTGCGTAAGATGTGTAATACTCTATATATGAATCCCCTTTTTCTGACCCCCATTTTGTTAACTGTGTTTTACTTCTTCCGTCATTGACTTAAAAAAATGACATATTTCACTTCTAACAGGATGTTATTTGAAGTGGGCAACTATATTTTGTGGCGGAAGGGATTTTTTTTCAGAATAAAGTAATTTTTTCTCAGTTGAATTATTTTAAATATTGTTAAGGTTGGATTCCTATCTGCCATGCAGCCTGCACACAAACTTATTTAGTCCCATGAACTGTTTAATGCTGGTCATAGATTATGTATTAAATAAACGGTTACGAATTTTCATATTTTGCAAATGAAGCAAATATATTGTGAAAATCCAGGGGAAAAGGCCTCGATTTAAGCTAAAAATTAGCATTATTTTCGCGTTACCTAAAAATTAACATCACCGACCCCACTTTTGATTTTATTTTCTGAATATATAAGGTACTTTCAACCATTCCTTCTAAATTCTGTTAAATGTCATTACTTTCAAATGGTTTTATTGCTTACTAAATTTCAAATGCCAGAAAAATGACTTGAGTGCAGAAAGGTCAAATAATTGATCTTGCGAAGTAAATTGAAACTTTTTTGTTGTCAAAAATTTTAATTTGTCTATTCAAGATGAAATATGTCTGTGTTTTCCTCTTTACTTCCCAAAGTTGAAAAAATCCTAAAAATATTCGGAGATCCTAATGTTTCTCTACAATTTGTATATACACCTAGGATTTGGATCTCCCAAAACTTAAGAGGAATAGCATGATACGAGGGTTGATCCAAAAGTAATGTCACAGTGTTCATATCTTTTATATTTGGCGTCATATTATCAAATACAATATATCAAAAAAGCACAAATATAAATCTAATCAAC